GTCGCTAAGCTCTACTTATAAGCGAGCTGGCATTGCTTAGTTTAATTCATGATATAGGAAGTCAAATAGGAAGTCACTCAGTGTGGCAACGCTGTGAAATATGGCAACACTGCCAGGCTTAAATGAAGCGGTTAAGCCAAGCGTTCATGTGTCTCATTTTATACATACGCAAATTCATGGAAAATAAATGCAAACAGTGTGGCAAGGCAAACAATCTGGCAGTCTGGCAGTCTGGCAGTCTGGCAGCACTAAAGTAGTTAAGTCTGAAGTTTCAGTTATTGTTATGAGACGCTCGTCTGCCGTCGCTGCAGCTGCAGCTGCTGTTGACAGTGTTGACAAACGCTGCAAAGCGACAATATCAGTTATTGAAAGTTTTCTTCATCTACTTCCCAAATTTTTTCTTCTCTTCTGTTTGCTGCTGACAGCCTTTCGGTAGCGAAAACTTTCGGACCAGAGCAGTCCGCGGGCGTGAGTGGGAGGAAGCCTCTTGTTTTGACCAAAAACTTTGCCTGCAATTTGTGCGGCAAGCGAGAGCTTTGCTTGACTGCAAAAGCAACCGCTACAAAAACTGAAACCGATAGACGATGAATTAGCCATGCCTCAGATGAGCCAAAAGCACTTAAGACTAACTGAAGTTTGGCAACAATGCAATTTGATGGAGTTTCAATTATTTTGCTCGCTTTCTGCCCTCTCTCTTTGTCTCTCTTTCTCTTTGTCTCTCGCTTTTCATCTTTTTTTATCGCTCTCTCTCTCTCTCTTTCTCTCTCTCTCTCTCTTTCTCTGTTTCTCTGCCTTAACAAGTGATACTCACTCTCTATCTATCTATATTTCTGTCTCTCTCTCTCTCTCTCTCTCTGCCTCTCTGTCACTCTGTCTCTTTCTCTCACTATCATTCTCTCCCTCTCTCCCTTTCTCTCTCTCTCTGAACATCTCTCGCTGAAAAATAGAAACAACAGCTTCGTTCTCATCACGAGGAGAAGCGTTGTTGCCGCACTTCAGGGAAAGTTTGGCTTGCTCTTGACTTCAGTCTGAGCTCATTCGACGTGGGCTCCACTGCAGCATACAAAACACTTGAGTGAAGTGCGGCAGCAATGCAGCGTTTGACGTCCAAAAGCCCGCGTCTCGCTTTGAGCTGCGCGGTTGCCTTTTTTTTCTTTTTTTTCTTTTTTTTTGTGTTGACCAAGTGGAAAACAAAGAGGCGATGCGACTTTTTATCTGTTTATCTGCCGCACTTGAGTTTGTCAAAAGCAATTGTTTGACTTGCCTAGTCAAACACGAGCACACACATAGACAGAGAGGGCGAGAGAGGCAGAGAGAGAGAGAGAGAAAGAGAAAGAGAAACCGCTGGCATAAAGAGCGAATGTCAAACGCAACTGACCAAAGCAGGCAACAGGGAAACTCGATTGGGCAAAAGGTTTTTGCTTTTTTTTTTTTTTCTTTGGGTGTATTCAACAACAACAACAACAACAAAAGCTGCAACATTTTAAGGGCATTTGCTGCACATCGCTGGCCACAAATAAACAAGCTGTGTTTATTTCTCGCAACCCCGTGTCGAGGCAAACGCGTCAGCAACTGCTGCTGCTGCTGCTGCTGCTTGTCCGCCTCCTGCTGCTGCTGCCCTGCTCCTGTGCCCTTCGCTGCAGACATTGAGTTATGTTGTGGCAACTCGTGTGTGTGTGCCCCAAGGAAATGCAACTTCAGCAGCAACAGCAACAACTGCAGCAGCAGCACCAGCAGCAGGCAAGGAAACCTCCTGCGCTCCCCCATCCATTCGGCTGAGCCATTGTGTAATTGCATGCGGCATTCTGATCCCAGCAATAGCTGCAAAATTTACAGGCTTAGAGACAATGACATTTACATGTGACGCATTGGAGAAGACCCACAACATGCGGAAGAAGTGTCTAATAGGATGTGGAGCTACCGAGTGGAATGTTGCCAGCGGCAGTTCCAAGTTGGCCAATTGGAAGTTGAACTAGCGAATGGGAGTTGCAAGTGGAATGGAATGGAGAAAGCTCGAACTGTTAGTTGCCAATGCAAATTGGAAGTGAAGACTGGAAAAGGCATTTAGAAGTGGGCATGGCACGAGAAACCTGAAAGTGGAACCTAGAAACGAGGGCTGGAAGCGAAGCTTAGAAGTGGGCATAGGAAAATGCAGTTAAGCAACGGATATGGACTGGAAGCTGGAAGTTGGGATAGACTGTGGAAGTCGGTAATGAAATCTGAATTATGGTGAGAAAGTGGGAATTGGAAGTGGCAGTTGGAAACGAGGGCTGAAAGCGGAACTTAGCAAGAGGAATTGCAAGTCGCAAGTGACAGTGGCAATTGCAAGAGACTTAAAAGAGCAATGTGGCAGCTGGAATTTGGCAGTGCAGCGCTTTGGCTTAGTCAAGTGTTGACAGTACTACATGACATGAAGGGCAGGAATAAGCTAATGAAATGCGAAGACGTCGCTTCCTGCTAGAGAGAGCTGTGAAGTGCGGCAACAGCGCGCAGCTGCTACCAAGTGCACTGCAAATTCAGATGCAACCACCCAGTTGCATAATTATCATAATAATAATGATAATCATTATCATTAGCATCATCGTTGTTATAATTGTCATCGTTATCAGCAGGCAAAGCGAACAGCTGCCATAATCAACAGCAGCAGCAGCAGCAGCTGCTGCAATTGCAACTGCAGCAGTTGCTGACAGACGACGACTTGATTGTCGCTAAAAGAGCAGCCAACTGGCCAAATGGCCAAATGGCCAAATGGCCAGCAGGCCAACTGGCTGACAACTCTCAAGGAAGTGTGAGCATTAAGGATAAGCCACGCCCTCTACCCGCTGCCCATTGCCGGCCCCCCAATCAAGTGGCATGATTGCTAAGCAGCATTTTATGCCATTTATTGCCACAACAAGCCGGTTCAGAGGCAAAAGTTTGCTTTGTGCTGCTGCTGGCTCCTCTCTCTGCCGCCTCTCTATGCGCTTCTCATTCGCATTCATGACTGCTGCTGCTGCTGCACACAATATGCTAAACACTTTGCCGCCAGCCAATGCAATCATAATTTTAACTACTTTAGTTTTATGCCCTCCCTTTCGCCTTCCTCCTCCTTCCGTCTGCCCAGCCATCCGCCGCCTCGGCCTGCTGCGACAGCTCCTTGCACTTAGTTCTATTATCCAGGCGCTTTGTTTTGGCCTCATTTTGCTCGTTTTTGCTAATTTTGTGCGGCCACACCGAGCACCGAGCACCGAGCAGCGAGCACTGAGCACCGAGCAACCCAATGGCTGAACCGCTGAGCAAAAGGAGAGCAAAAGAAAAACTTGTGGGAAAAACCCAACGAAATGAAAATGAAAATGAAAATTAAAAATATAAATTGGCTTTTGTGGTGTGGTGTGCAGAACTACGAACGAACCGCCTTTAAACCTAATACACGGACCGAGCTAAGTTGGGTATGTGCAGCGGCAGATACCCTACAATGTGCTTAAAACATTTGTAACTTTTATAAGGGGTAGCCGCTCGAGGTACACAGTGGACAACCACACAGTAAATTGCGCGTCGTCAGCTATAAAAAATCATGAAATTTCAAGAGTAACCAAGTTAAGCCGAAAGTTATCAATTGAGTAAAATATTCTCCGGCTCCACATGCCCTACGAGAGTCTACATACAAACTTTCATAGTCGTAGCTCTAAGAGTTCTCGAGCTTATCTAAAGGAACTAAGTTTTTCAAGTATTTATCGAAGAAGTTAAATATTCTTAATCAAAGTTGAGCTCAGCAAAGCTCATACATCAAGCTTTCTAAGCCAGCCTCTGGAAGTTCTTGAGCTATTGTCAAGTAACCAAGTCTATAGAGTAGGCTTACATCAAAATACTTCATACCTAATATTATATACCCTACCATCAACTGCACGCAAATTGCATGCCTGAGGCTCTAAAAGTTCTCGAGTTATGCCTTAAAAATCTGAATTTAAATCGATTCTTATCGATACTAAGCAAACTATCGATTGTATCAATAGCTGAATGCGAACTTATCAACTCATCTTTATGCAGAAACCAATATGCCCCTCCGAAATCCATTGCAGACTTGGCAAATGGCATCGATAAATGCTTTTAAAATCGATTTTAAAGACAATTTTTGCCATTTCTGACTGAGCAAATGCAATAGCCGAGGGAATTCACAGCAGCCAGTGGGTAGACAGAGAAAGGGGGAGAGTGAGTGAGATGGCTGGCCGTAGCATATTTCAATTCAGTTCGGAGCAAGCGCTCTTTGTGGCTTCATTAGCGCCTTTAAGGACCATAGCCAAAGGCGACGCTATCAAGGCAAATGGATTTTAATTAATTTTGCCGGAGCTGCACAATTTTTAATTAAGAAACTTGAAACGTCACTCGTTGCATTTAGCATTTAGCATTTAGTATTTAACTACTGCAGCAGCTGCAGCTGCATTTCGAGCTGCAACAAAAGCCCGCTCGAGGCATTTTATCCCAAAATCCTTTGTCCCACATTTCCTCAGCTAGTCCACTGTGAATAGCACTCGGCATTGCATGACAAATGTTTTCTTTGTTCGCACACATGCCATTTGCAACTAGGTGGCAACGCCCAGACGCGTCCAGTGTTGGCTAAGCCGATAAAGACTATGACAAAGCATTGAATTAGAAATTCGCAAAAGCAAAAGCTTTAATGAAGAAAAATTCTTTGATCGAATCACGATTCGAATTCCACAAAGAAATTGATAAATGTCCGAATATTTTACTAAAATGCGGTGAAAGACAAGAGTCTCTAAGCTACAGTGGTGCCTGCCTTTAGAAGAAGCTATCAAGGCAGATGCTCTTAGTCTCAGATAGAGCCACAGTGAGCTCGGCTGCCAGACGACTCTAACTATAAAGCTAATGAACTCTTCTTTTCGAGAAGTCACAAATGTTTGAGGGAAGCTGTAGCGCAGCTTCACTGTACTCGCATTCAAATTGCTTTTATGCTTAATGCCTTCGTAGCCTTTAACCCCTAGCTGTCTGCTCTCCTCTTGCAGTGCTCGACTGCCAGGTGGGCGACTGGGGAGCGTGGAGCGACTGCGACAAGAGCTGCGGCGCGGGCATGACGACGCGCACTCGCCAAGTCCTGCAAGCGGCCCAGAACGGAGGCAAGCACTGCCCATCGCTGCTCCAGAAGCGAGCTTGCCAAGGCTATCGCTGTCACGGACATCGGGATAAGAAGATCCTGCGAGGTAAGTCCAAATCTATCTACTATCTACAATCTACTATCTACTATCTACTATCTACTATCTACTATCTACTATCTACTATCTACTATCTACTATCTACTATCTACTATCTACTATCTACTATCTACTATCTACTATCTACTATCTACTATCTACTATCTACTATCTACTATCTACTATCTACTATCTACTATCTACTATCTACTATCTACTATCTACTATCTACTATCTACTATCTACTATCTACTATCTACTATCTACTATCTACTATCTACTATCTACTATCTACTATCTACTATCTACTATCTACTATCTACTATCTACTATCTACTATCTACTATCTACTATCTACTATCTACTATCTACTATCTACTATCTTATCTACTATCTACTATCTACTATCTACTATCTACTATCTACTATCTACTATCTACTATCTACTATCTACTATCTACTATCTGTATCTGTATCTGTATCTGCATCTGAATCTGTATCTGTATCTATATCTCTAACTGTATCTGTATCTATATCTCTAACTGTATCTGTATCTGTATCTGTATCTGTAACGGGATATTCGCATCTGTTGTTATATCTGTGAGGCTTTTAATGAAATGCACTTTTAATTAAAAATATTCTGACCTGACATCGCTGCCCTTATCGTATTTCCCTTGCACCTGTCAGGTGAGCCGTCGTGCATTCACATTTACAACAATAGCAGCTGCAGCTGCAACTGCAACTGGGTTACCCTTTTATCTCAATCTGAGCCTGAATCTGTATTGTGGCGTGTTAATTAAAATAGTCGATGGCCGGCCCCAATTGGCAGCCCCATTCAATATATTACAATTAAAATCTAACTGATATTTGTGAAGGATATTGATAAACTGGGATATTTAGAAAGCAGCAGCAAATGGAATGCGATTTTCGATTTATTTCTGCTGCCTTTTCATACATTGTTTGGCTTAATTAATTCCAGCTTTTCGCTCCTGCCAGCATCCTCTTATGTCCAACAGCATTTCAGCTCATATCTCCCTCCCTCTTTGCCTCTTTCCCTCTTTCCCTCTCTCGCTCTCTCCTTCTCTCTATCTCTTACTTCACCCGGCTTATTTCATATTCCATTTTGCATATTTGTTAAGAATGTTGATATGTTGATCCACTTAGCAAGCACTTGGCTCGTATTGTTAGCGCCCCAGAAAATGCAGCGTAAATATTTTACACCCATTGTAACACCCCGCAATGGGAGTTCTTGATGGGGTAGTCTGGCAGAGAGCTTAAGCTACTTTTAATGTGTCTCCATCCATAGCTCTTCACTTCTCTAAGCTCTTCCCGTTAGTTATCTCTCTCTCTCTTTCTCTCACTAAGTCTTTCTCCCTTTCCTACTCACTGCATCTTTCTCTCTCGTTTTCCCTCGCTCTCGTGCTCTCTCTCTCTCTCTATTTGCCTCTGCTAAATCAGCTCATCGCATGCCATTTACAGGGTATGTCACAGTCAGGCCATGCTTGACAGTTGCATTGACAGAGCTGTGCAATGCAAAAAGCTTTTTCATCTAAACGCCCAAGCAAAATGTGAAGCAAACTAAGTCACTTGACGGGTGGTTGGATGGTTTACACGAATCCACACGGATGCTGAGAGAGGAAGAGAGAGAGAGAGAGAGAGAGAGAGATAGAGAGAGGCAGAGGGCGGGGGCATCTTTGCTGCAGATGCATCTGTCAGCTTTCGCTTGTTAGCTGAAAGTTTTTTTCTCTCACTCGACTTTCTTATGCAATACCCTGGAACTAGTCGAATTGTGTAAGCAGGGTAGTTTCATTCTTGATTAAAGTGAAAGTAACAAGACAAGTCGAACTCGTCAACTTGCGAGACTTGAGCTTTGAAGCTTAGCAGCTCAAGTTCCTTAAAATGAATCGATAGCTTTATCGATTATCAAGGAATCGATTTTAGCCTATGGCAAATTTTAATTATTTGAGCACCAACAAATTTGTTATACAGACATCGCTAGCGTTCGTCAACTGGATAGACTCTACCTTCCCATATGCCCAGGCCCGCTATGCATGCAGTTCCAGGGTATTTTCTAGTCGTGCACGCGCCACTAGAGCCGGCTGCGTTGACTTCTTTTTTTTGGCCACGTAAAAGCGAGCAGCTGCCTAAGAAGAAGACGCATATGAACGTCGGTTCTAGGTTCCAGTCTCTGGCCGTAGAACTTTCATCCATCTCCCCTGCAGCCACTGCTCAGCTCTCGCCTCTAGTTCTTGGCCCTGCCACGCCCCGTTCGTACTCAAGCCCCTGGCCTTTGGCCTGGCAAAGCAATTTTGTGCAAGTGGCTGACATAAAAGCCATATTATATTTGGCTAAGTGTCGCCGACGGCACACACACACGCAGGAGACACGCCCCCATTCGCAGCACCAGGGCAATGGACGGGCTTAAGCGACTGCCTAATGCTCGCTCAAGCAACCTATCTGCTTTGAGGTAGAATAGAAACCAATTGAAAGAGGAAACAGATGTCAGGATGGATGGATGAGAGCAACAAAGAAGCGTTCTCCCATCTCTCGCTCCATCGGGCCATTTCACAAAAGCCAATACGCCCACTTTGTCGCGTCGTGAATGAGTATAAAAAAAAAACAAAGCAGAAGAAGTTGCGGCAAGCATAAAAAAAGTAGAAAAAAAACTATTAAAAATCGCAGCCGAAGTTTTTGTTTATGTTTTGGGTCGCCTGTGCTCCATTAGCCACGAACGTGCCCAGTCGCCCAGTCTCCGCTGCCCGCCAGTCGTCAGTCGCCTCGCCGCTCCTCTGCTGTCCTTGTGCTGTTTGGCTCTGGACTTAGTTGTGCTTGCGGTTTTTGTCGACGCTCGTCCGTTCACTCTTTAAGCGTTTAATTAAAACTTTGATTGCAGCCATTAGAAAAAATTGTTAAACTCTGTATGCAGAAATGATTCACACACACCCAGCAGGCGTCACATGTCACCGCCATCAATAGAGCCGTGTGTGTGTGTGTGCATAAAGGAAATGTAATTAATGGCAGTTTAGTGTCAGATAAAGCAGCTGCCATTAAAACTATGAAATTCAATTGAGCAATAGCTGAAAGCTTGTATAGCTTTTAGCATAAATGCTTTAAGTTAGCTATTAGAAACAATTAATTTTTGGGTTTCAGCTAAATTGAATATGGAATAAAGCCTCGAGGAGGCTTGAAAAGCACTTTAAGTTTTTGCAGAGAGACAGAGGAATATCATCTTTTTAGATTATCAGCGAAAAAGCTCTAAGCGATTTCCTCTATGAAGAGCTCTTCCGTCGTAGGCTAACGCTAGTTCCGTCTGCTTGCCTTTTCATCTTCCATCGTTACATTTGCTGCTCTTAACATCCATTCAGTTCGTCCGCTTGGCTCTCCATTGATTCATCTCTAGAGACTACAAATTTGGTATTAGTATTATCAGATCAGCAGCAAGCGAGGTACCTTCACAGTTTTAGAACGCGAATCAACAGTTGTTGCAGTTGAGTCCCTCGGGATCAGCGCAACCAATGCTGGCTTCTCACTTTAGGCACTCGCAGTGCGACTCCCTTTCGTATAGCTGCACAGCTCTCAAGCTAATCACGCTGTTAAGGCTCCACTGTATTTAACTCCCTCTAAAAGCTTTCAGCTTAAAAGTGAGCAACATTGTTGTCCCTCTGCCCCTTTGCGCACTTTGCCCGCAGCTCAGGCAAATATTTAAGACCTAATTGAAATATACAGGTGCACACAGGGAAACAGATGTGAATTAAATGCTTTTAATACGGTTTTAAGCTGTTTATAGTGTTGAGCACATGTGTCTGTTTGTTAGTGTGTGTGAGTGTGTGTGTGTGTGTGAGTGTGTGCGTGTGTGTTTTGTTTATCTTGCAAATTGCTGTCAGACAACGGCGAGCTTTGGCTTTGGCTTTGCGATTTAGCCAGGCAATTACAGAGCATTAAAATCTCGATTACAGCTGGACAGGCAAGAGAGAGAGAGAGAGAGATAAAGCGGCAGAGAGAGGGGGGGGAGAGGGTTAGGGCTCAGAGTAGTTGGCAGCATCAAAACAGTAACTGGGAACAGAAACGCGCAGGCAAAGTAAGGAAACGCAAGCTTCTTCAGTCATGATCGACTACTAAATACCCTTGCCGCGTAGCTATGACAAATGACTAAATGTGTGAAAAGAAATACTAAGATTGGCGAAAGTGGGGAAAGATATGCAAGAATTGCATTTACTCGACTCTACTCTACGCTGCACCTCAACAACAGGTAGGAAGCCACGCCTCCTGCCTCGGCCTGTCACACTTGAATAGCAACCAATGTGGCCCAGGTAGAAATGGAATCAAAGCAAAGGCCCAGCCAGAAAGAAACGGAAACTGCACAGAGAAATGGCAAATTGCACAGCAGAGTGCTTGGCTCTCGACTCTGGCAACTGTTGCACATATTGTTGCAGCAACACCTAACAGCAACAAGAACAACTGACATTAAATACGTGCAATTTGTGTTAGATAATTGAGCAGGGCGCAAATTAAATTTAGCTCAAGACACGAACCAAGCAGCCGCGTGAGAAGCGCAGAGAGAGGCGCGGGCGCGCTCACTCGCGTCATTAGTATGCTATTAAAAATTTGTGTAATGCCAAGTTAATTGCTAACAACCAGGCGTGTCACACTCTCCTTCTCCTTCTCCCTCTCCCTCCCTCTGCCTCTCGCTTACTCTTTTTTTGGCATGTGTGTAATAATTAAGGTAAACAAACACGCCCATACGCCCGCCCACTCACCAACGTCGCCATGCACAATGCCCAGCGCCATTTGCAGGTGGAAATATGTTGTGAATTTAGTCGCATGCACTGAGCGAAAATATTGACTGAGTTTTAGAGTGTGAGCCACGGTTGAAATTGAAATCAATCAATCAATATTTATGCATTTATATACATTCCATTATATTCCCAGAAAAAAATATATATATAAATTGAATGATTGATCAGTCAATTAATCAAGTCAATCAATCAATAAAAAGACTTGGCTGTTTAGACTAGATCAATCAAATGATGTTTGTATCTATCAGTCACACAATCGTAAGTCAATCAGTCAATCATTCAGTCAGTCAATCAATCGCCAGTCTACAAGGGACACAGTTGGTCAATCAATCAATCAGACAATAGTTAGATGTAGGCCAATTGATCAATCAATCAATCAATCAGACAATAGTTAGATGTAGGCCAATTAATTAATCAATCAATCAATCAATCAATCAAAGTGATATGGTTAAGTTCATACATAGCTCAAATAATCAGTCAGCAATTAAGTCATCAGTCCATCATCAATTAGTAAGTCAATCAATCAATCATCAATCAAATGTATAGCTTCATCCATTTACGTGTTTAGACCTATCAATCAATCAGGCACTAGCAAGTCATCTTTTTTACATAATACTTCACATTGTCATTGAGTATTTTGGCATTAGATAACAACATTTCTCACAGTGTAGCTAATATGTGTGCGCACACTTCTGTCGCCGACTGTCGTCGCTTTCATCATGAACCTTCTTCAGCGTTTCTCGTTGTCGCCGCCATTGGCAGGCCACAATAATGCGCAGTGCTCATTAACGTTATAAAAATAATTGCTGTACACTTACAGACACACACACTCGCTTACACACACACACACACAGACACACACATACATATACCTCGCACACTCATTCACTTAGGGCTGTGAATTACGAGCCATGTGCTAAATTCCAATTAACTTGCATGTATGTGTGTGCGTCTGTATGTGTGTGGGAGAGTGTATGCGTGCGAGTGTGTGTGTGCGAGTGTGTGTGTGTGTGTGTGCTGTGCTTGGCCAAGGAGGTAATCGTCCAAGATGAAAAACGTAACCAAAACCAGCCAAACCGAGGCACAACAATATGCCATTTGATTATGTAAATTTATGCGTGTGTGTGGGTGTGTGTGTGCGGGTGTGTGTGGCACTTGACTTGTTAAATTTGCATAAGTTGTGTGCTCCTGCTGACGACCGAAATTATGCAATACATATGTGCAAGCCAGCAATCGTTTAGCCGCACTTTGGCCAACTCTCACTCTCCCTCTCTCTCTCGAGCACTCTCCCTCTCCCTCACACACACATTAAGCTTAGACCGTCATCAGCTGTTGGCTTGACATTTCATTTGCTCTGGCACGTGCAAGTCCTTTAAATATGCCTCCATCTAACTCTTGTCTAGGCTCATGCTGTCTCTCTCACACGCACCCTGGCGCATAGAGGTCAAAGTCTGTTAATAGCCTTGACTTTATGACTGCATAATACTTAGCTGCATTTCCATTTTGGTAACTCACTCTCTTACTCTATCTCACTGTCGCTCAGTTCGTCCTACTGAGTCTCTATCTATCTATCTGTCTCTCTCTCTCGGTCTCTCTCAGTCTGTCTAACTTTGCCTCTCGATCATTTTCGTGTTCGCTCTGTATCTCTTACTCTTTCATACACATCATTCAAGTGACCTGCTTCACGTGTTTACAGGGTATTGAATCGTAGTAGGAGCTCAACACATCAGACCTGTGTAGCCACTTTGACCTTCAGTGCTCATCAGATCTGTCAAAGACAGCGCCAAGACTTGATATGAACTTGAAGTTTTCCTTTTGCTCATAATCAGGGAGTTGTAGGAAGTAGTTCGATTCATGTACAGACCCTAAGCTAAGCAGCTGGACGCTGTCAACTCAGGTGAAATATATTCACGTCTGTGCGAAGTATGTTTCATCAAAGAATGCAGAGCCGGCCAAGGCTGTTAATGGTGCAGACACATTTCACGAGTCACGTGGCTTTACGTGGCTGTGGCACGTGCTGCAAGTGAAGCAAAGTCGCAGTCTACGTTTTTCAGGTGACTATCTCCTGCCCACCTGCCCGCCCGCCTCTCAGTTGGGTGTCAGTGACAGCAGTAGCTCTTGGGGCTCTGTCACTGCGAGTTCTGTTAGTCAAAAGTCGCAGCTGGGGGAAAAGGGAAAAGGGGAAAAGGGCGTCGCAATGGGGGAATGCAAAAAAGGGGGCCACACGTCGAGCGCTGGAAATTGGGAATTGGATGAAGGGAAAAGGAAAAGTTGTTTTGCTGTTTGCAGTTGCTCGCACGCTTGTGTTGTCCTTGTCAGTTGTAGCTGCCACGCCTCCTTGGCTGTTTCCTCTTTCCTTATTCGTTTTCTGTTTTCTTTTTTCGGTTGCTCCTCTAATGGCATGTTTTGATTTCGCTCTCAGCAATGCAAACATCATGCGAAGCCAGTCAAAGCAAATGCGATTCGTGTGGCATAACCGCCAGGCATACAGGCACGCACATCCGCACACACACACACGCACACACACTTGTGCACTCGTTGTTGTTGATAACATTACAGCCAGCTCTTCCGGCTACAGCTATGCCTCGAGCTTTATCCGTCTGTGCGACACGTGACGCGTGGCAACCAACCTACGTATCAAGAACTTACTACTATAACAGCTATAGCTGACTATTTTAACTAACTACGCTAACTAACACTCTTCTTCTTCTCTCTTGCAGAAATGGCTCTTCTGCTGCCTGCCGCACTCACGCGCAATCATCGAGCGAACGACAGCAGCGACAGTCGCCACAATCTGCGCACGCGCTATCGCGACTCCTACAAACACAATCGGGATCATGAGTGAGTAGCTAAAAGACGAAACGATCAAGAAGCTGTCTAGAGAAACAAACTATCTATACTGAGTACTTAGATATATATGTGAAAGTCATAGAAGCTCGTCTGGCTGGCAGAATTAGAAGAGAGGACTACACTCTTCACATCTTCATATCTTCACATCTTCACATCTTCATATCTTCACATCTTCATATCTTCATGTCTTCCTATCTGTATCTGTATCTAGTGCTTCTCTTGAGATGAACTCTTCTAGCTTAAAAATTCAATTCTGGTATTGAGCGTGATATAATTTTCCGTGCCTTGGATCCTTCTTTCACGCTTGATTTTGTTTAATTCCACGTCGCGATTCTAGCCGAAAGGTGTGTGCCAAATCGTTTTCCAAAGCCGCTTTTATGGCATTAGGTTAACGGGAGAAACTGGAGAGAAAAAATGAGAAATTTCAGTATTAATCCCAAATTTGTTGCTAGCTGTTCTGCTTTTTATGACTCGCGCGGCATGCAAACAACAATTTCATCTTGTAATGGGTAAGAAAGAGCGCGGGAGCGGGACATGGCGAGGGGGGGGGGGATTGAGAAAGAACATCAGCATAAGCGTCTGCAATAAAAATCCATCATAAAAGGCGCATAAAAATTGTTCGGTATAAAAATCCCCGCCTTGATTTGACGCGCTGTTAATTTTCGTCCTCACGAGCATTTCGCCTGCTTTGTTTTGCTGCCGCTGCTGCTGCTTCTTCTTGCTCCTATTTGCTTGTGCGAGTTGGAAATGGAAATGTTTATGATTCATGCCATTCAGCCACCAGCCACACAGACAGGTTGCGCAGCAATCCTTGACGCTAGCCTTGCCTTTGATGGCTTCTCAAATGTCCACGAGGCAAGCAATAGAACCAGAGGCACGTCTGACTTACAGATACCCTGTACCCTGCAGGCTAACTACAAGCCACACGGTCCTTTGGCCCCAGTCACTTTCCTTTTTCTTTCTCATACGACTTTCAGTTACCCTGTAAATTGAGTGAAATTCAATGAAGTCCTTCGCCTTGCTCTTTGGCAGCTATTGACTAGAAAAGCTTGTTAGGGATGTCCTGTAAATTGAGCAAGCCTCATTCCTATTGTCGCTTTAACTCTATCGCCCTTAGATACTCAGGTGCTCTATGATATGAACAGCTTAAAGATACCCTGTAAATGCAGCTAAACACACTTTGGCTCCCATACTCCAACTTTTTTTTAAATACAAAAGAAAATTATTTATAAGCAAGCAGCCTTAGGTATTCAGGGCAATCACAACTCAAAGATACCCTATTAATTAGCTCAAAGATACCCTATATGCTCGCATGGCTCACAAGTCACTATTCACGTCTAGCTCCGGCTCAGCTTATCTCTTCCCTCTCTCTCCCCCTCTCCCTCTCTCTCTCGCTCTCTCTGCCACAATCGTGCAAGTGACGTGGCTTGCGGGCGTGGCTTGTCCACTACCCACTTCAAATAAGCAAACAAACATCAATCACGTTCCGCATACGCCACGTTGTCCGTTCTATATTGAGATGGGCTCCTTCAGCCTTAGCTTCTGCTGGCTGCTGCCTGTTGCGGTTGACGTTGCCTTTACTGCTCTAACTGCTACGCTCCGCACTTATCGTCCGCCTCTCTTATGTTTGAGTGCTTCTCGCTGCTCATCAAAAGCCGTTTATTATGCTGCGCTTTACTTTTGTTTGCGAAATTAAATTAAATCCGCAATTTATTATTTTTTATGTCTTTTCCATTTGCTTTCAATTCGAATCTATTTGCACGGCGAGACGCAGAAGAAAACGTGCCGATTTGTAGAGCAAATCGATAGTCCCAATGCTTGGCCAAGGCCAGCGGTTAACCGCTAACGGTAACATATCATAGGAATGTATGGAATTTCTTGTGAATCAACAGAATCTCTGCTGTACATATCGATACATTTATCGATCACACTTGCACAATAATCACGCTCAACTGGATATAATTCAGAACTTGTTTCTCTACATTTCACGAAGTTGTTAATTTAAATTGCAGTCGCAGAATTTTTTTATGATTCGTTTGCTATCGATGTATATTGATCGATGAGACTTTCATATGCATGCACAAAGACCTCCGAGTATTGCCCATTCAATCTAATCTCACAGCAATTCAGGGATTCAAATTCGCTTAAGCATTCGAATGACATATTCAATGAATCCATTTGTACCACTCAAATGATTCAATTCAATTCGATAATTGATTTGTTTCGTTTTCATTTTTTTCGAGTGCCAAAAGCTTTTCACTGAGATCACATAAGCATGATGGATGAATGGAACTCATGAATATTTATTGCGCACAGCGATAAAAATCGAAATCGAAATCGTATTCATTCACGCGCGCACACACAAATCAATTCAAACTGAATCATAAGTTCCATCGCTCTCTCTCTCTCTCTCACACCCGCTTACTCTCCCTCTCTTTTTCTCCTGGCGAGTCGCACAATTCACTTGTCCAATGATTTGTTAACTAGCGACAAACTTTTATTGCCTCGTTGCTGATAGAGGGAGCTGCTGTTGCTCCACAAAAGGACCAAGGACAGGGGACAAAGGACGAACGGCACAAATTATGAATTATGCGCTCAAGCGCTGAGCAGCAGCAACAACAACAATGGAACTTGGCCAAAGAAAATAAATAAATAAATTACGCAAATAACAAAACAGAAAAACAAAATAAAAACCGAAGACTAAGAAGAAGCGAACAAAAAAGAGAAAGAGCCAAAAATAACAAGCAAAAAAATTCTCGAGCTCAGGCAAAGGCGAACAGCAAATGCTCTAAGTGAGATATGGGAGAAATAGAGGCTGCTTCAGATATGCACAACTAGCAGATACCCGTCCGTGAGCAGCTGTAATCAGTGCTAGCCTCAACAACATCAGCGCTCATTGAGATAAACGAGAGATCTGAGGCAAGGAGCACACAAGCCAAAGCTCTCTATTTAGTGAAGAGCAAGGTGTGGGTATACACAAGTTGGAAATCTTGGATATCTATAAGGGGAAGGATCAACAACGGAACAATGACAGTACGGAAAAGTAAAGCGAGGCAGGCAAAGAGATAGGACTAGCTGAACTGAGCTGTCGCTGCTGATCATAGAATGAAGCTTGACATTACAAAGCAAGCGATAAGCTCAACAGCCTGAAGAAGAGACCTATTCCAGACAATAGCTAAGCCAAATCATAGCCTGCTTGATTTCAATAGCTTTTTGTGTGCGCGAACTAGTTCGGCGCACACTCCAATACTCATACCTAATACCCATACTCGTACTCCACACTTCACACGCACTGAGTGCCACACACCCCATCGCAGGTTGAGCATGCTCTTCCTCGCTCGCTCTCTCTTCATAGGGTACACAAATAATAATTCGCCACAATTTCATTTACATAATGACAGTGCGAAGCAATTGCCGCGAAAAGAAATTACAAAGCAACGAAACGGTAATACACACGCAGCCGGAGCTGTGGGGTTGCACAGGATATGAACCTTTACGCACCCCCTGCCTACTCCAAGCGACAACCCCCGACAGCCGGCCGCCTCCCCCGTCGAATTCACACTTTGTTTTCTGTTTTTTGTAATGTGATAAATTTACAGGGCATCAGGGAAATCTGCAGTCGACAGGCCTTTTAAAATATAATAGAAGCAGACAATGTCCGCAGGCCAACGTCCCTTTCTGAGTCAGCGCAGCTCCGTTCCAGTTCCAGTTCCAGTTCCAATTACAGTAACAGTTAAATTTATAGTTAAAGTTACAGTTATAGTTACTATTATAACAACTTCAGGCGGAAGCAAAGCAAACAGGTCAACGGTTTCTGCTGCAGTGCAAGTACCAGTTCCAGTTCCAACTTCAGTTCCAGCTTCAATTAAAGTTACAGATCGAAATACACCTATCTATGGGCCTTTTAAAATAGACAACAAGACACACACTGGCAACTCTATTTCTAGTTCCAGTTCTGGTTCCAGTTCCAGTTCTAGTTCCGGTTCCAGTTCCAGTTCCAGTTCCAGTTCCAATCTAAATTCTAGCTCCAGCCGCAGTTCTAGTTACATCTACAAATGACAGCTAAATTAATAGCTTCAATTGCAATTCCAGTTCCAACTCTAGTTGCAGATTCTATGCCAATTCCAGTTCTAGCTCCAGCTTTAGTTGCTGTTCTAGTCATAGCTGCTATTACACTTCCAGTTACAGTTCCAACTCCATTTAATGCTCACCTACTGCTTCACCTGGTCTTGGGTGCGAGGCGACAATAAAACGTTTTAAGCGAAAAATCCCCATGAGGATTAGCTTGAACCGCATAAATTTGCAGGCAAACAGCAAACGAGTGAGACAGAGAGGAACAAAGAGAGAGAGAGAGAGAGAGAGTGATGGAGTGGGACGGAATTGCCAGCCTTTAAGTCAACTGAAAATTGAAGACAATGATGCTGCGAATTGACAGATTTTATGATACACACACATATATACATACACACGTATAGAGATATATAAATGTATATATATATATATAAATGTATATATAAATGTATATATATATATATATATATATATATATATATGCTAATTTGCATAGCAGGTGCGTCCACGCCCTCCACAGTTGAATAAAAGCCATAAAAATGCGTAAAAGCTGCTACTTTATTTTCATTAAACAAACGCAGCTGCCCACGTTTTATGCCCAGTTGATCTGTGTGTGTATCTGTGTGTGTGTATCTGTGTGTGTTGCCTGTGCTTTTGCAGACGTTCCAAGGGGCACTCCAAAGTCTGCCTTTCAAATTGAATTATGCACTTAATGCGAAGGACAAGGCGCAGCACACACGGCAGAGTGAGAGAGCGAAATGATGAAGAAGAGAGAGATAGAAAGAGAGAGAGACGGCTTAGGCTGAGCTACAGTTAGTGTAAACGCAGCTTAATGCTTTTTAGAGTCCACACAAAATGGATGAGAATCAACTTTCTAATTAGTTCCTAATGCAGTTGACTAACTTAATTACATTGAATATATATACATATAGATATATATATATATATTATATATATATATTATATAAATAAATATACATGGCGCTGACCAGGGTATGCACGACTAGCAAATACCCTGCTTAGTCAAGCAGTTGAGGTCACATACCCAATGCGTGCGTTTTGGAGTTACTTTGCTATGCATGGGCTATATGAGATATGTCACTATAAATATATAAGATAAAGAATGATGGACACAGTTCTTAGTCGTTAAGTTGCCAGCTAAATTATGAGAGTTCAGGCTCGAGTTCCAGCTTGGAGTGATTCCAATATAAAATATAAAAGAGAGGTCGCGACTAGTTCGAGTCAGCTGCTTCATATACTCACTATAGACAGTCTCTATGAGTTGTCATGGGCTAAAATCCGTTTCTTGATTCTGCCTTGAGAATTCTGACTCAGCATTTAGACTTAGACCTTTAAAATTTTCGTAGGCCGTCTGAACCTCAGCCATCCGCATGCCTAATCTAGTCTAGCTGCTTAAGCAACAACATGAGTTGCTCATCCTACTCCACATACTCTCTATATTTGAATTAGGTATAGTAAAGTCTTCCCGAAGTCTAACTGCCTCTCTGAGCTTGCTAGCCGAGATGCCTTATATCTAGGCTCTGGGCAACTTGCCCTCTCTCTCTCTATCCCTTTCCCTTCGCCCTTCTCTCTCCATCCTTTATAGGCTATAATTCAAAGAAACTTCCATTCATACGCCCCGTTGTACCGTCGTCTCATGCTCCATTTGCAGCTCTAATTTTAGCTGGCAGCCCCAGCAACCATCTAAACATTGTCAATATCAATTATCGTATAAATATATTCATAATTGTGTGTGTATATCTGTATGTCTGCATATATTATATGTCAAGCCAAGCGAACGGACATTGAACGGGATGGAGTGAAAGAGGGGAGGGGGAGGGGGAGAAGGAACAGCTGCAAGCTGAGCCATTTGCATTGCTCAGTCGCTTGAAAGTGTGCAACAAGATTTGCGCGAGCTGCTCAATCATCATTAAAAAGTTCGTAACGACGACAAAGCACAAGAAGAAGACGAAGATGAAGAAGAAGAAGAAGAAAGGACAGCCAGGCATGCCAAAGGACACACAGGAAAGCAGCTAAGCGAAAGCAAAGTCCAGCAAAGTCTTCGACTCCGTCTCCATCTCCGTCCCCGTCTCCATGTAGCCATTCAGGCGGCTCACTCAAGCGCCGCAAAGTGTTTCCTTTGCCAGGACGCAAGTCCAGTTGCGAGTCTCCGGCCAGGACTCGAGGGTCCAGTTCAATCCCACGGCTAGGATGGACAATGCTGTTGCCTGTTGCGCCGCCATTGACTAAATCCAAATTGAGATGTCGCCGCGTCGTTTTTCGTTTCCGGTTTTTGTGTGCGGCTGCAGGAAACGCAAGGCAGAGCGAGAGAGAGAGAGATAGAGTGAGAGAGGGAGAGAAAGAGAAAAATGCGAGGAACACCGCAAGCTGTGAGCCAACTTTGTCAAGCAATTATTTTTAGCAGCTGGAGTAGAGCCAGAGCCAGAGTCAGAGCCAGAGCTGGATGCCAATAGAAAGTGGGAATAAAAATGGGGTATATTAGCCTAGAGACAAGGTAGCTAATACAAGAAGAGCGAAGAAGAGCGCAAAGAAAAGAAGAGAGAAGGAGCAGAGAGAAGACAGAAGAGAGCAGAGAGCAACTCTCTTCTGTCTTCTCTCTGCTCCTTCGCTCTTAGAGGAGAGTAGTAAAGTGAGGGTATCTGAGAGTCGTGCACGCCCGTCTCGCGCAGTCGAAATTGTTTTTTATTTGTGTTTGCTTTTCATATAAACGAGTGCAAATACTTTTTTAAGTGCCTGTGTTACACTCATTGTTGTGGTTGTTGTTGTTGTTCGCCTGGCATTGACAGTTGTCGGCGAGTCCTTTGAAGTGGCAAAATATTTGACAAGAAAATGACTTTTTCTTAGCATATGGCATGGAACGAAGGCGGTTCTTGTAGCTGAAGCCAATTGGCAGAGTGTCGACATTTGACTTGACTAAACACACTCACTGCCTGCCACACAAGCCGCACACATGCCAAACACATGCCGCACACATGCCACACACGACTCGCCGCCTCGAAGACTTCTCACGCTCCCTTTCACCTTCGAGTTGGCGCTCTTTCAACTTGTTGCTCGACGCGTTTCAATTTGAATAAATAAAATTCCTCGAAGCGCTTCGATTGAAATATAGATATAACTGGCTCTTGCTCACATCACATGGAGTTTTCATAGCAATAGTAGCAGATCTATGTCTAAGTCGGGGTACAATCAGGCCGAGCTCTCATGATCTCCATTGCTTTCATGCTAGGGTCAGTCAAACAAGCAAAGAAAGTAAACCAAGCCTGAGCTCAACTCTATTAAAGCTGTGTTATATGAGTGTCATATACTGGGATTGCTTGCAAGGAAGGCCTCTGCCCCATGTCCTGCTCCATATGCTAGAGCCTAAGTAAGCTGCTGCTATATTCCCTTCTTTCGGGCATTTCTTTTGCATTCCTTTTGGTGATATCATAAATCGGAGCTCTGGAATGATATGATTTCAAAATTTCATTAAGAAATTGCCCAAAAAATGTATTCATCAAGTTCACGTCCAAGTTGAAGTCCACAAAAGTCTTTTTATGTCTTATTCCCAGCTTCGACCACTCAATGTTCTTCTTGTGGCACCGCCTCCCGCCCTAGCCTGCAGCAAGCAACGCCCCCCTGCCACTTGAGTTTAATTATGTTCTGCTGCTGAAGAGTCCTGTGCCATTGCCTTGTTTATTTTTATTGCTTCTGTGCGGCGACGACGTCGGAGCTTGCCGCCGTCAAGTTTTTATTTACATGCATTTTCTTATGTGTTTTTTGTTTTTCCTTTTCCTTTTCTTTCTTTTTTTTGGTTTTTTCAATTTACCTTTATGGCCAGATAGATAGAGGCTGAGGCAGACAACAAGACACACAGGACACTGCGTCGCCTAGCTGTGGGCCAAGTTAATTAAGTGCTCAGCTCCAGTAGAGCCGACGTCGGCATGAATTATATTTCTATCAGAGCGGCATTTGCTTTAGGTTTGATTTCAATTGCTTTTTGTTTGCTCAGCATACCCTGTAGTCATTTATAAATGGGGTTTATTGATTATGTTACAGACAGCAGCTGCTTGAGGCTCTTAAATCTCTTGCACATTGGGAACTCTTTCTTTCTTCGAGCATAACTCAAGAGCTTCGAGCGCTAGAAGTAACAAATTTGGTATGAGACAGCTCTTGTAGTTAGCAAATATCTATAAAACTTCCCTTTTTGATACATTGACTCCAGGCATAACTCGAGAGCTGCGATCTAGGAATACTTCCTTTTTTTTGACTACTCCAGTTCCTATGTTGCTCCAGTATAGCTTGGGAACTGTAAGATCCAGAGCTATCAAGCTGGGCTTCTAAAGTCATATGCTATATCATATCATATGTTGACATTAAAATGATATTCTTATCGTGCCACATTGCCTATAAAGTCACATCTTTATATAGAAGGCAACTGAAATGCTCTTTGCATTAGCTACAACTTGGCACTGAGCGTATCTGTGGGTTGTTCAGTCGCCATTGAAGTCGTGACTTCATTTTATATTTTTTTGTCCATTTTGCGATTTTGATTTCCGTGGCGTCAATTGTGAATTCGGATGCCTGGCTAATTTGGCGATTTGCTAATTGAGCCCTCGAGGCTAAGTGGACAAATATCCGCCCAACCGATTTGCCGCCGAGCCATGAGAGCAGCAGCGGCAGCAGAAGCATTTGAGGGCACATTTGAATTTCCGACGCAATTTCCGATGTCAACACCTTGACAGCTGTCAAACACACACACACACACACGCACATTTAAACACACACCCAGCGCCACTTGACAGCCGCCTCTTACCTTTTTTTTTCTTTTTCGCTCCCACACTCTCTCTGTTTATCACTCCCTCTCACATTCTCTCTCTGTGTTTTTATAGCGCTGCGTTTTTTGCGTAACGGAAACGGAAATTGTTAGGCTTAATAGACAGTTCGAATTTCCGGTTGACTAGCGACGCCTTTGAACTGTATAACCTAACTCTCTCTCTCTCTCTCTCTCTGTCTATCTCTCTCTCTCTCTCTCTCTCTATATCGCACTTTCAAATTTTTTTACTTACGCACAACTGCACAATAATCATTATTCTGTGAGTTCCTTTGTCTGTTTCTCTGCCTCTCTCCTTCTCTCTAACTGCCTTTGCTGATTATTTCCATGTCAAAGTTCATTGTTATGTTATAATACAGCTAATTTCTGCCAATCATTGAAAAATTCAAATGGAAAATGTTTTAAGTTAAACGCAATCGCATAGAGGAAGAGGTTTTGGCCTATTGTAAGGCATAAGGACATGAACAGAATATGATTAAATGGCACTGGGTAGACTTTGCGAGTGACTCCAAACAACCTTTGATTAGATGAGCCCAATCACAGCCTGTCCATACAAATAACTAATCAATCTCTTCCACTTCTTGCAGATACTGCGTTGAGTTCGAGGTCATCAAGGCATCCAAAGCCTGCCACAAGCTGCCGCCCTATAATCTAATGCTGGAAGGTAAGTAATTCGTTAGTTATCTGTAGTATGCCTTATGGACAATGTGCTGCTGCAGGTGATCGTATAACTGTGCGCTGCGACCTCGAGGCTCTGGTACAGGACAAAGATGCTGCGACTGGAGTTGGCAAGGCGAGCAACAGAGGCGCAACGACGACAACAACAACCACTCATAAGACTCCGATGGCGCAGCCATATCTGACCGATGAGGGCGAGGAGAACAGCAGCAGCAGCAACAGCAATGACAACGAGGATGACAACGAGGACGAGCAGGAGCAGGAGCAGGAGCAGGAGGAGGAGGAGGAGGACGACACCGAGGAGGATGATGCACAAAACATGCTCGAGCCCGAAGTAGATGGCGATGCGGAAACGGAAACGGAAACCGGGACGGCCAGCCGCGAGAACTATGGCTACAAGCACCAGCGCCCATCATCGCATCATTCACGTGCAGCAACGTCCAAGCGCAGCGCCAATGCTGTAGCGCCCATGTTGCCGCCGGTGCTGCAGCAACAGCAGCAACAGTTGCTGCTTAACTATCATTGCCGCGGCGAAGGACTGTCGGGTCGCACGACGCGCTGGAGCGCGCTGCCGGCGCCGTCATGTCGTGGCAAGTGGCTCCGCTTGACCATCGGCCCGCCCAAGAAATGCAACCATGCGCAATTCATCTTCGTCTAAGCAGCTGCTGCAGCAACAGCAGCATTCGCAGCCATCCAATAATATTATTGGAAAAATGTTCTTTTTTTTGATCTGATCGAGGACGTCAATATATATGTGTAGGGTATACGCGTAGTCTATGTAGCGAGTTCACAAACCCCAAAACCCGATCCCAAAACCCCATACATAACCCTCTAATTCCCATTGGGTAATAACCATACAAAGATGGCCGCCTGCCTACACCCAAACTGCGCCATCTTTCCAAACATATGTCTATACTCCTTCAGTTATTTATTCTTCTGCTGCCGCATTTAAAGGTCTTCTCCTTCTTTTCGATCAACAGCCAAGAGCCATTAATGCACACTTCCTCAAGTAGGCTAGTTTAGCTACTGATCAATGTTGTTTCGAACCTTTCAAAAATCATATTTTTTACTGTGAGTAGACAAAGCTTTTAATTAATTCTTTTCTTTAGAGTAAATCGTTCATAATTAAACAATTTTGCTTTAAACGTTTACATAAACAAAGGATATAAAAGGGTATCTGTGTTTCGACATGCCTAATAATAAACAAAATGTCTAGATGCTAACGCCGCAAAAAGGAACAAGCAATAAAACACTAGCACTATCTCTCTCTCTCTCTCTTTAGCATAGTAATTGCTACGACTCGAAGAGGATCAAAACGAAGGCAGAAAAAAGAACCGTTGTCTATTCCGGGTGTTGTTTCTTTGCCGTTGTTGTTTGCTATGGTAAATGACGTTAACTTTTTGCATTTGATTTGGGCTTTCCTAAAAAAATATAAGTAACGGCAGCATAGAACTTCATTGCTCGAACACCCAATGGGACAATGCCCAACAGTTGCTGCAGGCACGAAAGAGAATGAGTAACAAAACACTTACAACCTCTCTTTTCTTTGTATTCATATCATATCCAAGAATCATATCGCACGGCAGCTGTCCTTAGCACCCACCCCCACTCCTCACACACAATGAGAGAAGAACTCGCATATAAGTGTTTAAACTTTAAGACAGTTAATTAAGAAATCAAATACAGTGAATGTGTATTTTTTTTGTCTCCACATGCCCGCGCTAGCTATCTCTTTCTCTCTTTCAATAGATCATGCATAATCGATAGCTGAACAAAATAATATTTAAAGAACAAATAAACTTTTTCGGAATGCCGAATATTAAATACCCTTGCAGCAAACTACTCTAACGAGTTTACCCATTAGATGTTATAGTGATAAATTTCAATTAAAATAGTCCGATCGGAATCTCAGATCTTTCCCTTACTTACTATAATCAAAACTCCTGCAAGGCTATAAAGGTGAGAGTACAGTAGAAATGCGCTGTAAATGGAACGTTCATCCCGGCGAGCTCCTACTGCACCCCAAGTTGTAAATAGATCATTTTCTCAGACCTTGGCGTCTGGGAAATTTCAGCGGCAACTGAACAACAACTGATCGATAAGTCTTAACCAAGAACGAGAGATATAACTAACTAATAATATGATATATACCAATAAATATAATTATATTAGCAACCAACTCCCATGATCGAACGATATATATAGATATATCTATGTACTATCCCTAGAGATACTACAACAAAGTGCGTGACTCGAGCCCAAGCTTTGCTTGATCAAAACAGTGAACCAAATTGAACAAAGGTTCGTGTCCCGCACCCCCCACTATACTATTGCTAAACACGATATAAACTCGAAAAAAAAACCAAAAAAATTTTAGACAGCGCAAATAGAGCTTGTCCAATTGTCAATGTTCTCTCTAAAGCCCCAAGCTCCACTTCCAGCTAGATCTAAGCGCTATAAAAACTTCCCAATATTACAAATTACATACAGTCATAAATGTGAAAAATTGTAGTTATGTGACACTGTCGGTCTAGATACATATGTATATCACATTATATATATATACCCATATATATATTGATTACGTAATTACTTCAACACTCATCCATGTACGTGTCATGTCTAATCATTAGCCAACAACAACAATACACACACACACTTACACTGGTCCACAAAACAAGGAAGAATCAATTTCAAGTGCTGCAAACATATATCAGAGCTTATATAGCTATATAGATTCAGATTCATATTATCAAGATTATTAGAGCTAGCAAGAACTCCAATAAATTCATTGACTTGGTTACGAAAGCTTAAACCAAGACAAGTGCGTCCTTCCTGCTCGAAATTTTGTTTGAGTATTTCTTCCAGGCTTTCGTCAAGCCTTTCGTATGTCAGTCAGTTTGATAAAAAGGCGTAGATATCTATAAATGTCGATCCTATCTCTAAAGCAGCGCCCTTGTATCTTTCAGTCGGTACAGTAGAAGTTCAAATGTTTGCAGCGACTCTCAAACTGTTTCCATTACAAGCACTCACCTATACACACACACACACACACATTGAGAGATATATATCAAAGAGAACAAAACAAAAAAAATTAAAAAAATTTCCAAGCAAAAAAAATTAATAAAATAAACTTTAAGGCACATACGAAAAAACAACAAGAAATAAACAAAAATTAAATTGAATATTCCAATAATATATATGAACATAATAATGATAAATCGAGCATTCACAATAAAAAGAACAAAAAAATTATTTTGAAAAACAAAAATCAAAGCAGCGAGTCAGCCGAAGCAGACGAATTTGACAACTGGTTTCGGAGTTAAGGTTGGATGGAAGCGGGTGGAGAGGGGGGCGTGGCAGTGCACAGCTGATTTTGGATCGTTACCGTTTGACCCAATTGCGCAGGTGCGCAGAGAGGTAAGCGAGCTGTAAGTAAATGCCAGTTGCCGGTTTTCAAATTTCTCCCAAAGAAAAAGAAAGAGAGTGAGACTGACAGGGAGAGAGAGAGAGAGATTATGCGAGTTGAAGCTTTCAATTTTGGACTAGTCAAAGTCAAAGCTGAAATTGATTAGTCGCTAAGCAGACGCTAACCAAGAGAGACGTGGAAAACGATTTGGATAAGGAACATAATACCGTTAGCTATATATATATATATATATATATATATATATATACATATATATATATACGTGTGTGGTGCGTATAATTTTGTATTACAATGATTCATCAAGAAACCTGGCTGTCTGTCAGGTCTTTAGACATAACTGTTCTTATTGTTATTGTCTCTGCTGATGTTGTTGTTGCTGGCTACGAAGAAAGTTGTTTTGGAACATGTTAATTGTCTTTGGTGCGGCAACTGTTTAAAGCGGAATTTCTTTTGCTTTCATCTAAATGAAACGAAATTCATTTGTTCTTAGAGCAACGAGAAATAAGTTTCAACTCCATCAGAAAGAACATTTTTTTCGGGGTTGCTTACAAGTGAATTCAACAATCCAGGCAACAATAACAATAATTGTGAGAGAAACATCAATAGTAAAACTGTTTCTGGTTTAGTTTTCGAGGAGGTTCGATAAAGAAATATATCAGTATATATACATATATATATATATATATATATATATATATATATATATATATATATATATATATATATATATATATATATATATATATATAACGTAGTAATCTATCGATATTCTTTGGCAAATCATTGACTTGGTAGACTTGAAATATGTTCGGGTACATTCATAGTACATTCGGAGTAAATTCGGAGTAATTTCGGAGTACGTTCGGAGTACATTCGGAGTAAATTTATGTGCAAAGCTATGCATTAAGTTTTCAGCGAATTAAAAATTAATTGCAAATTCGGAGTAAGTGCGGATTAGGTTGGATGCAAATACTGAGTAAGCTCACAGAAAGAATTCGGAATAAGATTTTAGTAAATTCAAAGTGAATTCGGGGTAAGTACTTATGAATAGTGAACTCACAAAAATTCCGGAGAAAATTTGGAGTTAAATACAAAATCAAATAGAACTTAGTGAATTCCAGTAAAGTTTCATTGGAATTAAATTAGAGAAGTTTTGGAGTCAGAGTATATTTTATATTTTAAAAGTTAAACTTGGCTAAATCTGCTTACAGCTTTATTTATTAAATACAATAATTCAGAGTAAATTTGGTGTGGATTCGGAGTGAACATAAACCGCTTTCACCTGAAGCCTATTCTATGAGAAAAGTTCAGCATCATATATTTGCGAATGAGCTCAATTAATACCGTGCGCAGCTATACACAAATGTCCGATTCGGAAGGATCGCCGCTGGCGCTGCTGCTGCTGCTGATGGCGAACAGCATGGGCGGTGAGGCGCTGAGGCGCAACTTTGATGCGCGCCAGACGAGCGTCAACTCGAATATTCCACTGTGGAAGCAACGCGTAAGTAGAGCCAAGGCGCTCAGCCCGTCAGCTAGACTAAAGCAGCAGATCCATTGTCACAGGCCTGCGAGAAGTCGCCCAAGTACCAGAAGAACTCGCACTACAGCTGCGATGAGAAGGGGGACGTGAAGTGCCTGCCCGGCTGGCAGGGCGATCTCTGCCAAGTGCCGATGTGTCGGCGCGGCTGTGATCCGATGAATGGTAAGAGAGCGAACTCCAATCGAGACTCAATTCGACTTCAAGACCTGTGTTCTTCACAGGTTATTGCCAGCGTCCAGGCGAGTGCCGCTGCCGCATCGGCTACAGCGGCGAGCAGTGCGACAAGTGCATTCCGCTGCCCGGCTGCCAACACGGCACCTGCAACAAGCCTTTCGAGTGCATCTGCAAGCCCGGCTGGGATGGACTATTCTGCACAGAACGTAAGTCCCGCTGTCCGAGTTATCAGGTAGCTTTATTTACTTTACCACATCTTCACTTGCAGCCAGCTGCCGCAGCGGCTGCCACAGCACGCGTGGCTACTGCGAGGCGCCCGGCGAGTGCCGCTGCCGCATCGGCTGGGGGGGTCGAACCTGCAGCGACTGTGCCACAATGCCTGGCTGTCAGCATGGCACCTGCAACAAGCCGCTGGAGTGCAACTGTGAGCCTGGCTACACCGGCCTGCTCTGCCAGACAGGTGACTACTAGACAGGTGATGTCTCTGCTCTAGAGTATTTATCGAGCTTTATTATCTTGCAGCTTTGTGTGCTTCGGACTGCAGCAAGCAGCATGGCTACTGCCGCAAGCCAGGAGAATGTCGGTAAGTTAAAGTTAAAAAAATTCGGAATGAATTTGACTGTTAATAATCAATGCGCTTATCTATTCGACGCCATTATCCGAAGAAATTCATTTGCAATTCATTTTCAAGAATGGCGTCAAATAAGTAATGCTCTTCTTCGAGTCATAGCAAAACACATGCAAAAGACAGAGATAGACAGATAGAAAGACAACAATAGTGAACAATGCAGACAATGAAAATATGTCATGTCCCTTCAGCAGCTACATTATTTGTCTATTATTAGCTCCTTGCTTATGGCTGCCTGTACATTAAAACCGTAATCTCAAAGAAGTCGTTAAGGCAAAGCCATTGGCTGTTGCAATTGCAAAGATGGCGTCAATACCGACATATTTATATTTCTGTCACAAAATGACTTTAATTTATCTCCACCAGCTGCAAGGTGGGCTGGACTGGCTCACAGTGTGATAAGTGTTTTCCGTATCCTGGCTGTGTGAACGGCGACTGTGATGCACCCTGGGAATGCAATTGCCGTCCCGGCTGGGGTGGCATGCTTTGCGACGAAAGTGAGTACCATTTATACTCGATATATTTATGTTATAATTGTAAATAACTGCATTCTTTGGATAACAGAATTGAGCTACTGCGTGGACAATCCAAAGACCTGTGAAAATGAGGGCAAATGCATTTCGCTCAGCCGCGAGGATGGCAGCTATCGCTGCCAGTGCCGACAGGGCTATCTGGGCAAGAACTGCGAGATACTCGATGAGTTTCTGTTGACCTCGGTGGCACCGCCGCGCATTACACCGCCGCCAACCAAGCTCGAAATGGAGCTAGAGCAGGCCGCAGCTGTGCCTGATGATGGCAGCATAGTAGAGCAACCAACAGCAACAACAACAGCGACAACAACAACAACAATGGCAATGACAACAAGGAGCACAACAATGTTGCCAGACATTGGATTAAACGAGACCGCAGCAGCGACAACGTCAGCGACATTGGGGCTGCGCACACGTGTTGCCAACCACAATGCGTCTAATGAAGCGTTAAGCTATGGCAATGCAGCTGCTGATGAGGCGACAACAACGAGGCGTCCCATAGCAACAGCAACAACAACAGCAACTATAACAGTAAACGAACTTGGCAACAATGCAACAAGTGGGCCACAGTTCAGTGCACACAAGCAACAGCAGGCGTCAGCGTCAGCGTCGGCGGCAGCAGCGGCGACGGCGGAGGAGGAGGACGATGACGAAGATGAGGAAGAAGAGGATGAGGAGGAGGAGGAGGACGAGGATGAGGACGATGGCGATTATGATGAGGAGGACGATGACAACGATCAAATCATACCAAATATTATTTGAGAAATATGTTTTTTTTTCATAGATATATCAATATATACAAATATATATTTATTTAATAAATTATTTATTTTAAAGCGATATTTGGGAGTTAGCTAAACTTACGATAGCTAAACTCACGCTGGACTAGCCAATACCCTGCATCCGGTACTGAGCTGCTCTAGCAATCCTTATGTACTACTCTCCCCACACACACACATATATATATACAAATATAGATATATGCTTCTCCTGTTCTACCATCAGTTCCCTACAAAGTTCACGTGTGTAAACGTACTTCAAGATCCCTTCTATTTCAAATGCCATTTTCATTGAGGTACAGATGGAAAGGGACAAAATATCAAAACCATTAAAGAAACCTTAAAGCCTTAGCTGCTATGGGCTGTAATTAATACTTAACATAACTTCTTATTGCTCGATTGAGCAGGTGGATATAGCTAGATTAACTCGCTGATATTGCTCTAGAAAATATAAATATATATATACCCCAGCTACGGCCTATAGCTGGCCACTTTAACAATACCCAATATACCCTGACACCCTAATTGTACAGGGTATATAAGTCTGCAGTGTAAATCTGAAATAAAGACAAGATATTTGGATATATTGATATATGGTTTATATAGAATTTCATTTATTACACTAAACAATGAATTCCGCTTAACAAATTGTCAAAAAAAATCAATTTATATATATATTTAAGATTCTTAAGTTTAGCATTCAAAAGAATTGTACGAAAAATAGAGGGAAAAGAGACAATAAAAGGGGGGAAAATACTTGTATTGCGATTGCACGTTGTTGCTTAATTATTCAGATTTGCAAGGCGTCCGAAGCCGGCAAAGAGATAATGGAATACGGCTAGGATAGATCCTGCTCCCATATAGGTATATATATATATATAGATACAGGTATAGGTGTCGATATAGGTATGGGTACAGGTATAGGAATTGACATAAGGTAGACTTAACAAATATAAAAAAAAATTGTGGTCTTTATGTTAATAATAATCAAGATATATCCATATATATAGATATGTATATATATCTGCATATATATTCGAAATATTCGTTGCATTCTAGTTGAGCTCCCGCTTGTCGCGCTGACTGATCTGTGCCATGGTTATATATTGACGCACCAGCCGTGAGATCTCGTGCGCCTGCTCTGTCTGCACTCGTATAACACGCTGCTGCATCAAATTGCCAACCTTCATATCAAGGAAGAGGGCGCCATCCTCCGAACGAACCTGAAAGTCAGAGAAGCAGAGAAGGAGAGTTGAGTATGCGATATTTATGAATAGATAGATCAGTAGTAGATCTATAAATATATCAAGGATATGTCAAGTGACCAATCGATAAACAGATAGATAGATCGATAGATATATGCATGTATTGATGATCGACCGAGAGACAGATATTGAGATAGATAGATAAATGTAATCCTATGTTACCTTGCGCGTCGATATGACCTCCATGAAGCTCCAGTGCTGCAGGGTTTCGTGTGTGTTTGGATCCAAGAATAGAACTCCGCGTCTATTCAAGGCCAATATTAGATCTCGCCACATGGGACTGTGATTGTCCTCGACATGGGGCCCCGCCTCCTCGGCCCAGATGCGTTTCACCGCAAAGAAACTGCTGCCGAACAGTGGCCAGGTGGCGAGCACATTTAGAAATTGCGCCTTCACCTGCCCCGGGCTGAGATTGGCGACCTGCGGCCAAGCGGACTGCACTAGTCCTACCCATTGGGCCGGTCGTATTTCACGTATGCCCAACGCTGGCTTGGGCAACAGAAATTTGATCTCCTTCATGGCTGGTACATGGCTCAGATCGGCGGCGCGATGGAGCAGAGCCGCGATGCGCGCCATGTCGCGCACCATCTCTGGCATTGGCACCCCGTTGCCGGGCAGCTCGAGCAGCAGACCCTCGAGATAGTCGGGCGCCACCTGGTTGAAGAGCACCTCCACATAGAGCGGCATTGGCGCCGGTTCGCGCTTTAGTGCGAAGTGCCAAACGCTGCGACAGAATATCAAATAGAATGGCTGACCGGACTTGAGCAGCTCGGTGGTCACATCCAATATGTATTCGTCGGCGGCTAGTGGCATGGTGAAGGCATCGCCTTGCACGATGCAATACAGCGAGAATTCCTGCTGCTCGGCCTCCGATTCAACGCCCAGCAGAGCGCACAGCTCGGCAATGACGTCGGCCACCACAGTGGAGCAGCGTGTGTTGACCACACGCTCGGCACCACCGGGCAGTCTATAGATCTGTCTGCGCGCCGAGCGTCCGGCTGAGACGGCGGTCACCTCCTCAACGCTGGGCACATTTTTGCGACCGCCACAGCGGGCCGTTTTGCGCAGATTCGTTAGGCAGACGGCGGCGGTGCCATGGCACGAGCGACGCCGATCGGAGGCGGCAGATGTCAAATGTTCCATCAGATACGGACGCAGTGCGTCCGAGCAACCAAAGTAAGCGGCCAGGATGCTCAGCAAACGCCACGCACGCTGCGAGCTGTCTGGACAAGGCGAGCGATTCGCTGTCGTCTGCTTCATCAGCTGACAGTAGACCTCATCCCGCAGCGCCAAATACTTGTGACAATGCTGAAAGCACAAAGACATTAATAAAACTTCAATGATCAGCCTTAATTCACTTGACCTACCATCAAAACGGTGTAGACACATTTCACCTCGGTGAGCTCCGGATCGAGCGGTATGTCGCCGCAGTAGCGCAATATGCAATCGAAGCACTCCAGCGCCAACGGCGCCAAATCGTTAGGCAAACGCAGCAAGGGCAAGCGTATGGCATGGCCTTGCCACTTGACCAGCTCCGCATAGGAGCGATTTGCAGCAGACGACGACTGATGTCGTTCATGATGGCGATCGGCATCACGTAATTGACTGTGAAGTGAGGAGGAGAGCAACTGATTGGTTAATATGATATTCAAAATGGCGTTTCAGCAATAAGCTATAAATACATCATGTTCCGCCATCTTTGCAAGCAAGCAATTGTAACGGAAATCAACGCGTGCAAGACAGAGAACGAGCACTGTCTGTCTCTCCTCATGTGATTTGCCGTGACTCGATGAGGATCAAAAGAGAGGACGATAACTTAACAGTTATCTATGCGCACTACTTTGACTGCGTTATTATTGCTTTCTATGGCAAATGGGAATTTTTTTTTTTGCAAAAATGGCTGCACTTACTCGTTGCGGAAGTGCTGCATGGCGAACTGCAACAGCGAGTACTTGGTAACTGATGGAGGCGTGCCGCTGCCATTGAGTTCCTCCTGCAGCATATAGTTGCCATCTAAATCGTGATGGGATGTCTGCTGCAAATGTTGCTGTTGTTGCTGTTGCTGCTGCTGTTGTTGCTGTTGTTGCTGGTGTTGCTGCTGCTGCTGGTGGCCATTGGTCAGGGAGTTGGGCTGTTGACCAGCATTCGACTTGCGTGCCGAGTGCAGATAGCTTTGTTGTTTCATGAAGCGCTGCTGATCGGCCAGCTGCTGCTGCTGTTGTTGCTGCTGCTGGTGCTCCTCGACAGCATCGTCCAGCTGCAGCTGCTGCTGCTGTTGATGATGCAGCTCCACTTGCTGCTGCTGCTGCTCATCTTGGTCATTGGAGTGGGCATGTTCGTTGCGTCCAGCCTGTCGGCCCTCCAGACGCTCCAGCGGCACGTTGAGCGTTTGCGCAGCGGCGCGTGCGCCCGACGACAAAGTCGACGCCTTCGATTGTGACTGTGGAAGAAGAAGAAGAAACAAAAGATAAAGATGAAAAGTGCAACAATGAATGCAATTTGTTAATTGTCTGCGCCGTTGTCTAAAGTCAAGTCAACGGCTTGTGAAAGTTGCTGGGCGCCTTTTTGGCCAACGAAACACTTGACCAGCTAACCGGTCGCCCAGCCAACCGCCAAACGCCAAGCTCCAAGCACCAAGCACCAAGCCGGTTTGAATGATGTGTATGCAGTAAAAATATATAATATCATACAGTTGTTAGTACACAGTGAAAGCTCGCTAGAGCGAACACACATATCAAATGTGCGAAAAAGTTTTGGGCATATTAGCTGCGCGCAAGGCAGCTATATGAACTTGTCGAAAATTGATTCTTTACACACGCAATAAAGTTTTCGCTGCATCGGACTGAGATTGCCTAAGATGATCAGTGAACGAATGAAGCTCATGAAATTTAGATCAGAAAATTGGTCTTCAATATGCAAGCAAACAGCAGCTGTTCATCAATAGAGCTTTCACTGTACTGTTTAATTTTTTTGGCAACGAAAGTGTGCTTTTTACTTTTATTGCCAAATGCATTTGCTTTCCTTTCCATTCCACATAACACCCACACACTAAATAGCCGCAGAGCCCCGCAACCGCCACTGCCACTGCCACGCCCCCTTCGTAGCAAATTGTTGCATTCGAAGACACCCAAAAGAAGAGCCAAAAGAAAATTCATTGCACACGCTCAAAAGCGCATAAGCAACCACAACAACAACAACAAACAAGCCAGGTGAGTAAAAGTTGTTGTTGTTTGTTGTGGTTTTGTTGTGGTTTATGAAAGCGGAAATCTTTCACTAATCAATCATGATGTTTGGCTTAGTCAAACAGTAATTAATTATACAATTTCAATTTCAATTTCAATTTCAATTGCCACTTTTCAACACTGATAAGCAGCAAATGACCATGGAGGATAGATGGATGCAGATGGCTGGATAAAGGCAAATGGGAATTTGAATGGTAGACAAGAGGAGAGGGGAGACTTATCAGTAAGGTAGCTAGGATAAGAAGTTGGTCCAGCCAGAGATAAGAGTTTAGAAAAGACTTCGAAGTGCAGCTGAAGCGAACGCTATGAAGGAGGAGGAGGAGAACAAGAGCAAGAGAGCAAAAGAAGACGAGAGAACGAGAGATTAAAAAAGAGATGGAAGAAAGCATAAGAGGCGCAGAGCAAAGGTTTAGGAAATGTGTACAGAGGAAGGGAAGAGTGAGAATGGCAGAAGAGAAAAGCCAAATAGAGAGGAACTAAAGAGCAAACTTCCAGATAGATGATGCAGCAATAGCGCAGACAGCCAGCCAGCCAGCCAGCAGATAGCTGATGTGACAGAAGACCAGTTGCTGGAGGCTGTATTGAGAGACAGACAAACATTGAGTGCAACTGCGAATTCTTTTTACAGTTTCCCGTGGGCTTTATCGCTGTGCCAAATACTAAAGCAGAAGCTGACAAACGAGCAGTCAATAAAAGCAAAAAGAGAAGCAAAGCAAACAAATAGATCGCAAACGAGACGCACAAATGGAGGCTGGATCTGGTTTACATATATATCTGTACATATATACAGTACATATATATATATATATATATATATAGATATATGTTGCTCCCATACTTAGAACCGGGCACGCAACTGGGTCACATGACTTTTGCGTTTCTAGAGGGTCGCTCGAGTGGGCGTGGCTCTGCCCCAGTTGCTGCCACATGCGGAAAGCCAACAAAATAAAAACTTTAACAATGCGAAAATAAACTATTTAAAAACTTTGATTTGAAATATGATTTTAAAAGAGGTGAAGAATAAAGAGAATAGAGAGAGGTGAAAGAAAGATGAATAGGACAAGCGACAAACAGTAGAAAAGGAGCGGAGAAGAAGGCGGGAAAAGGAAAGAAGAGATGGGAACAAGAATAAATAAAGAAGGATGAATTAAAGAGAAGGAGAGAAGGCGAGAAGAAAAATTGACGAGAAAATTGCATAATGAGAGAAGAGGAAATGATAGGAAGGGGAAAGGAGTAGGAAAAGAGTAAGATGACAAACGCAGTACAACTAAACAGAAAAAAGTGATGGAGATAGAGATCAGGATACGCGAGAAGACAGCAAGAGAAGACCAAGAGATAGAGGGCGAGAGAGACGAGAGAGGAAAGAGGTGGGGCTAAGCAAACTTTCTTTTTAGCATTTACTGTTTAAAGCGTAATTTTTTATTTGTATTTTGCTCGAGTTAATTAAAAAAAAACAATTTGAAATTAATGCGCAACAGCTGTGTCAAAAGTAGAGAGAAGAAGAAGCAGACGAAGAAGAAGAGGCACAGCTGGAGCCGTGGCTAAAGTGGCTAAAGATGCAATTAAACCCCTTTTACCATACGTAGAACAAAAGAAGCGATGCTACCCGACCCGGCCTACAGCAATAAGAGAAAGAAAGAAGAAGAAAGAAATGACGACGCACGAAATGTAATTAAATTATTGAAATCAAATTACAGTTAAATAATAAGCAGCAGCTGCCACGGCCGCCGCTGCTGTTTCTTCTTCACGTTTCGAGTGGCACGTAAAAGTATCTCGGCATCTGGTAAATGTATCTCTCTTGGTATCTTTGTGGGTCAACGGTTTATTTCTACTGCGGCTTCGTATGTAGTTTAACGAGTGCTCAAATTCTAGCTTCAGCTTACTTTTTTGGCACTTAAACAACCCCTCGATCCGAAGCGTAGCATCCGATGCGCTTCACATGCCACCAGATGATCCCAAAAGCAGAGAAGAAATATCACGATTGCAGAAGAAAGTCGAAACGATTCTAGAAATCATTCTGCTAAAGACTCTACTGTCAAAGCTATTATCGATATATGCAATCAAAAGGACTTTGACTATCGAGATGCTTCGATATCTAAATATTGTAACTATTTTATGGCGTAAAAGCAGTGAAGATCGATATTTCGATAGCGAAACAGTTTCAACTGTCGATATATAGAGCAATTTATATAAGTTAAGAGCTATTATAAGAGTGATTGGTCATTAAACTCTAAATAAGCTAGCGATAACTATCGATATAAACATATATTTTATAATTGATTTGCTTTAACAATTAACCTAATCATATATTGATAAAAAAGTAAAAGAGCAACAACTACTTAAGTTTCAATACCAATAAAATAGCGATATATATATATAGTTAGATGTGTATCGACAGAGAATATAAGGGCAACGATATATATTGGTATAGTCAAACGGACTTTATACCAATAGAGATATAGCCACCGACAGCTATGAATATAGACATAGTTAACGATGGCTTGCCTCATGTAGCAAAGCAATGACTATCGATAAATCGATATATGTCAAAAGATAACATCTACTTTTTAACTATGTTTGAGGTTTACTTTCAGTTTCATCAAACACAAACAAATGAGCTCCACACTTCACCTGCGCCGAATACGAAAGTGAATATTCATCTCGATATATAAATCGATATATCAGTTATGTATATGCGTATGTATTTACAGATCTAACAGCAATTGTATTGGGCAGAGTTGAAAGACGTTGTGAAGCCCAGCAGCTGCACCAATTCCAATCGAGCCAGACACAAAGAGACGTCGCAGCTGTTGTATAATCGAGACCTATGATCGGGCAGCCACTGAAAGAGCAGATGAAGATGCTGTAGCTGCAGCCAGATGATGTAAGCATGTGGTTCAGCTGGGTCGCTGGCCCTCTGTTTGCTAATAATGCGATTATGCGTTGATTAACTTAACCGTTAGCCCCGACACTCGCCGCCAAACTGTAAAGAGCTCTCTTTTCTCTTCTGTGTCAGCTTTCCTCAGCAGTCGCAACTTCATTTGTGCTTATGAAACGACATTGTGAACATTTCGAGTTCAACTAAAAGAGTTTCTGTTATCAGCGACGTGACTTGATCTTTTGCCTGTTGATCTTTCACTTGATGAAGTAAATCATGAACCAGTCTTAGCAGCTTTCGCGACATATGATAGACGATATAGATATAAATTATATTTCAGAGTGTCATGTGTAGAGTTATATACTAACCACACGAGTATATAACTATCTGCTAAGCTATCCGTCTATCTATCCATTCAATTATCCATCCATCGATCAAGTAATCCATCTATCATAATCCTTCAAACGTTCATGCTCAAGATTTGTATTAGAATTTCATTGAAAACTTCCAGAATTCCAGCTAGGAATACTTCAAGGCAAGCATATTCATGCAATATATCCTCTTAGCACAGATGGAATCTCCATATATATTTTCTGAATCATTGGGCAAAGCAAAGACCTTACCTATAACTGGGTAACTGGATGAAGTTAGAGTCTAGAGTCTCGAGGGTCAAAGATATATTACTTAGGAGATTCCATATACTATTTGCTCTACTCCACAGAGTTGTCCTTGCCTATAGAGCTCAGCTTATTGTCTTTCCTTATCTATTATCTCAATAACACTCCTCATACTCTCCGAGCATAGAGCGAAGTGTCTCAATGGACTGAATTCAAAAACCCCTCTGCCTACCTCATTGGAGTTCATGGTCTCGAAGCGTGCCAGAATTTCCTTGACAGATATTTTAGACTCCGTTGGCTCCTCCAATATCGTTTCCATGCGACTGACCGAGCCGCTGCTGGCATTGCTGACGCGTCGCGTCTTATTGCCCAGCATGGGCAATGGAATGGGTATGGGAATGGGCAGGCTGATGGCGCTGGCTAGGGCCATTGCTGCAGCATCATTCGGGTCCTGCTGCTCCTCATTTCCCACATGCTGCTCCTTCTCGTGCTCCTCCTGCTCCTCCTCCTCTTCATTGTTGTTGTTGCTGTCTCTTTGGTTAAGCCGCAGCTTATAGTTGAGCTGCTCCTCGAAGCAGCACTCCTCGCACAAGCTGCCATTGGCGCTGATCGTTGAAGTTGCACCACTGCAGCACTTGTACACGATGTCCTCCTCAACGCTCCACGCATTATCATAGTCCAGCCCAGCTGCGGCACCACCAGCCGCACCACCGCCACTCGCAGCAGCATTCGAGTTGGCCAACTCCAAGCAGCATTGTTCATTGAGCTCGCGTATGCTCTCATTGGTCAACTGATCGAGATCGCTGCGACGGTGCAGCTGCAGCTGCTGGTGGTGCACCTGCGCCGCTGTGGTGCCCGTAATGTGTGCGATTTCAGCATCATCAGAGTCCGTATAGAGCAGCTCAGGTTGCTCCTCCTCGCAGCTATCCTGGTCGGTTAGATTGTTAAGGGAGTCGAGTGAAGCGCATTTCTCAGCTTCACAAACGTCCTGCTGCACCGCAACCTCCTGCTGCTGCTGCTGCTGTTGCAGCAGTTTAAAATTGTTAGCTTTATCGTGATGCATTTTGTGTATAAGCGACTCGACTTTGTTCACAATGCTGCTGAACTTATGTGGCACGCTGCCACCCGCATTGCTGCCACTGTTGCCGCTGATTGACTCGTGTGTCCTGGCCTCGCAGGACTTGCTGCTTCTAACGCTGTGCGACATGTTGCTGTTGTTGTTTTCTGGCTTTTCGTTTGTCCGAAATTCCGAGGCGGCGGCGCGTGCCAGTGAAAGTTGTTAAGCCATAGAGCACAACTGGCCAAACTACTGCACGATCATCATGAATGCTTCACTATATTATTTACACACGCACACAGCTCGAGCCAGAGAGAGACACTCGCGCTGCCTGTTGATTTCGTGTAAATACGCTGCGTATACGTGATTTTCAGTCACTTTTTTAGCCACTTTTTTCTGTTTGCAGTTTTTCAATTTTCGTGTCAGACCTGAATTTAATTTGATTTTTAATTTGCCTTTTGTCAGGCTGGCTTTTCGCTGCCCCCTGCCACCTGTCGAGAAGCCATCAAAAATTTGTTCAAGCCACAAAACAAAGCCAAAACGCTTGCAATTATGGCAACTGTTGCAACAGGATGCTCAAAGCAGTTCATTGAACTTCCACAAACCAGTCAACTCAAGCTGATTCAATGTTGAGCTAGAGCTAACAAATTTTGCAACTACAACATAATAGAATAAAGAAGTCACACTGCTCCCTCTACAAGGGTTACTAAGCTAAATGAGCTAAGGCAAAAAAAAAATCTGATACATCATTACATTTTATTATAGTCTTTCTCTCTCTCTCTCTCTCTCTCTTTCTCTCTCAAACGACAATCAACATGCCAAATTTTAAAGATCTAGCTCTAATACTCTTTATATTATGCCTCAGGAACCAAGTCATAAGTATCGATATTTATCGAATTAAGGCACATACTATAAGATCGATGTGAATGTTATTTCTAAGAGAGACTATTTATATTAGCTAGTTTACAATATCCATAGTCAAATATATCAATGTTTATTTGGATAAAGTGTAACTCTATAGAGTGTCGTGTCTCAACTTTCAAATGCTGCAAGGCACAGTCAAGTGAATAACTCGAAGTTGGGTCAAGTAATAATTTGAAAGCATCGGCGGGCCACGTTTGTGCCACAAGGAAATCGAACTCAAGTCAAAAAATATGTCAAACTAACGCCAAAGACTATAAGCGGAAGACTTTTTGGCACTGAAACGTGACTATAAGGCAAGCAGTAGTCTTCACTAAGACTAAGAGGCAAAGAGCTGCAAATTGTGAAGTTGGGCATTGACCAAGTGATCGCAACAGCTTAAGGGCGCCGGGCAAGCTTAACAAAAGCTATAGAAACACATATACACATGCCAAAGAGAGCTGCCACAGCGATCTTCTTGAGCTTCAAGCTATTGATGGAATGCCCCGCCACAACAGACCGACTTGCCCTATAGCCTATGCGAGCGATCATTGCTTCAATTTCCCTCAAAGGTCAACTGTGATCTGCTTGTAAGTCCTGCTGATCGTCGTTCTAAAGCTGTGCACTTCGCTTCACGTTAGAAAACTAGCTGAGCTTGCTGATCGTAGACTAATCATATAATTTATGGATCAATATTTGCTTAGTCAAACGTGAGCCAACTTCAAATCGTTGATCCTCGATCGAAAATGTTGCTTTCTGCACGATTTGCCAAGCACTCAGCGGACTTAGATATATGAAATGGACATTGTTAACTACTTTTAGCAACTGTTATAGGAATATATATAAATATATGGCAAATATCATTTCCTAGCTGTAAAAGCAGCATCATTTTATTGAGAGCACGAAAGAGGCAGATTCTCAATGCACAAAAGTCAATTTAAACTGATTACACTGGCAGCAAAACGTAGTTATATATCTAATAACTATCTCTGAAGATATCTACATACACTTGTAATATCTAATCTTTATATGGCTATGATTTGGCATTCGAAATCTTTGGGCTGAGGCATCGAACTGTTTTCGTTATTGGGTCAGGCACATAGAACAGCTAATGCACGATACAAAATAAAACACACTGGGAACAAAAACTTGGCCAACAGAAAAAAAAGGTAACAGCAAATAAATCTGTATGAATCTGAAGAATTCGAATATCGACGAACGTTTCTTTTTTTTTGCTTGAAGAAGCGCGCCGCGTGATGCCGTTACCGAACGCAACTGAAAACTGGGCAGAAACTGGTCAAAAGACCGACTTGACCAATACCGTCAGCCTGAAGAGAGGCAGAGAGTGAGAGAGTCTCCAAGAGACAGAAAGAGAGAGAGAGGAGAGAGTGAAAAGTGCAGCAGGGCCAAGCGGAGCGTAAAACTTCAAAAGAGACCGAGGCAGAGACACAGAGGGAGAGCAAAGACTCTAAACGAGTAGTGCAACAGCTAGAGGTGTGCGTGTGTGTATTTGTGTGTGGCTAACTGTTTTTTATTCGGCCAACAGTCTCGAGCAGGTTTTGGAGCTAGCGCCAAGATTGGCGTTCGACTAGTTTTCACGCATTAAACTGAATTAAATTAAAATAACTTAAAACGAGCTGAACTCAAAGAAAAGCAGAAAACGCTGATCAAATTGAATGCGTATGAGTGAAATGGAACTGTATATGTGTGTGTGTGTGTGCGAGTGTGAACGAGTATTGAGACAGTCAATCAGAGCGTATATGGTCACCCTGATAAAGAGACAGACAGAGAGGAAAGAGAAAGACAGACAGAGCCAGACTGATATGCTGTGATTAATGAACGCGAATGTGATTTATGTGAGCGAGTATCAGGCAGTCAGTCAACGAGTATGGCACGTACATGGTGACACTGACAGGGAAAGAGAGAAAGAAGAGGGAGAGAGAAGCAGACAGACTGATCTACTGATAAATGAATATGAATGCGAATGCCAATGTGAAATACGAGTGCGAACGAGTATTAAGACAGTCAGTCAATCACTATAACACATATATGGTCACCCTAACAGACGGACATGGGCAGCGCGACCGACGAAGCAAGTCCACTGAGCTTCAAGCACGCGTGTAAAAATGCGAAAACCCAAAGAGTTGAGAAGGCCAACAGAAGAAGAAGAAGAAAAAGTAGGCGAAGCAAAAGAAAACTGCGAGTGAGGGCGAGGAAGGAGCAGAAATACACACAGAGAAATTACATATGTATGTACATAGATCAAAGTAAAGGTCGGTTACAAGATAATAAGACTCTCTCAGAGCACAAGGAAAGGTGGGATAACAGACGAGGAAATAGGCATATATTATATATATTTATTTATATATTATTTATATTATATATATGTATTTCAAATAAGAATACCTCATGCAGTATTGCAACAGACTTTGCTTTCGATTGCATATCAAAGCTTATCAAAGAGAAATAAGTAGACATAAAGAGAAGAGCAATATATAGAATCGCAGAGGATACAGATAAATAATATTAAAGCTCTGCTAGAAATAAGAAGAGAGAAAAATAATGCGAGAAGTGCAAAAAAGCATTAAGTGCAAAAGAAACAAAGGCAAGCTCCGTCTCTGCTAAGCTCTGCCACAATAAAGCTCCAACCGAGACTACTTTAGATATCAAATAGGACACAATCAATACAATGGATCAAGCGCTGTCAGCCACGCAGCTCTTAAAGCCTTTTCGCTTAAAGTTCATTTAAATAGGGCTTAAAGCTGCCACCAGCCATCAAAGCTAACTGTCAAAGCTTTCAATAATTTTGCATGCAAAGTGCACGGAATTTGTAATGAGAGAAACGAAAGTGAAGCCAAGAAGGCGCGACTAGCAGATACCCTACAAGTTGTCAGAGAAGATAAGCCTCATATACCAGCTTACCAGTGTTGGTAAATCAACTTAGATGAACTACTTTATGAACAATCGTTCGTGAACTAAATCGTTTATTATATTCATTAGTTCCCTGAGTTGTTCAGTTGTGCAGCTCGACAGCTAAAAGGGCGAAAAGCAGGCGTGGTTCATGAACAGCTAAAAGAACCAGTCGTTCATGAACCATACAGTAGTAACACAATATAATAATAATAAGTGTTTCTAATGGACTATGTGAACTAGTTCATTTAAGAGACTAGCTCATGCCTAACGATAGGAGCTCTTAGTGAACTAGTTGAGTAGCTCAAAAGAACAGCTCAATGGAACTAGTTGCTTCTTAATAAGTGAAAAAAGCAGAAGTTCGTGCATGAATGACCAACTCTATCCTAGTTCATTAGTTCACTCGATCTTTGTCTGTTACAAATGAGTGCATAAGACCAATATACCCCGTCTGATTAATTCTGTAATAGATCATGGCTTGTAGCTTACCTTACGGAACTCCTGCACAAAGGATGTGATCATCGTTTGGATGGCCGCAGCCCGAGTCGCATGCAGCGCCAGATGCTTCCCGTTGCGCAGATTGAGCTGCAGAGCGGCTGGGCGTGGCAGGGTAACAGCATTCTGTATTTCGGCAAACGATATGGCCTGAACGACAATCAAGTAGTCGGCGTCACGCCTAGCCAAATAGAGGCCGCTGTGCGAGACGCCCATGATGGAAACATCCGGATAGAGAGGAGCACCCTGGACAGCGAAGAGCCGAGCGAAGTATAGAGGCCAGTCCCGGGCCATATCCACCAGATGCCGCTTGACCAAGGCGCGCACCTGCTGCCCACGAGCAGCTAGGGTATCCACGCTCACGCCATGCCCGTGCAACATATTCAGGGCAGCGTTCTTCTCTTGGGGCGTGATGCGCAGGCAGGGCGTTACGCCAAACACATCGCTCAGCACCTGAGCGAACAGCAGATCCAAGGCGACAGGCGGCCCGATTGGCTCGTGCGGCTGAAAGACTTCCTTGCGTACGCGCAGCTTCCATGGCACCCGGTTGTAGGTGAGGCACGCACTGACAGTGACATTCGCTGTGTTGGCCAGCGGCGTCACTGCTGCTGGCGGTGGAGGCACTGGAGCTGGCACCACGACAGCCGGCAAGCTGGAGTCGAGTGGTTCCTCACGCGCCGAACTGGCGGAGCTTTTGCGTTTGCGTTCGTGTTCGTATTTCTGGGCCATGTGCGTCCGGAAGGTAGCAGGCGTGGAGGCGAGCGACTCTCGCTCCCTCTCCCGTTCGCGCTCCCTCTCCCTCAGCTTGGCTCCGGTGTTATCCATGCTGGCCTGAATTATTCTGGGCGGCGCTGGCTGATAGACCTTGTGGCTCTCCTTCTCGCGCTCCACCTGACGCAGCTCGTAGAGACGTTCGCGTTCGCGTTCACGTTTCTCGCGCTCCTTTTCACTGCCGCTGCCCGAGGCTGGACCCTCCACTTCGGCACGATCCCACACAGATTCAGAGTAGTCCTCGCGATCCCTCGACCGACTGCGGCTGCGCGAACGTTCACGTTCGGTCTGCAGCTCCTGTTCCCAGGCTGCATGCGATGACGCCGTCAACTGCTGCTGCTGCTGTTGATGGTAGTGCTGCTGATGCTGCATCTGCAACTGCTGCTGCTGCTGCATCTGCTGCTGCTGCTGCTGCTGCATGGGCTGCCTGACTGCGCCGAATGTGTCCCGCTCTTGACGCTGTATAAAGGCCGGCACGTGCTCCTTTCTGTAGTCGGGCTCCGGTTCGTTGAGCTCAACGGGCGGACTCTGTGGTGCCGGCGGTGGTGCAGGCGGCGCCATGCTGGGCGGCCTTATGGGCGGCGGTGGAGCAGGCACATTCGGCGCCGGCGGCAACAGCACGCCCGGCCAAGCATTGGGCGGTGCTGGCACTGGCATCGGCGGTGGCGACAACTTGCCCTCCATGCGCTCGATTTGAGTGCGAACTGTGGGCAAGGCCTCGCCGGAGCTGGAATTCGCATTGGCGCTGGCAAAGAGTCCGCCCAGCTGCTGCTGCAGCATCAGTTTGCGTGTATCCTCCAGCTTGGCCGGCGCTCGCTGCTCCGACTTGTTCGAGACCGTGGAACGCACCGAATGACCCGCTGTCACCTGCTCCAAGCGCTGTCGCATCTCCGAGCTCAGCTTTAGCTTGCCCACGCTGCCCGGTGGCGGACGATCGGCGCCTATCTCGAAGCTCTTCTTCGCCAGCTTCGTGGCTGTAATTGTGGTCGTGGTGGTTATAGCCGAAGTGGTTTGCATTTGCTGATGCTGATGCTGATGCTGATGCTGATGTTGTACAGCATCCTGCACATCTCGTCCATTGCTCTCCATTCGTATGCTGCTCCGCATTAGCTGCGGTGTGGGACTTTTGCTAGACTCGATTTCGAACTCCTCCCATTCGATGGCCGTGTGCTGTTGCGCTTGGGGCGTTGTTTTCCTCTGCTGCTGACGCAGCTTGAAGGCAAAGAAGTCCTCCTCGGTTTGGAACTGCGGCTCACCCTGCGGCGGCGGCCAGCGCCACTTGCCAATGCGCACCGTTTTCGCTCGGCCATATGGGTCCAGGAAATGTCGCGTTTCCGACGGATCTTTGCACTCGAGCGGTGGCGGCATTGGCGGCGGTGGCGGTGGTGCCGGTGGCTGCATGCTAGACGTGGCCTCCATTACCAGGCTACTCGATCTGGTGCTTGTCATAAGCGTCGTTGTCTTCAGCCTCAAAGGCGGCGGCGAGATGGGCGCAGCTGGCGGCGAGCCACTGCCATTGCTGACATTCGAATTTGAATTGGCATTCGCATTGGTCGTAGCATTGGCTGCCTGCTGGCTGAGCAGCGTTTGCAGCGCCTGATTCTGTGCGAGCAGCTGCTGCTGTATCTGCAAGTTCTGTGCCATGGCTGACTGGAGGAAGGCGCGTTGCACCTGCTGCTGGTAGAGCGAGGCAGCCGGCACGGCGTCCGGCTCTCCACCTGGCAGCTGCATCAGCTGATGTATCAAGGGATCTGCAGCACCTGCTGGGCTATGCTCAGTGCTGCCGCCGCCCTTGATGCAAGCCCCCAAACGCTCCTGGGTAGCAAGTGTATCTAAGGACTCATCGAGAGAGAGGTCCAGGAAGTCCGCAAGATCGGACGAATCCTGCTTGAACTCCTTGTCGTGCGACTTATCCTCACTTTGTTGCGGCTTCTTACTGCCTCCTTTGATGCATGCCACCAGCTGCTGCTGTGAGGCAAGTGTGTCTAAGCCATTATCCAGGGACAGGTCAATAAAATCTTCCAGGTCGGAAGAATCCTGTCTGAACTCTTTGTCGTCCGACGGATCCTCTGATTCATTCAATAGCAACAGCTCATCTATAAACTCTTCCAGCTCTTCTTGATCCTGCTTGGCTTCCGATGCTTCATGTGATGAATCATTCAAAAGGAGCAGCTCATCTATAAACTTCACAAGTTCGGCTTGATTCGGTTTAGATCCCGTGTCATCTGATAGATTTGCCTTGATGCAGGACACCAGCTGCTGCTGTGGGCCAAGCCTGTTCAGCGGCAGCAGCTCATCTGTGAAGGTCTCCGCACGTCGACTGCCACGTATGCTGGCGGCAAGGGAGCGAGCATCGGAGAGCTCATCCAGTGAACCGTCGAGCACTGGACTAAACAAATCATCGAGGAATTGATCCACATCGGAGGCCTGCGAAGGCACGCGCACGCGTCGCACATGGGAGGCCAAAGAGGGCGCCTCACTGGTGTCCGACATGGCCGAGGAGCGCGTCGCATACTCCGACTTGTCCATGTTATATTTGCTGGAGTGCGCCGAGCCATGTGAAGCAGCATGTGACCGGCGTCCGGCATGCTGAGACTTTTGATAACGCGGCGCTGACTCTTTGCCCATGGGAGCCAGACGCTCAGCCGAATGATAGCGATCATTCAGGCGGCTCTCCGAGAGACCCAGCGCCAAGGTGTGTAGCGGCGACTCCTGCGAATCGCTGTCGGGCAGCGGCAGCTGTTGGCTGCCCATGTCGGAGGCTAGCAGGTCATCCAGCGACTTCGAACGCGACTTGGACTGAGCGCCAGGCAGCAGATGCGGCGTAATTGGCTCCTCTGTGCGCTCGAAGTAGCGTTCGTTCAAAGCAGAGCTGCGCGAGAGCAATTCGCGGCTGCTGCGACGTTGCGGCTGAGCGGGCTCCTCCTGCTCTCTTTGCTGCTCCCGCTTGGCTGCTGTAGTGGGTGGTGCAGGTGGCGGCACGCCGGGCCTCTTCACAGCCTCCGGCAGCGAGGTGCGTGCAAATTTCGCGCCGGAACGCAGCAGATCGCTGCGTGGAGCTGGAAAAGCTGGACACAACTCCTTCTCGGCAATCAGATCCATGACGTAGTCCAGGCCACAGCTATCCGTCAGCTGCTGGCCATCATCGAGTACCAAAGTCCAGCCACGACTAGCCACTCCCAAGGTAGAGACAGCCAAGGCAGCGGCCTCCTCGCAGCTAGTCCAGGAGTCAACAGCGACCGTTTGGCTAGCCTCGTCGGGCAGCGTCAAAGGCAAAGCCATATCGCAGCCACGCGACAAGGCGCGCCACTCCAGCCAGGCGGGAACGAAGCTGCGGCAAGCAGCGGCGCCCGATGAGCTGCTTTGCTGGCGCAGCAGTTGTCTCTGCAGCATCTGACGATCGCTGGCTGGAGCTTCATCCGTGACAAACTTGAGCAAGTACTTGCTGAAAGCCGGACTTGGCTGGAAGCAGCACAAGCACTGCCCGAGCAGCTGCCAGAGGCGCGCCGACACAGCCGACTCAGCGCCATGCAGCTGATTGCACAGCTGCACGAGTATCTCATCACGTAAGCCGCGCGAGCTCAGCGCCTTGTGCACAATGTAGTCCGAGAGTAACTTCTCCTTGGCACCTTCGCCCTCTAACGCCTTGTCGCTGCTCCAGCGCAAGATGAGCTTGAAGACAGCCAAGGCATCCTGAAAGTCCTGATCCCGGGAAGCAGCGCGCGTCAATAGCGGCGCCGTAATGGGTTCTCTTCGCGGCTGCAGCCGCAAGCCATTGCAGTAGACGCTGCTGAATTTGCCAAAGCTAAACTGAGCCAAGTCTGATGGCAATTGGGCATTCGCTGACGGCGGACCTGGCACAGTGCCGAGCACTTTTACCAAGTGGCGATCGCTGTGCGGCGGCGTCCAGCCTTGCAGCTTCGAATAGATGAAGGCCAGCTCGGCGGGTATATCCAGGTAGCTCAGTTGGCTGCGCTCCAGATTCGCCTGCTTGGCTTCACGTGCCTCGCGCGCACGCTGGGCTGCCTCGCGCGCCTCCTGGCGGCGGCGGTGATCGGAGCGCAGCTGCTGTACATGACGCCGCGCCTGCTTGCCGCGCCACAAGCGCTGGGCGGTGCGTGCGCCATGTCGCAGCTGCTGGTAGCGCTGCTGCTGCCGCTGCCCGCGCCAGCGCGCCTGCAGTCGCGTTGCGGCCAATTGCCGCCGCGCCAACTGGCGACGCACCAGCATGCCACGCACATGTCGCTGAATGTGGACCGCTGCCTGCCGCAGACGTTCCGTGCGTCCGCTTTCCAAGGCGCGGTGCAGTGCTTCGCGCAGAAAGACGCGTGTGGCGCCCAGCTGGTAGTCAGGCCCCTCCACGCCAGTACGTGGCATCGCCTCCAGCAGCAGGCGACAGAGCTCTCGGTAGGGCGTGCCGCGCGCTAGTGGAGTGCCAAGCAGATGTCTGTAGCGCTCCACGAAGTGCTGGAAGCGCAAGCGCACGGGATAGCCGCGTTGTCTGATCTGTATTGTATCGAGCATGCCGAGGTAGCGCAGCTGCTGGAGCACACATGGCATGTCCATGCGCAGCGGCTGCTTCTCCTGGTTCGGCTTGATGCAGCGCACAAACCACGGGTGACACCGGCCCATCGACTGCAGCAGCTGTTGCAGCGAGTCCGCGAATCGGGCAGCTACAGTTGGCGTGCGCGGCTTCATGGTGACGAAGCGTCCGTTGCTACCCTTGGGCAGGGTCTTGCCAGCGTCGCGTTGGGCACGCAGCTGCTTGGTTAGCTCGCTGACCAAGGGCAGTCGACTCGTAGCCAACAGCTCCAGCACATCGCTGCGCAACGCATCGCGATTCTTATCCAAGAAGCCATCCACACAGTACCACACCTGCCCGGCGTAATGGGTGACTCCAAACTCCTGAGCGCCAATCCGCGGGCGCGCGTAGAGCTCGCTAAGCGCATGATTGTAATGGCATTTCTCAAGGAAACTCAGGTCGGTGGCACGCGGGAAGTTCGACTCGTCATCGAGCAAATGGCAAATGCCCACCGGCTTCTTGGCCAACAAATGTATAACCGGCAGATTGTCGTCCCAGGCCAGTGGCGTCCACTCGAGACGCTCCCTGGCATATTCTGCCTGCTCGAGCTTGAAGACATGCTTGTTGAAGTACAGCTGGAGGTTCTCGTTGGCGTAGTTGATGCACAGCTGCTCGAAGCTGTTCTCAGCCAGATCCTCGAAGCCAAAGATATCGAGTATGCTGATGCGATGGGCATCATGCGTGCCGCCCTTCTGCACGATCGAATTGATGCGCGACACTAGCCAATTGAAGAGGCCAGCATAGAGGGCCTTGGCAAAGGCATCTCTGGCGTCCAGGGCCTGATCGATGCCAAGCGGTGTGTGCAGACGCTCGGCACGCGCTTCGGTTGTGCGACTCGTCAGGGCACGATGCATGCCCTCAGCGCTGATGTGCAGCAAGTGGGCAGCCCATTTGATTTCGGCATCGGAGCCGATCTCAACGCCCTCTTGGCCATGTCGCAGCTGTCGGCGATGGAAGTAGACATTGCCCAAATGGAGCACGGCCGCAAGTACCCGTACAATGCCTTCGCGCTCGCCCTCGGTAACGCCCAGCACTTGCATTGCACTGAGCAGCGAGGCCCAGTCGACACGACCGCTGGCGCAATCCGTAGCGCCTTGATTCAAATAGAAGTACTTGTCCGCCTCGAGCAGGCCGTACTTGGCACGCTCCGTTTCACTGAGTCCGCCCAGCATTTCGTAGAAGACATGATAGTTGCGTTCACCGGGCGCTTGGGTCACGATGCGCGACTTCTCCAGCAAATATTGCGTTATCTTCGCGCCCACAATTGCGCCGCTCTTGAAGTAGACCTCGAGATATTTGCCAAATCTTGAGCTATTGTCGTTGCGGGCGGTGCGCGCATTGCCGAAGGCCTCCAGCAGCGGTGCCGCTTCCAGAATTTGCTCCGTGATCACAGCTGAGGCGCTGCCACCACCGGGCACCACCGCGGCCAGATACTGCATGACCAGCTTCGTGGACTCCGTCTTGCCAGAGCCGGACTCGCCAGAGATGACCACCACTTGGGGTGAGGGCAGAGCCGCATGCGCTGCAGCGCCAATTGCAAATAGATGTGGAGGTAACGCGCCAAGTGGACGCCCAGCATATTGCTTGGCCACCTCCAGGCCATAGGCATCGGGAAACATCTTGTACGGATTGACGGCTATGAGTATGCTGCCGGCAAAGGTATAGATCAGCCCCTTGTCGTAGCGCAGTCGCAGATTCCAGAGCAGCGAGGCCTCGTGCAGGTCGTCCAGCAGCGTCATATCCTCCACTCCGCTGCTGCCCAAGTCCTGCCGAGCTCGCAGGCTGCCCTCGCCTGGCTGCAGCGCGAACGTTTGTGCCTGCGCGGGAAAGAAATTTCAATTAGTTTAGGTTTCACTAAAACAGTATTTAAATTGCGAATGTGCAAGATGCTAAGCTACTGAAAATCTAGCTATATTGGGAAATTAGCCAAGGGTTTCTCAAGTCTGACATTGGGTAAGTGTAAGGGAAAGCTAAGGCTGGAATAAGTTCAGGAATGACAAGTTTCGGGAATTTAATCTTCGGCAAGCAATTCACTTTCGATAGAAGACTCGATAAAAAGCCTCTGATCGAGGATTCTAGACAAAAGGATAGCAATAGAAGATTTCCGATGTCAGACGTCCGATTGAACATGTGGATAAAAGTTTCCATTATCAGACTGTGACGTTCATCGACAAATTCCTGTTAAGATTTAAGATGATTGAAGTGCGATTGGATAAGCTTTAGCGATGTCTCTTCTGCTTCGCGCACATGCTGCCTAGAGCGAGCTCTCTCGGCTCATACTTCAATTAATAAACTGCTAATATGCATGAGAGCTGAGAGCAGTTGAAGAAGAAGAAAACTCGTATTGCTTGACACTAGGCTTAATTGGATTTTGGTTGGCGGATCGGCATCAGATTCGGATTTAGAATTTAGACTCTCACATGGCGGGCCATCGCGTCGCTGCAGAGTGTGGAGAGGCGCTTCACCACCTGCGGATAGCGGCACTTGAGGCGACGCTGTCGGCGCAACAGCAGCTGTTGCTGCTGCAGTGGAGATTGCTGAGCGAACACCTCATCCAGATCCTCGAGGCTGGCCGGTCGCTGGCGTCGCAGCACGTGGGGCGACAGCAACGCCAGCGATGGTGACTGAGCCGGACTCGGCGTTACGGAGCCGCAGCCGCTGCCTCGCTGCCATGGCTCCAAATGAAAGCGTACGATGCGCATCTATCGACTATCGGATATCGAATGTCGACTATCGAATCACGACAACCGAACAATAACAACAACAATAAGAACAAGAAAGAGACACGTTGTTGGCCGCCGTCTCGAATGCAACTGAAAGGAGTCAAGAGCCAAGCGACTAGACATCGCTACAGTTTTCCCCCCATCCAAGCGCCTCACCCCGCCTCCTCCCCGATTACCCATGCCTAAACGGTGTTTTTATTTGTATGCTTTTCTGAAAGCCAATCAATTGAAACAAGTTTTTTTTTTGTATTTTCTATTTCGAAAGATGAGACGCCTCCTGACCAACTGGCAGCCAGTTTTGGAGAGAGAGAACAACGGAACAGGCAAAAAACCTGTCGCATGTCGTTAGCTTTGATCTCAATTCCATTAAGAGAAGAACGCTCTCTAGCTAACCCCCCTTCCCCCTCTCTCACTCTTTCCACCTCTCTTGCTGAGCAGCACTTTCTCCAAAGGCCAAAGCAGAACCAGTTAAGCTCTTTAATTCTTTGTCACACGCATGCGCTGCAGCGTGCAACGTTTGCGGCATTTCGATTATTGTTATCGATAACGAAAAGCAAATGAGTAATCGAAGCCACAGCTCAAAGAAGTGATGCTTGACATTATCGATAACTGAACATCAATATCGATAAATCACTAATATCGAATACTTATATAAAAGCATGCATTTGCCAATCGATAATATTTTTGTACACAATAATCGATTCTCACTTAGATATATTTCTTAAGTTTTTTTGTTATAGTCTGTAATCGCATAGGACGAGCAAGAGCTTCTGAGGCAACTGCTCTATTCGGGCTCTGAGGCTCTTTCAGAGCTCAGCTAATTGCAGTTCTCGCTCCAGCCGGAGCTAATTCGCTGTTGCTGTAACTTAACTGAAATGCTTCTTTCGTTTCTCTTTCCTCGGGGCCAACAAGTTGTCAGACTTCGAACAGGATATACGCCGACCGCTGTATGTGCGTGCGTGTGACAAGCTTAAGTATGCGATCCAGTTTGGGGATGCACGTTCACAACAATCAAAGAGCGGTATATTGGCTTTGCTAAGTAAGAAGAACAACAAATCGATATTTATCGACATATGCCTGCAAGTTTGCAAACTCAAAAACTGAGAAAGAGACGAACTAGCTCTCACTCAAACGCAGATCAAGAAGAATCGATTAGCACATGCTATGACGATCAACACATAAAATAATTAAGAAACAAAAAACAAAGAAACAATTTACTAATTGACACAACTGCGATATATATCGATATGTTTGACTTAGGAAAAACGAGAGAAGCATTTAAGAAAGCAAAAGAGAGTTAACAAAATCGAAAAGTAATAAGCAGATGCTCAAAGAGCTTTATTATTTATGCATCGATAATTATCGATTTCAATAAATTAGTAGTGTCACTGAAAACAGAATGAAAACCGAAAGCTACTCTGAAGCAGCTTTGATGAAGAAGCAAAGAAATATTGTTAGGGTTATATATCGTGCATACTTCATCAGGAATATATCGCTAATGGACTGAAAGAATGAACTGTGCATACCCGCCTTGGCATATGGTGACTTCTTATTCTTGAACTCTTTGCTGGCAGCAGGAACTGCAACGGCATCGCTAACTGTTAGCAGCTATTATCAGCATCAGTTGCAGCAGCATCAGTTGCAGCCTCTGGCTGACAGACGCTCGACTCTCCCGGACGGTCGGGTATAATTGCAAAGGAAACGAAGCCGGCAGTCGCTGCCGGCTGCTAAGCAATTAGAGAGAGCCGGCCAGACACACAGCATCGAGTTGAGAGTTGCATACAAAAGACTTCCGTTTGACAAGCACCAAATTGGCAACTGGGCACTTTGGGCAGTGCACCAGCTCCCAATGGCCAAAAGACCATTTGCCATGCCATGAATTCCAAGTGCTGCCAAAAGCGAATTTCAGTTTATATTTTTCAACTCGCTGACAGGTGAAACTAGTGAAATGCAGTCATAAAGCCGACGAAGTGGACCCTTTACTAACTCGACGACTGCTCAACTAGCAGATGCCCTCTAAACAAAACAAAGCTAACGTCTAATGCAACGAAAATAATATATTTTTAGATATTTAATTTTTCAAATGGGATGCAAAACTTTTGAGATATGTTATTGATTGAGTTGAAGACGTGGAGTTATTCCTATAATATATATAAAACTGTAAAATCGATATTTATCGATATTAATAAGAGCGGCAGAGATCAGTAATAGAAAGGTCAGAGGCCTTATAGACTTGAAGCTTAACATCTCAGACGCACAATCCAAATACTATGGGACTCAAGTCTATCGTCATTCGTCTACTCACCTTGCCCTTGATCATGGCCTGAACGACGATCACCTGGGCGGCGCGATGCACTTCCTGAATCTCGCCGGGTATGGGATGTCCGACGCCCGGATCGAACCACACCAGATCCCCCTCGGCCCAGTCCATGGTTCAATCAGCTTTGGATCGAAGCGCTATATATCTATAAATATATATATATATACACACGCGATCTGCCGTCGAACGTGCAGCTGCTGCCTTTTCCAATCCAACTATTCGCCAATTATTAAAATCAGGTGCTTTTGGTTTTACTTTTCAGCTTCTTCTTCGGCTCTGCTGCGGGAGGGAGAAACGGGAGCTGGCAAAATCTTCAAGCCGCGGGCCGATGCATTGCTGCAAAAGTAGAAAATAAGAAAAACATTTGATTAAAAAACATTTCACACACAGCAGACACAAAAAGTGACAAAAAATTCACGTAATTATTTTACCTCTCTATAAAAAGTCTTATCAGAGTCGCTCACCCACCCCCGTCTTCCACCACGACAAGTGATTGTCATTGTTATTCGAGCTGTGTGTGTGTGTCTGCATACTATTCACACTCACTGTGGCACAGGCGACAAAGTTGTCAACGTTTAGTTGAAGCTGCGCTCCGAAGGCCTCAATGAATGAAAGTAAGTTTTTGTCTTGCTTTCTGCCTTGGGCCTTTCTTATATACATTTTCATTTCAATTTCCATTTTTCCAGCTTTTTTGCTTTGAAATGCAATCGAATGCAACGACAAAAATCATCATTTTTTTTAGAGCATTTGCTCAAAACACAAGTTCAGCTGAATGGCAACGTTATTATAGAGCTATATATATTTATAAATATATTAAAAATATATTGTATATATGATATATCATAAATATATATATGATATTGTATATATGTATATATATACTATACAAATAGATATACTATGACTCAAGCCTGAAGAAATAAGTTAAAGGAATGCCTAAGAAGCCCCATTCTAGCACTCAAATCTGATGCTGCAGCATTTGTGAACTAGTTTTATGTTTGGTTCAGACGTGAACTAGTTCGCCACTAGGAATATCAGAGCATGGTATATACAGAGGTATACATCCATTAGTGAACTGAAACAGTTCTCAATAACTATTCTATATATATATATATATATATATATAGATATATATATATATATATATATCTATATCTCTATTTATATATGTACATCCATTTGTCAGCTATATTTGTGTTGCTAACTTTCAAGAAAGATTTCAAATTCATAAGCTTCAAAAATTGGCTTTCACCTTCCGTTTAGAATTTGACCCGAATTTTGCGATGAAAATTGAATAAAATAAAATAATATAAGAACTCTGCAGACGGGTGTCACTGACTGCAAAATGCTCGTTCACAACTCGAAAATGGAGGCGTCGTTATATAAATTCTAGGTTTATTTGTCGAGCAATTCAAACGTTTTCTAATTTCAAAGTCCTTTCAATGAAATGTTTTGTGTCTAGGGGGAGAGAGTGGGAGAGATGGAAATAGGAACGGACAGAAGGAAGCAATGACGGACCGCTGGAGAGTTGGACGAGCAGATGGACCGATGCAGAGACGGAGGCATGGAGAAACGGACGGGCGGGAAGTAGGAGCGATGGAAAAACAATTGTAAAGACGGACGGACAGAGGGATAAGGAGCCGAAGCCAGGCTTGGCGAACATCTCCGTGCGCTGCGTGAGCGAGCATTGGAAATTGTTCAGAGCAAAAATCATAAATAATACAAGAAATTTAAAAACAAAAAATGCTGGTCAAGAATTTTAAGCAGTTCGTTGCTTGATTAACATTTGGTGAGACAAACTTTCACCTGTTTAGCGGCAAAAGGCCTTAACATAAATATGGTATAAAATGCTGTTGCTGTTTGTTGTATGATGTTGTTGTTGTTGCTGTTGTTGTTGTTGTAATGCATGCGCGCACTGAATTTGGCTTTTGGGATTTGGCTTATTCGGTTTTTGGCCAACAAATTCGTGCTAAATGGCTAAACAAGTGTTTACGCATGTATAAGGGAGAGTGAGGGAGAGAGAGGGAGCGGGGAGTCAAGAGTTAAGAGTATAGACGACTCGTTTATAAGCGTCACAAGTCGAAGTACTGTTTTGCTCAGTGGCGCAGCTGCCACTCATTCATGCATTCATTCAACCAGTTCGTCACTCAGTCAGTCAGTGAGTCAGTTTAAGCTCGCTCCCTCACACACACGCAGCATACACTCTCGTTCGCTAGCACGCTTTCTCTCTCTCTCGCTCTCTCTCTCTCTATTTCTGTCTGTCTGTCGCACTCTTTTGGGCAAATAACAAAATGTTGTTGGCTTGGCAGCCGAGGCGAGTTCGACCGCATTCCAATGCTAAGACGTCGCTGTCGCTGTCGTCGTTGTTGTTGTTGTCTATGCTGAGGCAACAACAACAACAACAACAACAACACACTTTTAATGTAAGTTCTCATGTGTAATCAATGAGCAGTAGCTGCGCAACATTTGCCAATTGATTGTGAACAAAAAATAAATATATAAATAATGCTAAGATCTGAATAAAATTTAAAGAGCAAGAAAAAAGAACTAAATGAACTTTAGTGCTATAAAAGATCAGATAGCAACTAGCTGATGCAACGGCACTTATAGCTTGAAGTAATGTATGCTCACTTAGGGCATAATTCATAATTCAAGATCACGAACTAGTTCATTTCTATACATGCTATATATATAAATAGATATTGAAATTGCTGCTAAGTCTCTTTTGAGCTAGTTCTGAAATTCGTTTAATATCAATTGCGAGCCAGTTCACAGCTCACAGCTCCAGCTTCAGCGCAGTGTCAGATGCTCAAAGTCATTTGGATGGCACGCTGGACACTTTGAACTGCGACCAAGTCAACTATGGCCCTTGACTTGCTGCCCAGTTCAAGGTTTTCAGATAAACCAACTCAACGCAACTCTGCTCGTCCCTCGCCCGCCTCTCGCTCGATCTAAAATTTCTCTCTCTCTAGTTGTTGGCTTAATAAAGTGTGTTTGGGTGTAGCTGGTTGAGTTGTCATTGTTGTTGTTGTCTGATGTGTTGCCCGCTAAGTTCGTTGTCCAAGACTTTTGTCAAGTTCGTTGCCAGAGTCTTTCGTTTCGACTTGATTATATTCGAGATATTTGAAATGCATTTTCTAGCAGCGGCTTTTCCCATGACCAAACGCGCTAAAAACAAAAAATTTCGTTGCTCTTCGATTGCCACAGCTATATCATTTCTGAGTGTGTGTGCCTGTCTCTGTCTGTGTGTGTCATAAATTTGTGAGACAAAAAGGTAGAACCGCACCTGCATAAATGTTTAGCTCTAACTGATACAGGTGTGCTTCTATACATATGTATGCGTCTAGCCAGCGTGTGTGCTAGCCAGTTTTTAGCTATACCCATTAAGAAAGGGGTCGATTGGTTGGCTCATGGAGTATATGAATATATCTGAAAAGCATTAGAAATTGAATCAATTTAAGCATAACTCGCAAACTATATCTGTAGACATTTGTATGAGGTTGCTCCGGGAGCATGACAAGGTCTACAATATTTTACTTTGGATGACCAAAATTTCCAGTTGTGCAGTTGATCTTTCAGGGTAAAGAAAGAACCAGAATACATTTTTAGTTACATAGCTCAACATATACTCTAAGTAATCAGAAGTAGAATCATCTCGAAGAGCGTTTGGGATATATCTAAGCGTAAGTCGATGACATTATAGCCAAATGCATATAAAAGCCAAATACATATAAAAGTCAAGTGCATGAAATGCATCAATTAAATAGATGTAGATCCAAAATTGATGACAAATGGGTTTCTAAGGTAACTGTTAGTCAATCATAGCCCACTACAGAGCCTCAGCTTGTTTTTTAAATATTAAAGTGATTTTTTTGCCATAAATTCTTGGCATAGCTGAAAACGCAGCCAGCTGCCAAATGGCAGAGCCCAAGCATGGCTCGCCTGCGTGTTGTGTTGGTGTGTTGGTGTGTGTGTGTGTGTGTGTATGTGTGTGTTGAGGGATTTGGTACATGCGGCAAACACAGCAAGACGCAGCTGCCAACACGACAAGTGAAACTTTTGACAAGATCTGCAAGAGATGAACAGAAACTGATTTTGGCTTTGCCAATTCATTTCCATTTTTATGGCACGCACAACAAACACACGCACAACACGCACACACGCACACACACACACCAACACACGCACAACTTGACTTGGCTATCAATTTCGATGGCGACTTTAATTGAAACAGTTTGTCGAACTGCAATTTATTTAATTTATTGTTCATTTTACTTTCAACTTTTGTTTGCTTTTTTATTTTTTCTTGTTTTTTTTTTAGCATTTAATGTTTAACATTTAACACGCTGCTCCATTGCATTTCTCTTTGCAAAAAATGAAGTAGCTGAAGCGCAACGCTTTGCGTTTTCCTTCAATTTGTTTTCAATTCGTTTTCAAATTAAGCTATTTGGCCATTCCACACAGGCCACGCCCAACGGCCCAGCACGGAATTCCAAGGCATTTCTCGAGGAATTTATCTTTGCTTCCAGTCAACTTAGGCGCGTTGTCCCAGCTCTGATGAATCGTTCTCGGTCTAGTATCGGTCTATCGATAAATGCCAATTTATTCGTTGCAGCTGAATAAAAATCATTTGCTAATTTATCTATACCATTGACAATTCTGTCTCACGTCAACATTTATTATACCCTGTAGTGATTGAAGTTGTCTAGCGGAGTATATTAGAACATAGCGAAATCTATATAAGATATATATCCAATTGATCGGCAACAGAAGCATAGCTAAGCTGAGCTCTTTTCACCTGTCAAATCTCATATAACTGTGAAAGGTAGAGATCGAAAGTTGTCAAGTTCAGCTTAAGTTTCTAGCTATCAATAAATTATCGATAACTGATATCGATAATATGCATTCTTATTTACTTTATTTTTTAATGAAGTACTTCCCACTATCCCATAAAGTTTGTTGTCTAAGTCTTTTGTGATTGTCAAGTTCGTTGCCTAAGTCTTTCGTTTAGTTAGTTTTTGCAATTTTCTTAAGATAAACAAGTGTTCCCGCAGAACTGTTTGTCTAACTTCAATTTTTAACCTTACTGCGTCTTCTTCTTCTTCTTCAGCCAGATCTAGTGAGGCTTGTCCTGCTTCTCTTACTAGCCGTCTACTTTTCATTCTTCCGTGTCATCTCTTCTTCTTCTAAATTTCTTTCTCTTCCTTTCAATTGCTTGTTCTTCCAATGTTTTTCTCCAACTTTTTATTTTTCTATACTTTCTTCTACTTCTTGATCCGCTTCCTTCTTTTACTCTTCTTCCTCTAATTTCGTCTTCTTTTTGGTGTTTTCCTCTCATCAGCCTCCTTATTCTCCTTCGCCTCTTTTACAGCTTTTGCAGCGCCTTCTTCTCCTCTTTCCACCTTTTCTCCTGCTATTTATCATCATCTTCTTGTTCTTCTTCACAGACAATTCGATTTATTTGGCTGCTCGTCAGCCCCGCTGACTAGTCACATATTAACATTATTTGTTAGCGAAGTAAGCCGCTTTATGTTTACCCAGTGTCCCACACTCTCCCTCTCTCTCTCACTCTTTTTCTCTCCCTCTCTCTCTCTCCGCGACGACCTCACGATTTGTTGTACTCGCACAAATAGAAAATTTCATTGTAGAAAGAAAGAAATATTTTTAGCAAGAAGCCAAAGTCGAAGCCAAAGTCAAACTCGAACTCGAAGTCGATTTCACTCACACAAGGGCCAAGCCAAATGCTCAGCAAACTTGGCTAAAACACACACACACAACGACAGCGCAGTGAGCCAAAAGGCCAATAAACCTTTTGCCAGAGACAGCGTCACAGCCCAAGCGCCAAAAGTTTGTGCCACAAATGTAGTTGTTGTTGTTGCTGCTCATCGATCACAGACATTCACACATATATATACACACTCACACACAGCAGCAACAGCAGCAGCCGCAGCAGGGCCATAGCATAAACAAAAAAGGGAAATTTTCAAAGAAGTTTTGCTTTTGTTTTGCTTTTTTTCCAAGACAATTGAAAGTGCGAGACGACAACTGCAGATGCTGCTGATGCTGCTGGTGTTTGATGTTGTTGTTGTTGATTAGTTGTTGCTTGTCGCTGAAGTCATTAAATTATTCTAAAATGCATTCGTGTTGCTATTTGTTGTTACCTCTTTGTTGCTTTGAGGTGCGCCGCTGAGGCTCAACTGTTGTTGTTATTTGACTGTTGCTTGACTGTGGCGCACCCACAACTAACAGACACGACACACAGACAGCCCCCCACACACAGACAGCAATTGAATAAAAGGGGCGTGTACGCCCCCGCACACAGACGGACAGGCACTGCACAATGTTTGCGCATGAGCAATTGGCAAAAGAAACGTATATCGATAATATATCGATAGACAAACACAACGAACTATACAAATTAGCTGCACCTAGAAAGTTATGCAAGAATTTTCATATCGAGCATATCGAAATTGTCGATGTATAGTTTGATAAAAGCAAAGTAATTGGCATTTTAAAACAATAAATAAGTTTTTCTGCCTGATACTTTATCGATCAAAGATGGTTAGTCATCGATATACGACAACAGCTCGGCAGCACTTTTGATGGCAATACAAGCTAAGGATAGACAGAATCAGTCGAATTAGCGATGTTGATGTTATCGAATAGTTATCGATAAGTAAACACTTGCTGATATGTATACAATCTGAGACGACAAGCAATAGGTTGAAGTCTACGTCAGAAATGTCTATGTGCAATAGATATCGATAACCGTTTCGATACACACAGACAAACTAATTTGCACTCGAGTTAGTAAATACAAATGATCGAATTTTAAACGGATGCATATGCTATCGATCAGTCATCGATAACCGTCGAGGCAGACACAATGGAAGAAGAAAAGAAACAAGAGACAACAAATAGCTATGCAAATGAAATGGCGCGACAACAAAAATTAAATTTCACTTTGATGGATTTCTGTGTTGTTAGTTTGTTGTTGTTGTATTTGTTGTTGTTGTTGTTGTTGCTGTTGTTGCTGCTGCTGTTGCTGTTTTTCGCTGCGACTAAGTATTTTGTTTGAGTAAAGTAAAAGCCAATTAACATCTTTGTCACATTAACATGCACAACTCTTACTCTATACGCATACATATGCAAATGTGTGTGTGTGTGTGTGTGCCACTCCTGTGTGTGCCTCTCTTTGTTATGCATTTGAGCAGTTGTACTACGCCTTTTCAGAGACTGCTCAGAGCAGAGGCATTGAGCGGGGTAAAAAAAAACAAAAGACTTAGGCAACGAACGTGAACCAAGAATGTTGAGAGGCAGCCGCAACTGTTGCTGTTGTGGTTGGCATAGCTATGCACGTTATATACGGAAGTGGCACACACAGAGAGCGATAGATAGAGAGAGAGAGGGAGAGAGCAGCGAACGACGCGCGTTCGTCGAAGCAATTCGAATGCGGAATTCTTTGGCAGCCGGAACCAGTTTTTTGTTGCTTTTTTTTGTGTTACTTCTACCAATTTTTCAGCTTTTTTTTAGCTACTTTAGCCTTTTTTTGCTGCTTTGCTTTGCTTCTTTTTAATATTTCTGCACGCTTAACTGTTTGGCTTTTTATACCGTTGCAAGCAGCGTTCTCGACATGATTTGCCAAAACGAAATGCGAATGCCACGCCCCCAGCTAGAAAAGCCCGACCACTCCATCCCACTTGAATTGCAGTTGAACGCCAATTCGAGCTGCGTTTTCAGAAAGAAGAAATAAAGTCGTCGCAGCTAGTGCCACGCCCCCTCTCTCGTACCCGACTGTGCAGCAACCGTTAGGTTATGCAACTGGGAGAATAAAAGGAAAGCACCGTTATAGGCAATAAACTGAAATCGAACAAAAATAAATAATAAAACCAATCAGCATAAAATCTGAGCATGGACCAAGAAGAACTGTAAGAACTGGTTCCTCAATTTAGAATTCGAACTCGAAAATTTTAATAGTTGAACCGATGCCAGTTCTAACTGATATAACAGTAAATTTTATTTTCTATATATTTTTTTTCTTTTAATTTTTGTAATATAATATTTGATTTTTTTTTAAAATTTATTTTTTATATTTTTTCATTTATATTTTTAAAAAATGTAATTAATTTTTTATGCTTTGGAGTTTCAATTTTGCCAAGGGCTTAAGCTAATTTGTTGTATTTAATTTGAAAAAAAGTTACATTCACATTTTGAATATGAAATAGAAGCAAATGGGTATATACTGTAGTAATAAGAATCAATCCTAGCTTCAATCAGTTGCCAAAAAAAAGCTATTTACGTTACGCTTGAAGATGAGCTCATTGTAATTTGGTTTATGTCATTAGAATTCAATGCAAAGCGCGCAAATCAAATCGATTCAGACTGCAGTTAGTGGCATCTCTTTTCTACGCCCTAGGCTACCACTGATCTTCGTTCAGTCTCTTCGTTCAGTCTCTCTTTCCCTCTTTGACTACCTTTACCGGCAAAGGCAATGCAAATGTATTCAAATTCCAGTGCATTCCAATGCAATTTACCGTAGCAAATTTCTGATTGGCTGCTATTTTGTGGCAATGACATTTGGCAGCGAGCCAGTTATCGATAGTCGATAGCTTTATGTATCACTCACTTGTTGCTGTTGTTGTTTTTTTTTTGTTGTTGTTGTTGTGGCTGTGTGCTGCTCCCTTGTTTCAGTTAACTGTTGCGCTCCCCTTTGCTGATGCCTCTGTCTCTGCCACTGCCTCTACCTCTGCCGCTGCCGCTGTTATTGTCCACGTTTGTATTTTAAATTACTTTCTTTGTATGCGTTACGATGTTTGTATATGTAGTTATGTATGTGTGTGAGCTGTTTCTTTTTTGTCTGCTTCTTCTTCACTCTGCTTTCTACGTCACTTCGTCACACACATTAGAAGAATTCTGCTACATTTCATGCGTTTTGTTGCTGTTGTTCTTTTTGCAGTTGCAAAAAGCTCTCACTGTGCATATGTATGCCTGTGTGAGTGTGTGTATGTTTGTGTTTCACAGTTAAATATATAAATCAAAAATTAAATTATTAAATCGCGCACTTGCAAAAAAATTAAAATATTTGTGTTTGTTTTGTGACTGTGTATGCGTGTATGTGTGCAATAGTAAATCGTGGCACGCGCGCACTTAAAAAAAAAGGTTCAAATTATACCGACGGATTCTGCGCACACGACCTGCCAGCTATAAAACAGAATATACAATGAGAGGTGAAGTGATGCTCGCAACTGCTCTTGACTGTTGTTCGATAACGTTAGGCGCAACTTGCGCACTGTTATCGTTTATGTCAGCAGCGCAAGCATTCAAGTCCTGCTAACAGTGCTGCTATGTAATTACATGAGCGCGACAAAGTTAGTTCTCCTAAGATATGGAAGCATTTAAATACTGATATATTTCACAAAGTAGATGAATAGTAGCTTTATCTTAGCCAACTACGATACTTAAATTTGATCTCGATCATTCTCCGATATCAGTCTGTTAGCGCACATTCTGCCCTGTTATCTTCATCAAATTTCTCAAAGTTGCGTTAACATGTAACAAATAGGTCAAAGTTGCGTTAACAGTGGCGGCGTTTAACTTCCGTAGAAATCAAATATATTATTAAATTATTTGATTTCAACCAATTACAATTAAAGTGAAAGTGAAACGCCGAAATTCAACTGATATTGGCCTCAAATATACTATCATAAAATACTCACAATTGGATATTACTCAAAATGGTACTGTTAATGGCCAGTGCAGCATTAACAGCTCATTTGAGCATTACCAGCCCAGTTGAGCATAACATTGGTATTTGCAGAATAGTAAACGAATAACAAATTTTAAATAAACAAATCAATTATAAAGACTAAAGACCTTATATGTGTTGCTAAGTTAAAACAATGGCCACAGCAGCTGATTGCGAGACGCTGACAAACAAATGCCAGAAGGACACCAGTCAGACAGATGCTAGCGCTGAACTGTCACAAAGTGTGAATTTTGCAGTCTCGGAAATCGCAGCAAAAGTAACGGAGCAAATTGTAAAAATGGAAATCGATACAGATTTAACCACAACAGAGACCCTAGATGATTTGGATGACCTGGACGTGCAAGCAGGCCACGGCAAAGGAAGCAATGAAAAAACAAAAGAGCAGCAGATGCAGCCAGGCAAGCCGCAGCACTTGGGCAAAGCGCAGCAGCCAGGCAAGGAGGAGCATAAGACTTTCCAGGCGGAGCAGCCATCCCAGGGGCCCGAGGTTCAGCCAATCAAGGCGGAGACAAAGTTGGAAGGGCAAGCAGCAGCAACAACAACAACAACAACAACAGCAGCAGCAACAGCAACAACAACAGTTACTGTAATTGAGATGGAAACCGAAGTCGACTTAAATCTCAGTTCATCCAAAATGGCGTCGCCCTGCAACGCCACCACGCGACCTGCAAAAATCACAAGGAGCACCCTGAATGGCGCTCGTTCGCCCACAATAATCAAGAGGTTACGCAAAAGCACGCGTAGCACACGCTTCAAAGCGAAGCTCCAAGGACGCAACAACCCAAATGGCGGAGCAGCCGGTGCTACTGGCAATCACAATGGCCAGCTGAATGGAAGTGGAGCTGGAGCTGGTGCAGGATCGGGATATGCGCCAAATGCAGCTGGAGCAGGCAAATCGCACGGCAAGGCGGGCTTAGGCGGCGCTTCTGGCGGCTCCGCAGGCGGTGCAGGTGGCGGGGGCGCCAGGAACCGGCGCTCCCTGTTCAAGCGACCCGCACAGAAGACGCCGCGAGTCCAAGCCTCGATGCAGTACGTCAAGAGCGTTTTCTACAAGGGCAGCTACATGCAGATCGGCGACATTGTGAGCATTATGGATAGCCAGCGCAAAATCTACTACGCCCAGATCCGAGGCTTGCTCGTGGATGCGTATTGTGAGAAGTCGGCGTTTCTAACATGGCTAATACCCACCCAGGATAGTCCAGATCCTCAGGAGGGCTTCGACCCAGCCACCTATCTAATAGGTGAGCGAATCTCTTAATCTCAATGGAGCACAGCACTAAATCCTCTCCTTTATTATGCTCTATTTCAGGCCCCGATGAGGAGCTGTCGCGCAAGCTTTGCTATCTGGAATTTGTGATGCATGCGCCCAGCAACTACTACTATGATTGCACCACGCCCTTTCCACTGCCCGATGTGGATGAGTATCAGAGATCTGGCGGCTACATTTGGACGCGCTTACCCACTGTGAAGCGTGAGCGGGAGAAGGAAAGGATTAAGGACCGAGATAGAGACATGGAGCGCAAGTCAGGTGCCTAGCAGTGGCCACGCCTGCGCCGGCAGCTACAGCCCATTCCTCGCCAGCACATGTCAACAACTTAACTTATTTTTTTTTTATATATTTTTTGATTTTTTGTGGAATCTTTAAGAAACTCGATAAGACACGGAAAAATGTGGAGGGCTATTAATGTTGTTTAGCTACTTTCTCTCGTCCGTGTTACTCGTGCTCCTGGGCTGCTCCACAATATGCATGATAAGCTCGTTCTACATCCAGCTCCAATTGCTGTGCCCTTCGAGCAGCTGCGTCCAAACCCTTGCGCTTACCACGCTTTGGCTTGGCCGGACGCTGTGGCTTGGCCAGTGCTTGTGAATCTGCGGATGCCTGCTCAATGGCCACCAGATGCATTTGGCTATTGACCAACTGCAGCAGCTGCATGCGCCGTGCCACGCAAGCCTCAGCTAAAAGAATGCTAAGCGACGACTGATCACCGGGCAAAGTTTCGAAGGCAGCTGCATGAAAGACGCCTGGAATGCCAGCTGTTAACCGAGACTCCTCCTGCTGCTGCTGGTGCTCCACCTTCTGCTGCTGCTGCTGCTGCTGCTGTTGTTGTTGTTGTTGGTGCTGCTGCTCCTCCTCCCGGTACTCCTCCTGTATAGCCTGCGGTATTGAATCAGGCATAAATATGGCTGCCTGTCGAGCCGCACGCAATTCGCCAATTACCTCATTGATAGCCGTCTGCAAACGGGGCGTCACATGTATGTCGTTTGCATTTCGTGTCATGAGCCAACACTGCTCGACCACATCCACAAGCAGGTGATATATCATCTTGACCAGCTCCCGCATCATCGTACTGCTAACACTGGAAATGCTATCCACAGTCTGATTGATTGCCTCCTTGTTGCTCTTCAGCAGTGGATCAATGATTTCGTCGTGTATCAATTGACTACCGCTGCCGATGCTGGGCAACAGCCAACAGAGTAGGAATAGCTTAAAGCCGGTCAGGAAGGGTACCCACGGCTCCAAACAGGCAGTGAAAAAGTGAAAGGCATTGAATACACCAAATACGATCCAATATTTCATCCACGATACCTGAGTTCGAACATTACCGCTTAGACTATTATATGTCGCGAATGCCGGATATAGCCAGCCGACTACCATTATAATCAATTCGTAAATCATCTTCCAAAATTGCTATATTCACCTATATATATAAACCTATATTTTTTGTGGTTTTTGTTATTTTTTTTTTACACGGTTTGAAGACACTTTTTCGCGGCCACACGGAAATTTGTGAAGAAAAATTTCCTATTTCAAGAATTTCGATATTTCGGAGCACGCCTCTGTTTTTGTGAAAGCACTGTTTCGAGTGAGCCCCACACAACTGCTCCGAATACAACAAAATATACAATTAAAACGGCGACTACTTGATTTAAATCGCTTTCAGTTTTCAAACAGAAAACGACAAGCCCGCTCCGTTTCAGTGTTGTAAAGTGTTGCACATGGATAAGAAATATCGATTGGTTTTGCGCCTTGGATAGCAAACTGGAAATTCGCAAAATTTTAATAACATATTTATTCAAAAATTATATACAAAAGTTTATTTTACTACGTTTATGTCAACATACATATAAATATATATTTAATTAATTTAATTTTAATTGAAAACGGAAAGCCAACTGCGCTGTTTGAAAGCTGTTGCGCATCGAAAGTGGTAACGGTTAGAGACCAATTTAAAATATAATCTAGCATTTATTTTCTCTTCTTATGTTTTATTAATATACAAATAAAACCATATAATATAATATTAAAACAATACAATTTTGTATTAGTTATACTGATGCATGTTAGATTGTGGGCTTAGCCTTCCTCTTCGTGCTTGTTCGTGTCACGAATTGCGCTCAACTCTGGTGTCACTGTGACGTCACAGCAGCAGTTCCATGGCTTGCGTTACCTTACCGTTGTCTTAACTCTAAGCGTCTTATCTGGAAAATGGAAGCAGAATCAAATATATCAGCCCGGGAAAGATGTGCCAATCCACCTTCTGTGTGCTTGAGTGATGTGGATGATATATCCGATGTTGATGTGGAAGATGTTGTGGACAAGCTGCATAAAACAATAACATCGAAACCAATCTACGATGAGAAGAGAAGCATATTCAATACAACGCTCGACTTGACAGATGGTAAAACAGACAAAACTGCATTTCATTTGAGTTTTATATAAATAATATTTCTGTTTTGTAGCTGACTCTGAATGCCAAAGCGCCGGCGCAAATGTGGATGCTTATGTTGCGTCTGTTGCTGAGGAGAAACAACTATGGGAAACCTTTACCACCAAAATTTTGCATAAATCGGATCCAGGAAAGATGCTTGCAACCAAGCCGAGCGGCGAGCAGCAGGCATATCTGAATCAGGGACCCAATTTTCCCAGTTTTATGCGCAACTTCAGCAATCTTATGGACGATGGCAATGCGTTTATTCGGCAGCATGAAGAGATGCAGGACCTACAAGAGAACTTAATGGATTGCTGCATGATCATTCAACAACAACGGCAACATAATTGCTTAGCCGAATCGTTGGCTAATGGAATTTCCATAACAAAATAGAATATATGTAGATAAGTTATACGATATATAAATAAACTGGCGATAGTCACGCTTAAGTAGATATTTGAAATTGCAATATTAACCGAAAACAAAGGTATATCGATATATTGAAAAGAAAAAATATATTCATATTGATTGACCATCGGTATTTCTTCTGCTAGCGCATGCTTATCGAAAATCAACTTTTTACAAACAACGGAACATTCCATTAGATCGTGTGAGCAGTAACGATATATATTGACATGTTCTGTATGCGATATTTGGATAATCAGACATAGCTACGATTATGCTTTATTTTAAGGTACAAATCAAATATAAAACTCAAAATGAAATGAGTTGTACAATTGGCGTTTATTCTACATGTTTATAGGTGTGTATGGGCTTACTCCTTGTTCCAGGCAGCTAAATATTTCATAAGATCTGTTAGGCTTTCGAAATCCGTGCGACTGTTAGCTGGCTCATCTTTGCTAATCCGCGGCAAAGCGTTGCCCATTTTCAATCTAAACTCCGCGAACTGCAAGATATTTTACAATTACAATTGTAATAACTATATATCGTTTAATAATACTAATGCGATAGTTACATCTTTGGCACCACTCAGCTTCCAGAATCCATAGCAAAATGCCCCAGTGCCCAATACAGCATACAATGTGCCCCAGCCAAGGGCTCGCATCGCCAGCGTTGTACCTTCATCCATGAGGATGATGCCCTGTTTTGTGGCTTGCTGCTGGAGTACTTTGCTGTCCGATTTCTTGGCTGTGGCCAGCGTGCGAGAGAATCCAAACAGCGCAGAAATGCCGCCGACGAGGCCCATGAATGCAGCCGCTAAAAACAGATATTAGGCGTGTGTCAATTCAATTGGTTTATTAATTTACCTTGTATGCGAAATTTGCGCTTCTTTTCCGCAGCGACTGCATCTACGGCAGAGCCGGCTTCGCTCATTGTTTAACCAGTTTACTTATTTGATTAGTCTTTTATTGTTGTCGTAACCGTAGCACAAGCGATATATCAATACGTTACGAGTTACTATCGCTTGCTGAAATATATCGCGCGAGATAGCGATAGTTACGTTTGTGTGATTGTAATTTAAATTTAACTAAGTATAGAAACAATTTTTTTTTTTGTAATTTAAAAGTTAACTAATGTATTTAACAAAAATTAAATATCAATAGCTGCAATTGCTTATAATTATTAGACAATACTTAAGCATTGTTAGAGCAACACACAAATATCGTTAATAACATTGTCATTAATGCAACCATATTATTTTTTATATCATTAATTGTACCGACAACCCTAGAATTGCTACAAAAAAAGAATTATACTTGTCACTGAATAAAAAAGGAACAAACGTCAATTTTGTTCCGCAACAAAATCAATTAGCAAACTATTGTTGCTTTTGCAGACGTTTTGCCGCGCAAAAAGACTAGCATCGATAAGCGCTATCGCATAAAGTGAAAGCAAAGCGCAGAGTTGCGTTGGAAACTAAATCGAGCACCCACTACATTTTTTAGTGCGCTTTACGGACTGCGTTGCCTCGCGTCTGCATGTAAAAAACCGCGGATATAGCAGCAAAAGTCCATTTCGAGCGTTCAATTGTAATATAAGAACATGCGCTAAACACACAGCAAACAAACGACAACAACTTTATTTTGTTTTCATCGCTGCCAAAAACAAAACGCGTGTGGCCAACCGTGTGCGCTGTACGCTCGCTGGCTTTGTCACGCGTGCAAAAAGTTTTTCAGCAGTTTTTCTCAGTTGCGGATAATTCGTGTCAATCGCGACACTTGAAAGAGTTTTCCGCAACAAGACAACATGAGCACCACAACGGATTCGAAGGCGCCGCTGCGCCAGGTGAAGCGCGTACAGTTTGGAATTTTGTCACCTGATGAAATCGTAAGTAGCTAACAAATCGAAAAAAAAATAGGTGAAATGCGAAATGTGAAATCGACGCCATATTGAAAATCAATTGTCGCAGCCAAAAATTATGCTGCAACAGGCCCATGATTCACTTAGCCAGCGATGGAAGCGCCAAAATCCAAAGCCTAATCCTGATCGGAAATTCGAAGAAATTCGAATTTCAGCATATTTCTTTGATTACTCGAATTGCAAAGCGCATTTTTCTTAATGAAAGTCTGATTTGACATAAATATATCTTGCGTAGCTTACGTCCGATTTGATGTATTCGTTATATATGTATGTATTTGGGCAGATCTGTGGACTAGTCGATATAGACATAACACATCAATTAGCCACATTATACGTGATATGATATTCTAGTATATAGTAGTAAAAAATTATGTACATAATAGTAGTAGTGCTAGAAGTACTAGTAGATCTAGTATAAGTGCGAAAGGTGTTAGTAAAAATACACATGATCAAGTCTAATGCTTTATATTTTTGCTTAACTTTAGCGTCGTATGTCGGTGACAGAGGGTGGCGTTCAGTTCGCTGAGACCTTGGAAGGTGGTCGTCCGAAGCTGGGCGGCTTGATGGATCCTCGCCAAGGTGTGATTGACCGGACGTCGCGTTGTCAGACGTGTGCGGGAAATATGACCGAATGTCCGGGACATTTTGGCCACATTGACCTGGCCAAGCCCGTCTTTCACATCGGTTTCATAACGAAGACAATCAAAATCTTGCGCTGCGTTTGTTTCTACTGCTCTAAGATGTTGGTCTCCCCACACAATCCGAAGATCAAGGAGATTGTCATGAAATCAAAAGGTCAGCCACGCAAACGTTTGGCTTACGTTTACGATCTGTGTAAGGGCAAAACGATTTGCGAGGGCGGTGAAGACATGGACATGACTAAAGACAACCAGCAAGTGGATCCAAACAAGAAACCCGGTCACGGTGGCTGCGGTCACTATCAGCCATCGATACGTCGTACTGGTCTCGATTTGACAGCCGAATGGAAGCACGTGAACGAGGATTCGCAGGAGAAGAAGATCATTGTCTCCGCTGAGCGTGTCTGGGAGATACTCAAACATATAACCGACGAGGAATGCTTTATTTTGGGAATGGACCCGAAATATGCTCGACCAGATTGGATGATTGTCACCGTGTTGCCAGTGCCTCCTTTGGCTGTACGTCCGGCCGTTGTTATGTTCGGTGCGGCCAAGAATCAAGATGATTTGACACACAAATTGGCTGACATCATCAAAGCCAACAATGAGCTGCGCAAGAATGAGGCAAGCGGTGCTGCGGCTCACGTCATACAGGAAAATATAAAGATGTTGCAATTCCATGTGGCAACGCTGGTCGACAATGATATGCCCGGCATGCCGCGTGCGATGCAAAAGTCGGGAAAACCGCTGAAAGCGATTAAAGCGCGTCTAAAGGGCAAAGAAGGACGTATCCGTGGTAATTTGATGGGAAAACGTGTCGATTTCTCTGCACGGACAGTCATCACACCCGATCCCAATTTGCGTATCGATCAAGTCGGAGTGCCACGTTCGATAGCACAGAACTTGACCTTCCCGGAGCTTGTCACTCCATTCAACATCGATCGCATGCAGGAGCTAGTGCGTCGTGGTAATTCCCAATATCCAGGCGCCAAGTATATTGTACGCGACAATGGTGAACGTATCGATTTGCGTTTCCATCCGAAATCCTCGGATCTCCATTTACAGTGCGGCTACAAAGTGGAGCGACATTTGCGTGACGATGATTTGGTCATTTTCAACCGTCAGCCAACTCTGCACAAGATGAGTATGATGGGTCACAGAGTGAAGGTGTTGCCTTGGTCCACGTTCCGCATGAATCTGTCCTGTACTTCGCCTTACAATGCTGATTTCGATGGGGACGAGATGAATCTGCATGTTCCCCAATCCATGGAAACACGTGCTGAAGTCGAGAACATACACATAACACCGCGACAGATTATAACGCCGCAGGCTAACAAGCCCGTCATGGGCATCGTGCAGGATACACTCACCGCAGTACGTAAGATGACGAAACGTGATGTGTTTATCACGAGAGAGCAGGTGATGAATCTGTTAATGTTTTTGCCCACGTGGGATGGAAAAATGCCGCAGCCATGCATCTTAAAGCCACGTCCGCTGTGGACAGGCAAACAGATCTTCTCATTGATCATACCCGGCAATGTGAACATGATACGCACGCATTCAACCCATCCGGACGAGGAGGATGATGGACCTTACAAATGGATATCACCCGGTGATACAAAGGTCATGGTGGAGCATGGTGATCTTATAATGGGTATACTCTGCAAGAAAACTCTCGGCACCTCGGCCGGATCTCTATTGCATATCTGTTTCCTTGAATTGGGTCACGATATTGCTGGACGTTTCTATGGCAACATTCAAACGGTGATCAATAATTGGCTTCTGCTTGAGGGTCACAGCATTGGTATTGGCGACACCATTGCCGATCCGCAGACCTACAACGAAATCCAAATGGCCATCAAGAAGGCGAAAGACGATGTCATCAACGTCATACAAAAGGCCCACAACATGGAGCTGGAGCCAACGCCTGGTAATACGCTGCGACAGACCTTCGAGAACAAAGTGAATCGCATATTGAACGATGCTCGTGACAAAACTGGTGGATCGGCCAAGAAATCTCTCACGGAATACAACAATCTGAAGGCTATGGTGGTGTCCGGCTCAAAGGGTTCCAACATTAACATCTCACAGGTACGCATAGCGAAAGTTTTAATAATCTTTAGCTAAAGCTAATATTCTTGAATTATCTTTGTCTAGGTTATTGCTTGTGTGGGCCAGCAGAACGTTGAGGGCAAGCGTATACCATACGGTTTTCGCAAGCGCACGTTGCCGCATTTCATCAAGGACGATTATGGTCCTGAGTCCAGAGGCTTTGTGGAGAACTCCTATCTGGCCGGCTTGACACCTTCCGAGTTCTATTTCCATGCCATGGGCGGCAGAGAAGGTTTGATTGATACAGCTGTGAAGACTGCTGAAACTGGTTATATCCAGCGTCGTCTCATCAAGGCTATGGAGTCTGTAATGGTCAACTACGATGGCACAGTGCGTAATTCTGTCGGACAACTCATTCAGTTGCGTTATGGCGAGGACGGCCTTTGTGGCGAATTGGTCGAATTCCAAAATATGCCCACAGTGAAGCTTTCGAATAAGGTCTTTGAGAAGCGCTTCAAATTCGATTGGTCAAACGAACGTTATATGCGCAAGGTTTTCACAGACGATGTGATCAAAGAGATGACAGATAGCAGCGATGCCATTCAAGAACTGGAATCCGAATGGGATCGTCTGGTCAGCGATCGCGACAATTTACGCACCATCTTTCCTAATGGCGATTCAAAGGTGGTTCTGCCATGCAATCTGCAGCGAATGATCTGGAATGTCCAGAAGATCTTTCACATCAATAAACGCCTGCCCACAGATCTGTCGCCGATGCGTGTGATAAGAGGCGTTAAAGGATTGCTGGAACGTTGTGTAATTGTCACGGGCAACGATCGCATCTCCAAGCAAGCCAATGAGAATGCAACGCTACTCTTCCAGTGCCTCATCCGTTCGACGTTGTGCACCAAATACGTATCCGAGGAGTTCCGGTTGTCGACAGAGGCATTCGAGTGGTTGATCGGTGAGATCGAGACCCGCTTCCAGCAGGCTCAAGCGAATCCGGGTGAAATGGTTGGCGCTTTGGCCGCTCAGAGTTTGGGTGAGCCGGCCACACAGATGACCCTGAATACTTTCCATTTCGCTGGTGTGTCCTCGAAGAACGTAACTCTGGGTGTGCCTCGTCTCAAGGAGATTATCAACATATCGAAGAAGCCAAAGGCGCCTTCACTCACAGTTTTCCTTACCGGCGGCGCTGCTCGCGATGCTGAAAAGGCCAAGAATGTGCTCTGTCGACTAGAGCATACCACATTGCGTAAGGTAACAGCCAACACAGCTATTTACTATGATCCAGATCCGCAGCGTACGGTTATTGCGGAGGATCAGGAGTTCGTTAATGTGTACTATGAAATGCCCGACTTTGATCCGACACGCATTTCGCCGTGGTTGCTGCGCATCGAACTCGATCGCAAACGGATGACGGATAAGAAGCTGACTATGGAACAGATTGCCGAGAAGATCAATGTTGGTTTCGGCGAGGATCTCAATTGCATCTTCAACGATGACAATGCGGACAAATTGGTGCTACGCATTCGCATCATGAATAACGAAGAGAACAAGTTCCAGGATGAAGATGAGGCAGTCGATAAGATGGAAGACGATATGTTCTTGCGCTGCATCGAGGCGAACATGTTATCTGACATGACACTGCAAGGCATTGAGGCGATTGGCAAGGTCTATATGCATTTGCCCCAAACGGACAGCAAGAAGCGAATCGTTATCACCGATACGGGTGAATTCAAAGCCATTGGCGAATGGCTCTTGGAAACGGATGGCACATCGATGATGAAGGTGCTATCGGAGCGTGATGTCGATCCCATACGCACATCCTCCAATGATATTTGCGAAATCTTCCAAGTGCTGGGCATTGAAGCTGTGAGAAAGTCCGTGGAGAAGGAGATGAATGCTGTGCTTCAGTTTTATGGCCTCTACGTGAACTATCGTCATTTGGCTTTGCTTTGCGATGTGATGACGGCCAAGGGACATTTGATGGCCATCACGCGACACGGTATCAATCGACAGGACACGGGCGCCCTTATGCGTTGCTCCTTTGAGGAAACCGTGGACGTGTTGATGGATGCAGCGGCGCATGCCGAAACCGATCCTATGCGTGGTGTTTCCGAGAATATTATAATGGGTCAATTACCTAAAATGGGCACCGGCTGCTTTGATTTGTTGCTGGATGCAGAGAAATGTCGCTTCGGCATTGAGATTCCAAATTCTTTGGGCAGCAGCATGCTGGGCGGTGCAGCCATCTTTATGGGTGGTGGCTCCACGCCAAGTATGACGCCTCCAATGACGCCATGGGTGAATTGCCATACTCCACGTTACTTTTCGCCATCCGGGCATGGTAAGTTCCAATTTTCTCTCTCGCTCTATACTATATGCTTATAATTCTCTCTCTTTCTCTGTTTGCAGTAAGTGCCATGACGCCTGGTGGACCCAGTTTTTCGCCATCGGCCGCTTCGGATGCCTCGGGCATGTCGCCCAGCTGGTCGCCAGCACATCCTGGTTCTTCGCCTAGTTCGCCGCGACAATCGATGTCGCCGTATTACCACGCTTCGCCAAGCGTTTCGCCCTCATACTCGCCCACGTCGCCGAATTATACAGCTTCGTCGCCGGGCGGCGCTTCGCCAAATTATTCGCCATCGAGCCCCAACTATTCGCCCACATCGCCGCTTTACGCGGCTACGAGTCCACGTTATGCCTCGACCACGCCCAATTTCAATCCACAATCGACTGGATATTCGCCTTCGTCGTCGGGCTATTCGCCCACATCGCCTGTGTATTCGCCCACATCGAATTTCCAGTCGAGTCCCTCGTTTGCGGGCAGCGGCAGTAATATGTATTCGCCTGGCAATGCATATTCCCCAAGCTCATCAAATTACTCACCCAACTCGCCGTCGTATTCACCGATGTCGCCGTCATATTCGCCGTCAAGTCCTTCGTACTCGCCTACGTCGCCCTGCTACTCACCCACCTCGCCTTCGTATTCGCCGACTTCGCGAAACTATACTCCCGTCACGCCTTCATATTCGCCGACGTCGCCAAACTATTCGGCTTCGCCGCATTACTCGCCCGCATCGCCGGCATACTCACAGACAGGTGTTAAATATTCGCCGACATCGCCAACGTATTCGCCGCCTTCGCCGTCATATGACGGATCACCAGGCTCGCCACAATATACGCCAGGCTCGCCACAATATTCGCCAGCCTCACCCAAATATTCACCCACTTCGCCGCTCTATTCACCCAGTTCGCCGCAACACTCGCCGTCGAACCAATACAGTCCAACAGGATCAACATATTCGGCGACAAGTCCACGCTATTCACCAAACATGTCCATCTACTCGCCGAGCAGCACCAAATATTCCCCCACATCGCCCACGTACACGCCCACAGCGCGCAACTATTCGCCAACATCGCCTATGTACTCGCCCACAGCGCCCTCGCACTACAGTCCGACGAGTCCGGCATATTCCCCGAGCAGTCCCACATTCGAGGAGAGCGACGATTAGGCTACACCCAAGGCTGATACTCAAGGTAGAAGGCGGAGTAGGCGTAGGAAGCAGAATTCCCAACTGTAAATTCGACTTATCTAGCAATATATATATATATATATATATATATAATATATATATATGTATCGCTGATTTCCAAAGTATGGACTCGACTGATGTATCAATACTTAAAAAGGAACAGGAAGTCTATATAAATATATATTATAATACCTTACGATCTTTGTATATCTCATTATTTGTCGTACATCCAACTATGTATGTCCGTATATATAAGCTATATATACGACAACAGAGAGACAGATATATCTAATATATATTATTATGATTTATGACTTCATTATTATGTATCTTAATATCTCTATGGTCATACATATGTATATATATGTGTATGTATGTGTAGTAGCTAATTTTTTTTTGCTTTTATATGTCAATCTATCAAGATGTTATGCGAGTTATATGCGACGAGTTCTATCCACAAATATTTTAAACTTTTAAGTATAATGCAAGCTCTGATTATGCACAATGACAAACAATAGTCGTAAAAACAAAAAAAAATATATATATATAAAAAATAAAATTTATAAAAATTTTTGTAAACTACAAAGAAATATTTGAGATTGTTTCTTCACCTCTAGGTACACATAGATAGGTTTATATCTGATTAGACGGAAGTAAGAGGGCGATGATAAGATTATGTATGTAGACAGATAATATATATTGAGAACAGATATATAGATATAGACACGGATAGATAGTAAGACAAATAGATATGTTGGTTATATATACATTTTTCTTGCCGTTTCTCTAGATATCTGATCTATTGTATCTATAGTATAGTATATATGCACAAAATCTAATGGGACACGCCTACAGCTATATATAGATATAGACATAGACATAACTGTAGATTGATAATATTCCCAATTCATATAGAATATGTTATCAGATCGGTAAGCCTTTATGGACCCAAATCCAAACTGGGAAATAAAACTTTTGTCTTTTAAATGTAAATAAAAAAAAATTAGGTATATATGTATTTTTGCCATAGTTGATAAACGATATATATATATATGTATATATCGGTTGTACGAGTAAGTGCCATTATGCTACATGGGATTAGTTAAAACGAAATATTCGATACGAACTATGATTAGGTATTAGCATTCTGACTATGCCTAGCAGACGGGACTCTATGTAAAATAGTTAGTTAGTTCATAAGTATCTAAGTAGGTGCGATTATATATTTATAGGTATATGTATATCAGCTACTAGTAAAAACTCTTAATTAGTTCTGGGGCCTTGAAATGTTCGACTCGAATGATCTCTCTGTCTTAGAGGCTACGCTTAACTAGTTATAAATTAGATTAGATGAAAAAAAAAAGTTGTTTTTTGTTTTGATTGGTACAATTGAAGAATAGAACTATACATGGGATTTAATTGGATATTGGGGACTTGAGGGGTTTATCTTTCGTATTTGCTGGCTTAGGTGGTTAGTTTTGGATAGGCTTAGGTTAGCTGTGACTAGTATTGGTTGAGAATTGGCTTATGAGTATTTCGATTGCTCTGATTGCTGTTGCTGCTGCTGCTGCTGCAGTGCAAGCAACTGTTGCTTGCGCGGTCAAGCGACAATGTCGCTGCCCGGATTATAGCCAAAGTAATTGAGATTGAAATCATCGCTGAATAGCACCTCCTCCTCGGACGGTTCCACCTGGTGGGACATCTGTATGCCCAGCTCCATGGGATCGATCTCTGTGATGTAGTATTGCGAGTTGCCGAGGCTGCCCGCAAGTAGGCTGCTGCTGCTCCCGCTGTGCAGCTGCTGTTGATGCTGCTGTTGATGCTGATGCTGATGTTGATGCTGGCGCAGTCCGCTCTCCGTAACAACGACGTCCTTGTGTATGGGATTGAGATAGTCTTCTGGAAGAAAGGCAGCCATCAGTCAAGCAATCAGACACCCAACTAATCAGTCAGTCAAGACATCAATCAGTGCATCTACACCTAATCCCGTCACTCAATCAAACTTCCAAATAATCATTCAGATAATCAATCACTAAAACAGTTCGCTCATAGTCCCCATTCTCTACTTTTAGTCCAGTTTATCAAGCAATCAATCATTCTATTAATAACTTGTTCAACCCATCGTTGAATCGTTAACAATCAATCATTCAATCCTCATCAAGCAGTCGCAATCAAACAGTCCATATAAAAATGGCTAACTAATTCAATCACCTTTTTAATCATTCAATCACCCGCTCAATCAATCACCACTCCATTACGCTATCAATCACTACAAACACGCATTTCATATATATCACTCTCTTATTCAATCATTGACAGACAGTTAATCTACCAGTTCCGAATTCAATTACAGTCAATTACTAACAATCAATCACCGACTCAATCATACCTATCAATCAATCAGTTCTATTGCTACTTACCATTGTCGAGCAGAACATCCTGATAGGTGCTGATGATGGAGTTGACGGACTGCACCTCCACCTCTCGATGGATGCCATTGAGGATCTGTCCCGCCGTCTTGCGTAGCTCATCGTCGCTCAGCAGATCGCTGAAGGGCAACAGCCGCTGCGAATGCGGATGCGGATGCGATGAGGGCGACGATTCGCTGGGCGTCTGCTGCAGCATCTCGTGGGTGAGCGCAGCAGCAGCAACAGCTGCCTCATCATAGATGCAATTGGTCGATTGCTGCTGCGGCGAGTGCGAATGTTGTTGTTGCAACTGTTGCTGCTGTTGCTGTTGTTGCTGTTGTTGTTGCAACTGTTGCTGCTGCTGTTGTTGCTGCTGCTGCTGTTGTTGCTGCTGCTGCTGTTGCTGCTGCTGGTGCATTTGCTGCTGATGCTGTTGAATGCGCTCGCGATTGATCGATTCCATTTTGAAGAACAAGTCCAAGCGTTGCTTTTTCTGCAAATGTGTTAAGTAAGCTTTGTTGTGCGTGTGTGTGTGTGTGTGTGCTACTTACATGCTCCCAGGCTAAGACATTCTCCGCTGAGTCGCCGCTGGATATGGCCCACAGATGGCCAGCGCCTTGCGGTGCCTTCACGCCTTTGCGAAAGTGCGGATTGATCGAGAGATTGTGCCGCACCGAGTTCTTCCAGCGATCATCGTTCGATTTGTAGTACGGAAAGCGATCGCTGCATCAATTAGAAAGAGACAGACATATAGAAGAAACAGAACACGGAGAGGGAGAGAGAGAGAGAAATATTATATAGATTGGCATTGAGTTTGGCTGAGAAACTTGTGCGATGTAAGTATGTGATATGTGTAGGTAAGCAAATAAAAGGGTCTGCTCGACTAGTAAATACTCTGGAATCAACTGCTTTATGAAAATGTGAATGCAGAACGAATTTAGCTTATACTTCTTGAAGAAGCCTGTCGAGCACCCAAATATTGTTTCGGGTTTCCCCAAGTTATGGAGTTCTTAGCACTTTGAAACTGGCAAGTAAGATATTATATATAGATACGTTATCTGCTAGACTTGAGCTCATAGCCATTAGAAAATTCTTGCGCTTGGAAGATGTTGTTGATTGGTCAAGGCGCTGAGGGCCTGGGGGTTGAAATGGTGAGTTCCAACGGCAGCTGATTGGCTAGTGGTCAGGTGTTACCCTCGGTTTGTTGGCTTGGTCGAGCCACTCAGAAGGTGAACAACTTTTTGACCAGTCGCAATTAAAGTTGGCAACATGCGAAGCCAAGCTAGCAGGCAATTTGCAGCGAACACGTCACGGCACGGCACTGCGGCAGAGCTCCAACAGGGCTGGCGGCGCAACCGGCGGGGGCAGGAGCAGGGGACAACATGGACAGGGACACGGATACGGATACGGACACGGACAGCGGCAGTGGCACAAATTATGCGTCGTTTTGTAGGCAGTCACGAACAGGCGATTTGGACAGAAAAAAAATATTAAAAGAACAGAAGCAGGAGTGAAGTAGTGGGCAATGCACGACTAGTAGATACCCATCCAATTAGGAAACAAATATTAGAGAGACATTTGAGATAGCAGAGACATAGAAATACTTTAAACAATGATCTTCAAGTTTTTCTGTTCTCGTTCACTTTGTCGACAAAGTTCCCAGTTTATTGGTTAATTTTGAAAACTAGTTCATTTAGTTCAACTTGCTCATATACTGACTCCATCTTGAGACTATTACTCAGCTATTTACTGGCTCATAATTGGCAGCTGAATAATTCCAAGGAACTAATGGTTCATGAACAGTTAGCTAACTCAATTAAACTGATCGATGAACTAGTTAAAATCACATCGTTCATTGTTCACTGAACTTGTTCAGCTCACATGAAGAACTAGTTCAATCTTTACAAATACTAAAAATATAGTATTCTTGATGAATAAGCAAAGTCTAACCCCTGAACTAGTTCACTTGTTCATTTTCAGAACTAGTTCATTTAAATGAATAACTCAATAGCATGCATCGTTCATTTCAGCAACTGGTTCATTGGAAATGAACGAATGAACTACCTTTTTAACACACCCACATTGAAAGTTAGTTTTCCAGGGTATACAAAATGGAGTAGCTGGCGAGCAGTTGGGCAGGTAAAAACCTGCCCGCCCCCACCACCTGATATACGCTGTGCATAGGGCATATGTAAAAGGAAACTACGTCGACCGGAAAGGACATCGCGTGCCAAGGCGCGCGCCTCCCACTCGGGCAGGGGACGGTTGGCAGGCGGCTAGAGCTGGGCAACAAAATGGAAAGTATTTCGAATAACGGCACACAGAGAGAGAGAGAGAGAGAGAGAGAGAGAGAGAGAGAACGACAGAGAGAGGGGGAAGTTGAGAGAGTGTGCGCCACGCGCCAAGTCCAGAAAACAACCCCCGCAATGAGCGCGCTCTGTCATTGGCCAACAGCTGCCCCCCTGACCCTGTCCCTGTCCCAGCCGCTTGCCCTGCCCTCCCCATCTGGTGCTCCACCTGCTCAAGCTGAAAAGCAATCCAACAATTTTTCCTCTTTTTTTGTGTATTTCAACACGCGAGGCTCGCATTCAGACTCGACTGGCTGCATAACTATATAGCTTACATACGTATATATATCTATATCTATTATAGCTTATATTTTGTCGACTCATAAATGAAATGGAACAATTCGAAATGGAGTGCATAAATCTAAGGCGAACCCCTTCGTCCTGGCTTCTCTAGCTGAAAGCCAGCGTCAGGCAGCTCTTTAATGAACCAACTAAAAAAATTTCACCGGCCACCACCCACTTTGATATTACTGTCATGGACTACCCCGCGCCCCGCCGGTAATGTTTGGGGCACGCAGACGTCATGACGCATCAACGGAAACACACAGCCAACAGTCAACAGCCAACAGCCAAGATGATGGCACTTCACATTCCATTCGAGTGGAGCGGGAGATCATACACACATATCCCAAATACTATGTGATATGCGAGCTTATCATATGTGCCTGATATAGATACCGATTGAACAGGTGCTAAACGGGGTACAGTGGGTGGAGTGTCTGGTTGAGGATGATTGAACTCACGATTGTTTTGATTGAATATGACTATTTTGGTTGTGTATGAGCCATAATTTGATTTATGATGATTGATCTGATTGAGATGATAGATGCGATTGAGCTGTTTGAGTATGATTGATTTGATTGATAGTAATTGATCTGATTTGAGTTAATTATGGCTCTGATTGATGATGAAACATCTGATTGAGATTCAGACGTACTGAGCTGTTTGATTGATTTGATTGATGCTGATTGATCACATTTGAGGTAACTGCTTCGATTGATGATGTTACATTTGATTGATAGATGAATGATCTGACTGGGTAATGATGTCTTTGATTGAAGATGAAAGACTCGATTAAGACTGACAGTGAGATTGATTGAAGTTCACTTCTTTGAGTATGATTGATTTGATTGATGTTGGCTGGTCTGATTGGTGATGACGCTTATGTTTCAATATGATTGACTCAACCATCTTGATTTCTGTTTTCTTTCGATTGGTGAGTTCATTTGATTGATGATGATTGCTAATGATTGATGATGATTGCTCTGAGTATGCTCTGAGTATGCTTTTCCTATAGAGAGTTTTCTCTCTGTATGTGTCGATTGGTGATAATGTTTGCTATGAGTATGTTAACTGATTGATTGTTAACTGATTGACTATAGACGTGATTGATCTGATTGTCCTTGTTAATAAGAATAAGTTTTCCAAGTAGTGATTGCTCTGATTGATGCTGGTAGTTAATGATTGAGCTAAAGTGGCCATCGATAACTATCGATAGTACACATCTCCACAGATATCGATATACCAAACGAAGTATGACCCTTGCCATTACAGGGTATTTGCTTCTATGTACTTCGTTTTCTGTTTTTTTTTTTGTAAAATTGGTTTGTTTTGCTCGGTGTTTGGCATGTTTTAGTTATTGCTGTGGGTATTATGAAACACCCAAATGCACTTGTAAAATTATAAATACGAAATACGAAAAGTGGAAAATACGCTGTAGGAAAATGGGGAAGCGGGAAGTGGGAGGGCTTGGGCTGTTTGTCTGACAGGGCTTAATCATGCTCCAAGCCAATCGATACGCAGACGGCTCTACTTATATATGTATATATCTCACACTTGTCGAATTGTCAACGTTGCTGTGGATGATTGAGAGGGTGTATATATATGTGTGTATATATAGGAGCGGGGGTATATGCAAATCATCCACTATCAACTACCCACTATCAACGTTCACATCATTGTCAATGAATTGAATGAGTGACTGCGCCTCGTTCATAGTCACAATCACATCCACATCCACATTCGCCTTCAGCTTCAAATTGTCCTAATACACGGCATGGTTGGGTGGTAAGCCCAACTGCCCCGCTCCTACGTCCCCTGCCTGCTAGTGTGCATAATAATAAGAGGTATATACTGGTCTTCTTTTACAACATCAACTCGAATTGTCGGAAGTTTCGTTTTCGATATCGAAAATAATGCGAGTGGCCGAACGACATCCGGCTATGCTATGCCTTTAAAAGGGACGCAGGGAAGGAGAGGATGAAGGTATGACAGGTGGGGGCGGCTTGTCTGTAGGTGGGTGGGTTGGCGGGCAGGCGGTTGGGGGTTGGGGTGGTCCCGCCTGCTGTCCGGCAACAAGCTTCAGGCGCTGTAATAGAGTTTGAAATTCGAATTGGTTCACTGCTGCTCCGCAAAACGGCCCTAGAGTGGGGTGAGCGATAGTGGAAGTTAGAGTGTGCCTGCTGCCTGGACGGCGTCCGTATAATGCATTCTGTCTGATAGGCTGGGAGCTGGTCGCTCGGACTGGTGGCTGAATGGATGGCTGACTGGTTGGTTGGTTGGCTGTCCGTGCCGTGTCAAGGCGTGTCTGGCACGCAAGCCAACACACACACACAGTGAGAGAGAGAAAGCGAGACAGAGATATAAGGAGTAAAAGAGACCGCCTTTCATTTTTGACATGGCGCCCAGGAGCTCAGCTCCTCTGCTCCTCTCCTCTCCAGCAGTTCAGACTGGGCAACTACTTCTGGCGGTTTGTTTCGAGTTGATTTCTGCATTCATATATATTTATATAGACTCTATATATACCTATATATATATATATATATATATATGTATATATATAGAAAGAACAACTTAGTTCAGTTCATAAATTGTGCAAAAATTTATGGATTTATGGCAGTTGAGGAAGCTTGCCTTCGCCTTTGGTCTCTGGTTGAAAAATGTGAACGAAACTTTTAAATACAATAATGGGGCGTTGCTGGCCACGCCCCAACGAACATCAGACAGACACAGTTAGAGATACAGATACAGATACAGATACAGATACAGATACAGATACAGATACAGATACAGATACAGATACAGATACAGATACAGATACAGATACAGATACAGATACAGATACAGATACAGATACAGATACAGATACAGATACAGATACAGATACAGATACAGATACAGATACAGATACGATACAGATACAGATACAGATACAGATACAGATACAGATACAGATACAGATACAGATACAGATACAGATACAGATACAGATAGATACAGATACAGATACAGATACAGATACATATACAGATACAGATACAGATACAGATACAGATACGATACAGATACAGATACAGATACAGATCGATACAGATACAGATACAGATACAGATACAGATACAGATACAGATACAGATACAGATACAGATACAGATACAGATACAGATACAGATACAGATACAGATACAGATACAGACATATACAGATACAGATACAGATACAGATACAGATACAGATACAGATACAGATACAGATACAGATACAGATACAGATACAGATACAGATACAGATACAGATACAGATACAGATACAGATACAGATACAGATACAGATACAGATACAGATACAGATACAGATACAGATACAGATACAGATACAGATACAGATACAGATACAGATACAGATACAGATACAGATACAGATACAGATACAGATACAGATACAGATACAGATACAGATACAGATACAGATACAGATACAGATACAGATACAGATACAGATACAGATACAGATACAGATACAGATACAGATACAGATACAGATACAGATACAGATACAGATACAGATACAGATACAGATACAGATACAGATACAGATACAGATACAGATACAGATACAGATACAGATACAGATACAGATACAGATACAGATACAGATACAGATACAGATACAGATACAGATACAGATACAGATACAGATACAGATACAGATACAGATACAGATACAGATACAGATACAGATACAGATACAGATACAGATAAGTATACAGATACAGATACAGATACAGATACAGATACAGATACAGATACAGATACAGATACAGATACAGATACAGATACAGATACAGATACAGATACAGATACAGATACAGATACAGATACAGATACAGATACAGATACAGATACAGATACAGATACAGATACAGATACAGATACAGATACAGATACAGATACAGATACAGATACAGATAGATATCTTCTATCTATAGGGTATTTCTTGAGTCTTATTGCCTACTTGGCAGTTGGCTTTTTCTATAGAGATCGTTGGCATCTAAACATTTTTCCCTTTGGAGATCCTTCACGCATATGTCCTGCAAATGCCATATCCTGCACCCTTAGCCCTCGCATTGGTCTTGTTCAATGAAGCATGATCCGCATCCAATAAACACTCAATATGCAATTCAAATTGACCGGAAGAACAGTTGCCCCTCACCCCTAATCGCTTTGCTGCTGTCGCCTCCTACGCAGGATCGGGCTTGAGCCTCGCTGCTTACGCTGGGGAGTTGGCTAATGGGTTGACCGAGTAATTGCTGGCAATTGTGCGCCCGAGTTGCGCTTGTCAAACACCTGATATCCGTATGCATTGAGCCATGTCAAAGGTGTGTGGAAAGCGGAAAAAGGACGGAAAGGGCCGCAAAGCGAAGCGAAGCGGCGCGATGCCGTTTAACGCAGGCACAAAACGTTTCCAAGTTTCCTAGCCCAGGCAATTAATAATTATCGTGTGTATAAATTTCATGGACAGTTGCCAGAGAGAGAGAGAGAAAGAGAGAGAGAGAGGGAAGGAGAGAGGAAGGTAGAGGGCGAGCGGAGGCTTTGCGTGGGCGAGCCTTTGCGCCGGCGCGTCCTTTGCCTTGAACAAGGCGAGGACGCAGAACAGGTGTAGAAAGCACTGCCTAAAAGCATTGAAGACAAACCCCCAACTTCCAACCCTTCCCCCTTCAGAGCAGCCCTTGCCACATCTCCGCACCCGCCCCACCAGCTGCTCTGCTGGAGCCACAAAGTAAATTTGTAAATGGTTAATGAAAACTTGCCCAAATATAAAGAAAGAAACAACAACTACAAGAGTTGAGCAGAGGGGGGTTAGGCAGTGGCAGTGGCAGCGGCAGTGGAAGGGATAGGGCTAGGGGTAGGGGTAGATCTAGGGGTTGGGCTGGAGAGCTGGTCGGTGTGCTGGCTCATTACATTTAATGAACAGGTTGCCCACGGGGGCCAGGTGATGGGCAAATGTCATAAATTGCTGGCAAGTTGAGGCTAGGCCTGGGGGTAGGGGTAGGGCTAGGGTGGGTAGCTACCTTGGGGGCGGCTTTTTCTCTATATAAATTTACATATATATAGGATATTTACACGCAACATTTGAGCCGAGTTTACCAAATATTTACAGTGATTCGGTGGAAGCCGATTCGAAACAACTTTCATAATTTGTGGAAGCCCAAACCCCCAACAGGGGTAGACGGCTGGACGGGTGGGTGCGTCGGATGGGGCAAATTAATGAACCTTGAAAAATGTGTTAAAACTTTTTTATTATTGTCATTGCATTGACATATGCACATATAGACAGCCCTATATCCATACACACATATATATCTATATGATTCCTTTGAAAGTGGGACGTACTGAAGGAGGACATAGTTCTACATAGTTCAGAAACATCTAGAAGCGTAGAAGTTTCCAATTAAAAAGTTCTCGAAGCACAAAGAAATTTTATTTTAGTTTCGATAAAAGAAATTTGCTTGCGCCTCAAACGAGGCAATTCAAAGGAAGTGAAGAAGATTTTCGACTTGGGAAAATAGTTGCGAAATTGGCATTCAGCGCGACCTTCGAGAAGAAATCGAGTGGGAAGCAGAACTTTGCAAATAATTTACCATCTCAAAAGGCACATGAGAAGTGGGTCTATGAATACGAAATACTTCAGAGATAGATTACCGAAGGGTTTGAGCAAAGTTAGGTTGAATATAACAGAAGGAAAATATAACAAATAGAAGATAAATTCAGATTCCAGAGAGAGATGGAGTAAAAGAGTGATTGAGAGGGGGAGAGAGAGAGAGAAAGAGCGAAGAGAGGGAGCAGAAGCTGGAGATGATGAAATCAAAAGGGAGAAAGAAAGGGAGAGTGAAAGATAGAAAGACCGAGAGAGGAAAAAAGTAGAAGATGGTGCCTGAGAAGGAGGAAGAACAAAAGAAAGAGCGAGTGTGAGAGAATTTGTGAGAAAGAGAGAGCGAGAAATATAGCACTAAATAAAGAGAAAGAGAGTGGGGGAGACAAAAGGGAGTGAGATTGATGCAGAAAGACAGAGCTACAGAGACAGAGAGTAAGCTACAAACAGAGAGTGCTGAATGGATGGAGAGACAGAGACAGAGACATAGACACAGAGTGCGACAAAGGAAAGAAAGAGACAGGGATAGATACATATCTCGATATGCGAATCAACTTGTTGAACAACAAACAACAATTTGAAACATTTTTGATTAGCAACAAAGCGCGAAATGAGGTAACGGCAAAAAGAACAAGAATACAAAAACAAAAGAAACGAAGAAAAACAAAACAAAGAACACGGCAAACATTTTTAGCAGGTAATAAATTATTGGAACTGGAAACTTTTTAACTTAAAAGTTGTTGTTGTTGTTGTCGGTTGTTAGCCAAACAAATGCGAAGCCAGCAAAGAGTTCATTTAAGCAAGACGAACCAAGAATACCCTAGAAAATGTCATGGATATAGATATGGATATGGATATAGATATAGATATAGATATAGATATAGATATAGATATAGATATAGATATAGATATAGATATAGATATAGATATAGATATAGATATAGATATAGATATAGATATAGATATAGATATAGATATAGATATAGATATAGATATAGATATAGATATAGATATAGATATAGATATAGATATAGATATAGATATAGATATAGATGTCTGTCGAACATACTGCATATCTCTTACTAAATTTGAAAGTATGCACAGCGCTCAAATACCCTGTGAAATGAACTGCTCTAAGCAGCAGGGGAATTTGGCAGAGAAGGCGAAGAAAAAGTGAACAATGAGAATGCGCAAAGAAATGCTTGAGATTTGTTTAATTACATCCGGCATAGTCACAGCTACACACACGAGCACACAGGTATGCACACACAGGTGTACACACAGGTGCACACACACAGCACAGGCTATTCGCCCACACAAAATGCCATGAAAAAAAGGAAAAACTACGAATTGTGGGTGGTTCGTTCTCTAAATGGTGGCTTGGGTGGTTGGGTGGTTGGGTGTGTTGGCTGTGGGTGTGGGTGTGCCATGCCATTTGGGGGTTGTTGTGGTGGGTGTACTTACGATATCCATTGGTATATTCCAGACACCGTTAGCTCACCCTTGTCCTCGAGGGCGTATTCGATGAGTTCCGTGTATGTAAACGGTGGTTTCTTCGGCCTGCTGGTTTTGCGGTGGTTGGTGGTTCGGTGGGTGTCCACATCGATTGGCGAGTGAGAGGGAGAGAGACAGAGAGCGAGAGAGAGCAAAGTTGAGTGAGTGAGAAACTACGCCAAATAAATATTTATTAAAATGGAGTTTCCATTTGAAGACCCCTAGTGAGAAGGAGAGCGTTCAGCCAACGTCCTATTATCCGATATATTAAGATTCCTTGCTACTAGCAGTTGTTCACTGACCAGCTACAGAGACGCCTTCCTGTCGTCGCTGTCTTCCTATGGAGGATAAATTGCTTAGCCTCACAGCTCTGCAGAGCTGAGCCTTGTGAGACTCTCATTAGCCCTTTGGGGCTATCGGACATCCTTGAAATAAAATATGTGTGAACCTTTCATCTTAGATACATCCTTCTCTCTGGCTCAGGGCAAGCTGCTCAGATGATCTCTGTCTTGCTGCAGACCAAAGCCAGCTAGGCTCCTCTTGTCATATAGAAGATATGTAAGCCTTTCCCTTAGGCCTTATTTTGTGCCTCCCTCACTCCCGACGTGCCTAGGTCTTCCTACTCGGACTAACTCTGTGTTCATTTAGAAGAAAGTTATCTGGGACTCGCTTCTAAGTTGATGTTTGGCTCTGTGGGTCTACCTGTCCAGCTGTCCTCTGGCATAACCTCTGTCTATACAGAGCTCTCTTTTATGTTTGACCTAGACCTTTCTCTGGGTTCTCAGCTAATCTGTGGCTCCCTTTGCATTGGTTTTCTCAACTGATCTGTGGCTTTTCTTAAGCAGGATCCCTCTGTTGGCCGTCCCGTACTTACGCCTTGGACGCCGTGTCCTCGACTACAACGTGCTCGGCGACAATCATATCGCTGCCGTCCATCTCCGAAGTGACCTCCATGACCAGCTCCTCGAACTTGCGTCCAGTTTTGGTTGGTGTCGATGTTGTTACAGCGTTTGTTGAAGTTGTTGCTGCTGTTGTGGCTGTGCTTAGTGCTGCTGTGGATGGGGAGTTGGAGCAGCTCTTGGGCGAGCCGCGCTGCTCCAGCTGCGACGAGTGACTGTGACTAGAGTTCGATGCAGATGCGGATGCTGGGGACGCCGAGCTGCAGGGCGATGCGCTGGCCATGTGAGCATTCGTAGCTGCTGTGGGCGTGGCTCCCTCCAAGCCGACGCCCAGCCGTGCCATGCCGCCGCCCACATCGGGCGAGAGATGCGGAAATTCATCGAACTTGAAGTTGAGTAGCCAGGAGAGATTCTTGTCCTCGAAATCGGGCTCCGGCGAGCAACGAGCTGGGCAGGTCAATGAACGGGATTGCGATTGTGCTGTGGGCTGTGACTGGGGCTGCTGCTGCTGCTGCTGCTGTGGCTGCTTTTGCAGTATGGGCACCAGAAAGCCACTGCCACTGGCCGCTAGATGGAGCTGCTGCTCCGCCTGCGACTCCAACTGGTTTTCCGATTGGCTTTGCATTGGCGGCAGCGTGGCGTTCAGCTGCGAGATTTCCGTTTGCAGTCCCGTCGTATAGCGATGATCCAATTCGAGCAGCTCTCCCGCTTGCCAGCCGCCAGCGTCCGCCTCCATGGGCGCTGTGGGCGGCGCGCAGTAGGAGGCAGCGGGCACCAACAGCTGATTATCATAGGCGAACAAATCGTTGATGAAGGCGGCGCTAGCTGTGCCGCTGGCGCTTGTGTCCAGCTGGAGCTGAAAGCACAGATCGCCGGCAGCGCCGACGCCGACACCAACGCCAGCGCCCACGCCCACCCCGACGCCATTCACATCGTAGTCCAGATGACGCTTCTTCCAGGGATTCGAGTTGAGCTGCTCGTAGGGCTCCTCCAGCTGTGTTTCGTACTTGCGCTTGAGAAAGTTGAACTCGCAGTTCGAATGCAGCGCGTTGCAGCTGTTGTTGTTGCTTTTGCTGCTGCTGTTGTTGTTGTTGTTGTTGTGGCTGGAAGTGTGACTGGAATGCTCAGTGGAATGCGGCTGAGCGCCTGAGCTGCTGTTGGGCCCATTGACGGGCATATTGACAATCATTTTCCTTTCCTTTATTTTTCTTCACACGGATTTGCACGTCAATTTTTCTTTCACGTGGCGCACAGAACAAACAAAAAAGAAGCACAAACAGCGCGAGAGCGACAGAGCGCGGGATAGAGAGAGAGAGAGAGAGAGAGAGAGAGCGGAATAGAGAAAAAGGGAGAGAGAGAATTTGGAGTTTTCGGATGAGGCTAAAGGAAATTTTTGCGCGATTGGTTTCCGTCTCGCGCTGCGACTGGCCACGGAATGCGGCTGAAGGATTTGACGGAAGCAACATTTGGCCAGGAGCTGAACGCTGCCAGGATTGGCAGCGACTGCAGCAGAGGCAGCGACTGCAGCAGAGGCAGCGTTCTCTCTATCCCTCTCTCTCTCTCTCTCGCTCTCTCTCATTACCCTTGCGCACTCAGTGAAGCACAACAACTATCGATGAACCCCCTAGCCAACCAAAGCCCAATTCCAAACCCAAACCCAAACCCAGCCCGAGCCTACGACCTTTTAACGGTACTCAAAAGCGTGCTCTTTCATATACCCTGTAAGCCGTGCGCCAACGGGGTATATCGGTTGTGTAGGACAATGCTCTTTGGCTCAATAGATTCGATTGTTTATGCATATACCCTGCTTAACAGTGTCAATTGGGGTATATTCATTTAGTTATTCTACCAATAGATACCCTGTTCAACTCAAATAGGGTTTGTTCATGTAGTTTGCAGCCTAAATACGATTGTTAGGGATATACCCTGTACTCTATGTGCTTGTAGGGCATATGCATTTAGTTTTTTAAGGTATTTTCAATCAGATTTAAGACAAGACTCGCTCTTCCACGAATATACCCTGTAAAATGGGGCGTATACATAAGGCTGACAGCTGACACTCGTTATACCCTGTTCTCAGCATTCAAATGGGAAGTATTCTGTGTTTTTGAGCAATATACCCTGTTCACAATGGCTACAAAAGGTATATGCAGTGCAGCTTTGGGCGGTGTTTGTTTCTATCCACAGTCAAATGGGGTATATACATTTCGTTATGCTGTGACACGCTGATTTTGACTGTTTGCACGGGAACATACCCTGTTTATGTTTAAGGGGTATATACCCTGTTTGCAGCAGTCATATGGGGTATATTCACTTAGAGTTTCAGTTAGAGAAGCTTCCAAGCAACTCTCGACTTTTACAGCTTTTGGATTTACTCTACTATTATTTGCCACCTTTTTTAGGGCTCCAGAGTTGAGAAATGTTTATAGTAGTTGACTTATGGAATGCATATACCCTATATTGGAGTTAAAGTTTCAAATTTGTATTGTCAGTTTCCAGACTTGAGTCAATTGAGCGTTCACTCAGCAGCGGCTAGCATGTGATTGCAGGGTATTTACTAGTCGCGCACTCCTCGCAACTTAAGCACTCTCACTTCGTGCTTGCTTCTCTCCGGTTCTGCTCGGTCGCGCTTTGCCCATAATCGAACATGTGCCACAGAACTTGGCTGATGCCTGTGTGTATGTATAGATATATATGTGTGCACGAGACATACATATATAGATATATATATTTGTACAGATGTATATATTCGTATACTCCAAAGCCTATTGAAGACTTGTCGACGTGGTGCAGGGAAATGCGTTCATTGAAGCGCCTAATCGAACACCCTGTAGCAGACAGCCTGCCGAGCTGACTCGCGCACAGGTGTTGCGCAGTTGCCAATAGGGCGAAGGGGGGGGGGGGGGTAGTAGAGAGAAAGAGAATAAGAAAGAAAATCTCTCTCCTCTCTCTACTCCAGCTCTGAGAGGGAGAAAGAGAGTGAGAGAGAGAGAGAGATAGGGAGAAAGAGAGGCAGAACGACACAGCAAGAGAATCTCTATCTCTCTATATCTGTTACATCGTTCATTTCTCTCCGTGTCATAGATCGAAATACCTTTAAACACTCTTTTCTTTGAGTGTATGTCAAGAAAAAAATATATTACCACATTATTCTCTAAGTGTAATTGACAAAAATCAGTTTTACTCACTTTTCTCCCAGTGTAACAGTTGAAAAAATACTTAGTTATATTTTGCTCTCAGTGTAGTTGACTATACTGTGCTGAGGCCGCGTTTTCTCTGAGTGTAATTTAGCTAAATAAAGTTTTGCCACGTTTTTCTCTCAGTGTACCTACTTAGATACGTCGCAACACACTTTTCTCCCAGTGTACTTGACTGGGATTTTCTATGCTCTTCTCTCAATATAATTGACCAACTCTTTTCGCGCAGTGTAACGGCCGCAAATAAAGTTTTCTGCAGCTTTTATTGACAAAAATCCAGGAAGGCGCGTCACACCAGGTAATATCCATAAATTTAAAGAATTTGCTAGATCTCGAGTGGTTTTTAGATCGGAAATGCTGCAGCTCAGCTCGTAAAGCTCTGAGCATGATTCACGAATCGGATCGGATCGGGTCGAAGCTGGCTGAGAGAGAACACGAAACACTCATCCCAAATGGATTAGGCGCCGACTGATGATTTGGGACTCCCAGCTAAAGTCGTCGAAATAAAGTAATAACTGAAAACAAGGAAATGCGATTCATTGTGCAAAGCGAAGTGCGAATACCCTGACCCAGGCCACATATGTGATAAATGCGAATATATAAATAGATAGAACTGCAAGTCTCTCCATATAATACTATATTCAGTCTAGATGTCAGTAGAGTATCCAGCGAGAGAGAGAGAGAGAGAGAGAGACTGAGAGAAAAAAGATCGAAAGACAGAAAGAAAGAGAGAGAGGCAGAGATCGAGAGATATACCACTCACATATATATATATATAGATATAGATATACATATAGATATATCGAAAGATCTTTAGAGCTCAGTGAAATCAATCAAAGCTGCTTAGCTCACCCAAACATCAACATACTCTGCCGTTCCCTACCCCCATCAGAGTCTCCGCACAGGTTGAAGATTAAAAACAAAACTTGTTTTCATGCTCATATTCTTTAGCCCCGCCTCCCTCCCCTAGCCGCCCTCGACGCGCTGCCCTCTCTTGGGACGTCAGCTGCTTCGCTTGATAAGAAGACGGCGCGCTGCGGCTGCTGCGATCAGTTGTGAGTCGTAGTCAGAGGCGAGCGGACGTAACTGCCACTGGAGGAAGAAGAATCTGTGGAAGAAGCAAACGAAAACAAAGTAGAAGAAAGAAGCAGAACAAGAAGAAGAAAAAGAAGTAGAAGCAGAAGATGTCGAGCTTAAAGCATTCGCTTTTGCTTCTCTTTGTCTGCCTTGTGGCAATGTCTGCCATTGCCGGCGCTGCCGGCTCTGGCAAGGGACGCAAGAAGGGCGTGGCTTGCCCGCCCACCAAATTGAAGCGCCAGTGGGGCGGGAAGCCGGCGCGTGGCATCAATTATCAGCTGCGGCCGATACGTTATGTGATTATCCATCACACGGTGACGGCCGAGTGCTCCAGCTTCATTGAGTGCGCCGACATATTACAGGGTATGCAGGGGTATCACCAGACAGAGCTGAACTACTTCGACATTGGCTACAAGTGAGTGCGCTAACCGACAATCGCCGTTTACAGGGTATTCTACTTCTACTTCTCGAATAGCCCGATCTACAGGGTATTTAGCAGACACTCTTTGCACAGAGTAGTTCAATGAATGCTAGCATATGTTTTTCTATAGGGTATTTATATTTCCATAACTCACAGGATGTTCCAATGTTTCACAAGCTTTTTCTGCAGGGTATTTCAATGTGTAGCAAACTCCTTCTTTTTCCATTGAAATTGTTTTCATTCTTTTCACAGGGTATCTCTATTTTTAGAGTATTTGTACAGTTTACAGGGTATAAAAATAGGGCAAGCTATTTTTAAGGGTCTATTCATATGCATTTTACAGGATATCTCAGCTGCTGGCAAATTTAAGTTTAATTTGAATTTCTATTGATGCCCCACCCAATGCTCTGTAGCTTTCTTATAGGGAATGATGGACTGGTCTACGAGGGCACCGGCTGGGGCGTAAGAGGCGCGCATACCTATGGCTACAATGGGAATGGAACGGGCATTGCTTTCATCGGCAACTTCGTGGGTGAGTAGATGCAATCTTCCACTCCTGCTGCGGCGTCTTCATGCTCTTCCACCTGCTCCTCGCCCTCGTCCTCGTCCTCGCTCTTGTCCTCCTTCTTACAGATAAGTTGCCATCGGAAGCCGCTTTGAATGCCTGCCGCAAGCTGTTGGAATGCGGCGTTAAGTTGGGCGAGCTGAGGGAGGATTATGACTTGATTGGAGCATCCCAGGTGATAACTACTCTGAGTCCAGGTCTGACACTCTACAATGAAATACAGGAATGGCCCCATTGGCTGTCAAATCCATAGGGAGAGAGAGAGAGACAGATATAGAGAGAGAAAGAGAATCAATTTTATTTTTACTATTTTTTTGTTGTTTTGCATCGACTTGTGTTTTGCACACAGCTACGTTGCTAATATGATAAGCAATAAAACGAAAACAATAACAAATACAAGCCGCCGCTGATAACCTTTTTTCAAAAGTTCGCGCAAAAATGAGCAAACAAACGCTCTTATCGATATATATACCAACGACAGTGGCAAAGGAACAGTGATCATTTATATAAAAACTATCGCACCTATCGATAAATGTTAATCATTACAGTTGTAGAGCCACTGCTAAGCGAACATCAAATGATGTAGATACAATTTTTAAATAACAGCTAAACACAGCTGGTCTGTGCACAACGTAAAAATAATGTATTTTTTTCTGTACATGCTTAATATATTCATATATTTTACATAAGCATTAGTATTCTTAAGCAGCGCCATTTGCCAGCTAGCGTAGGCGAAAAACAACTGCGATGCCCTCTAGCGTCAAAAGGCGAAGTGCAGCACTGCACAATAAATCGATAACTTTGCTGGAATTGGCGCACTTGTCCACGCACTTGAATCTGTCATTTTACACTGCGCTGAATTTTATTAAGTAGAATTAACGAAATTAACTGATCAAACAGAGGTTTTAAAAGATCCTTACAACCTTTTTTTTTTTTAAGCGTCAACACCTTTTTTTAATTGGCTGCTCACTTTTGCGCCACCTTGCGCAATTATGAGCATAACGATAGGCATCTTCTAGCCGGTATTCATTGCACTTAGAGCATATTACTTATTCTTGAATATCAAACAATGCTAATCTCGAACGCGATTACAATATTAATGTATTTGTTAACTTAATTTGATATTTACCTTAATTCATATATTCAATCAATTTACATACAGGCTTGCATTAGCTGCTAATTTCAAACGCTGTTTATTTTGGCGCCAATCATCGATAGTCAGCTTGCGTAGCATATTCGTTATGGTATCTATCGCACACACATGTTGCATAGCGCTGCCACGGATGGGGCCAACATAAAAACAGTTGTTGTATCGCTCTCAGAGAAGGAGGAGGTTGCGCGCGTTCAGCGGCCGGCAATTGCTTTTTGACTTTGTTTAAATTGTTTTTACTATTCTCGCGCCGTTTCTTGTTTTTTTATGTGTTTGTGTTTTATGTTTGCTTTTGTGCTGAGTGCAAAGCAAAAACTACGGTCAATGCAGAAATTGCAGTGCAGTGAAATACAGTTAAGCGAAATAGAAAATAACTGCAAAACGCAAAACAAAGCAACAAAATTCTTTTTTATCTGTGTGTTTGTTGATTTTGTTTTATTTTTTTTGGTTGATGTGCAAGTGAAAGCGTGTGAAAAATATTCACCTTAACGTTCGACACGCTGCGAGGCCAAAGTCAAAGCCAAATCCAAAGTCAAAGCCCAAGCCACTAGCAAAAGCCAAACCAAAATCAAAATCAAAATCAACGGTCTTGGCTACTTATCTGCGCTCTCGCTCGCTCTTGGAACATTCGGGCTTATCCTGCGGTCAACCGAAATTTCCTTTACAAACTTCCGCTATGCACGCGCAACTGTTGAGTCTGCGCAGCAACAATTGATCAACAGCTCCTAACAGTGCACAGAGGTAAGCAAATGGAATGCTATTGGAAATATGACGATTCCAATTGGACTTGGAACGGGAATTGCATGCGTGAGTTGGAATGAGCTGCGTTTGGCAAACAGCTTATTGATAAGCGTAAATTAAGAGGCGCGTTTAGGCATTTCCAATTGGAGCTGTTTCCGTTTGATTCGGATTTTGCATGGGGAATATGTTAGGCAGCTGGATTTGTTAATTCGAATGAGCTGAGAAATGAAAACAGACATGGACGCAAATGTTAACCGGCTTTGCGCGTAAGAAACAGTTTTCTTTGCATTTTTCATGAGTTTTAAAGACATTTTTAAGCTTGCATTTGGTTTTTGGTTTTAATTTCTTTTAGACTCTTATCAATCAGTCATTTAGTTTCGTGTATTTCACAAACTTCATGTAGATCGAGTTACCATGGTTAGTTAGCTGGTTTCAGTTTTTGGCATCGTGAAGCCTTGGCAAAATGTGCTCTTTAGCCATTTACAGTTATTGATCTTTCGTTCTTGTTGCATTTCTGGCAAGTTCTCAGCTTTTGGAACACACATCAATCAACATAAGATATTTTGATTTCATGGCCTTTGCCGTTTTTTGTAATCGACTCAATTTGCTTGTTGTTGGTCGGCTTCATTCGGCATCTTCTTTGGGCTTTCGGGGTCATCAACTCTTAATGTTTAGCAACTTTTGCCAAAAAATGTTGTTGTTGTTGTTGTTGTTGTAAAGCCATGTACGATATGGCAATTGCGTAAAAGATAAAACCAAAAACTAAAACATGTAGAAACACATTTCGCACAGATTTGTCTTGTTACCGTTTCGTACGTGCATTCACTGAAGTCCAAAATCGAGAAAAAAAAACAAACAAATTTATGTTGCTCTACATGCGTTTACCCTGTACATATTCAGAAGGAATAGAGTTGCCCACTTGCACAACTACAATGCTTACTATCGATAAATATCGAGATAAAGCAACAAATCGATGATCCAGCTGGCGCTGCTTCACATGTGAATACCCAAAATTAATATAATTTGTTTTTAGAATTTAGTTTTTCAAGCACAGCTTAATTTCAATGCTCTTAAATCGATAAATATCGATAGGCAATGCTTGGCCCTTTGAGCTGCAGAGCTAAGCAAATCAAGAATATTACCTATTTATCTATAATATACTTCTCTGAAAAGGGGTTTCTCTCTGTATATTTGGTATATTTGGTATTTTTGGTATTTACACGCGCTAAAATATCATTAAGATGAGTGTGAAATGAAATGCGTTATAATTGCTTTTATAGGGTATCACGTAGTCACAGTTTCTGTACTCAATCAGAAGCCCTAAAAGGGGCTTAGCCTGTTGTAGTATGTAATAGACCCTGCACTAAAACTTTAACATAGGGTATTCGCCAGTCGCATACGCTCTGGGTTGTACTTGATGTGGAATGCGTCTGGCTGGACTTGATTTTTATGGCTTCAGCGTCTCGATGCGTCTTAGATGCGTTTTTGGTCAAGTGAAATTCGAAATTCGATGCATTTGCATAATCGCTGCACGCCTCGGGCCTCGCGCTAAGACAACAAGCGACAACGTCTCATAACCTCAATCGGTGCGACAGCCAGACCCGCCGGGCCCACACAGGCCTAGCCACAATTCCAGTCTGCGCTTCCAGTCTCCACTAAATTGCAGTGCGTGTGATTTGTTGTCCCCAATTGCGTAAAATTTACGCAGTGGCTGTCGCCCCAACGATTTTCACCTGCCTTGCAGCAGCTACACCTGCCCTCACCCCTCCCCCACCAGCTGTTGCTTGTGAAACTGCCGTTAAGTGCGTCTGCACCAAAAGTTTGTTAATTAAGCTGAAGCGTAGCTCGAACCTAATCACTCTACGTTCGCTCGTAACAGTCAACGAGAGTATACCGAGAGCATCTCCAGAGACTCGAATTTGATATTTATACCAGATATCGATATTCGGAATCGTTCTCCGAGAACTCGATAAATATTATAGCTAGCTGTATCAGACTTGGTATACAAATGTTTTCAGCTATATGAAGCTAAAACACAATTCCTTTCTTGGCTGGCTTTCGTAAAACTATGATCAATGTAGCACCTGGAATTCCTTGATCCGCAAAGATCCTGTCTCTTAGTTTAGAATCTCTATAACCAAGGTATAAACTTGGATTCACTGATTCTCGAGAGCTATAAGACCTGGGTCATTCGTATCGAGTGCCCTGACGCATATATAGAGATAATAGATTTAATTGAACTTGAACCTTTTTTATAGTAACAATGGCAAGGTATAGGAACAACTTAAGCTTTTCTCTTCCGCCGGCCAGAGACCATGCGGCTTAAGTGAGACTTGATCTCGGACTCACTTAGCATATAGAAATTGGGATTCGATTTTGTGACAATTGCCATTTCGAAATCGCTTGCCTTAAGCATCTTATCCAGGGCATAGGACAATGAGTTGATGGCCAGCCTAATGGTCCTGTCGGTGTTCATATTGGGCTTGTACAGCCTGTCCACGTAGAGATTGCCCCGCTTCATGTTGGTGCCGAAGACGCAGGCGCGATAGCCAATGCAGGCGCCAGAGGGATCCGTGCAGTAGATCATTGGCCCGAATTCCGAATCGTAGGAGACCAACACCATGGAACAACCCATCGGACGCATCTCGGCATTCTGAGTGTACACCTGATTGATATCGGCCATGCGAAAGCCCAGCACGTCTATGGGCATCGGATAGCCGTACGTATATTCATATGTTGCTGACTCTTGGACTGCCCTGTTCACCTGGGAACGGGCATCGGCTAGACGTCCGAGCATCGCACATCCAACTCCCTTCGAAACGGAGAACAATCGAGTCGCAGTTGCTGCTATGGTCATATGATTTACCGGCTTCCTCTGTATCAGCAGCACAACACAGTTGGCGCCCGTCAAGGCGACCGTTGTGCGGTTTTCCCCAACGACTGCCTTGTAAGCGTACTCCACCTGGTACAGACGTCCGTCTGGCGAAAAGACAGTTATATGTCGATCGAAGCCTGCGGTGCCACAGCGCGCCATAGCGTTCTATCTTTTTGAAAACAAACGTCTATATCTGTACAAATATATATCTATATGTACACATATATATATATCTATATATTTATATGTATATGTATATGTATATGTTTGTATGTATGTATTCACATCTAGCTGTTGAATGAATGAATTCTGTTAAGATCTCTCTAGTAGATGTCGACTTGCTTGAAGTTCTAGTCGAAGGGCTTTTTGATGCGATCACTTCGTACTCGTATCGTATCGGGATATATTACAGTTATATATAGCTTTTGTACAAAATTTTATTTCCATGGGAATTAATAAGAATCGATAAAAATCGTATGTTTGAGACCCTTTCTTTAACCTTAAGTAACATTGCCAGTGCATTATTATACATTTATTTTAAGTATTAAAATTCCAGGGTATCTACAAGTCGGTCGCACTCAATTAAGCATTTCAAATAAGCATTTGAAAGCTGATTTAAAGATCTGCAACAAATTAAGTTTGAAGATTTTATGGAAAACTTCAATTGTTGTCACTAAGTGTCATTGTTATCATCATATTATATCATTAGGCATTAGTCATTAATCATTAGTCATTAGTCATTACGCATTAGCTCTGTGACTCTATTAACTAACCGTTCTCGTTCCACTTAAGCACTAAAGACGGAGAGTAGCAGAGCGAAGAGCTACACAGCTACGGAGCTACGAAGCTATGGAGCTATGGAGCTATGGAGCTATGGAGTATGTTAATTTAGCAATTGTTCAAAGCAAATTGCGTGGAGACTCTGAAAAGACTCTGACCCATAAAACAGGGAAGCATCATGATAAAGAGGGAGAGAGACAGAGAGGGAAGGGGGAACTAGATTGAATCAGAAAAAGTGAAATCAACTTGCGAGGAAATGGTAAAAGAATACAAAGAGATAGAGAGAGAAATGCAGCTGAGATATATATATGTACAGAGAAAGTGAAAGAGAGAGAGAGAGAGAGAGAGAGAGAGAGAGAGAGAGAGAAAGAGTGAGAGAGAGAGAATTATAAAGATACAGAGAGAGATATAGAGGGATGGAGAGGGAGAAAGAGTATTATAAAGATACAGAGAGACATAGAGATATAGAGAAAGAGATTAATAGATATATGTGTATATACACAGGTTGCAAGGAAGAAGAGAGTGCAACTTAATTTCTATCTCTCGAGCGACTACTGTAGTGGACCGAAGTGATTAGTGCTCGGCGCACAGCTCGGCATTCAAGCAAATCAGCTCCAAAGCAATTCAAAATAAAAATCCATTTCAATTCGCTTGCAAATGGTCTGTGAAAGCATAAGAGGAGAAGGTAGAGGGGCGAGAGGGAGGTGGAGGCGGGAGTGGAGTAAAATTAGCTGGTGATGAAGTCGGGGGCAGTTGGAACATCAAGTGCATAAATAGCTGCAGCCATTAAAGCTCCAACAGCAACAACAATGTACTTTTTTCTCATCTCATTCCACTTGACCCCCACGCACACCGCCTCCCGCCCCCCGCTACCCGGCCCGCCTCCTCTGCACGATCTCTCCCCCGTTGTTTCAAAAGAAATTTTCAAATATAAATTGTAACAAAATTGAATGTGAGGCAAATGTGCTTGTGCTTTATTATAAAGCCAGGCTAACTGATAGATCGGCCAGGCACCCACTGCAGCGATAGCCAACGAAATTCCTATACCCTAACAAAAAACTTGGGCATGTGCATGTCCTGATTGACTTTGCCCACAAGTCAGAGTAGAAAAGATTATAAAATAGTTAACTATATATACACATCTAATATGTATATCTTTATTATGGTATTTGAAATCTATTCCATATACGGACTTCTTATTGAGCATATCTTAACTTGGTATTTATAGAGTATATTTCCTTATACGTTTTGCCGCCACAAACACATTTTCAGTTTTTATAGCTTTTGCCCTTTTCCCTTTCCCCTTTCTTCTTCTGGTTTCAGTTTTTTGGCATCTCTCGTTACGCGGCGTCCAGTGTAAACAATAAACAGATCTTGGAATATGCTGCACACGCACCCCATATATGCATATACTTATGCATATATGCTGTACTTCACCTATATATATGCACACACATATATACACATGCAGATGCATGCTGATTTGCTGGCATCTGGCTATAAACAACAAGAACTTTTCACATTGATCGCAGAAATTACCCTCCAGTCCCACTCCCAGTATTGCTCTCTCTCTCTCTCCCTCTTTCTTCTTTGCTAGCTGCAATTTGAAGTTTGCTCACAACAACAACTTCTAAAATTGACTTCACAGCGTGTTGCTTTCTCCCTTCCACACTCACACCTTCCTTTCGTCTTCCACTTCTCTGCTCTCTTCTAGCAGCAATTGAAGTTTGCTCACAACAACAAAAAGAACTTCTGAAAGTGACTTAGACTTGCCTTCTCCCTCGCACTTTCACCCGTGCCTCTATTCTACTCCTTCCCTCCTCACTGCTAGCTGCAATTGAAATTTACTCACACACACGCACACACACATGCGCGCAGAACAGCAATTGTTAATATTGGGAATTAGCACGGCTCGTTGGTTGAGGGGTACGATTCTCGCTTCGGGTGCGAGAGGTCCCGGGTTCAACTCCCGGACGAGCCCAAGTGTGATTTTTTTCTTTTTCTTTTTCTTTTTGAAATATTATTATAATAATAGAGATTGCTAACGGGGTGCGAGAGGTCGCGGAGTCGACGCCCAAACGATATTTTTTGTTGTATTTTGATTTGAAATATTATAAAAGAGATTACTATCGGCGGCTCGTTTAGCATTCATCTTTCTATCTTTCTATTTTTCTCAGTTCTTTTAGAGGGCCGGCAGAGGTAGTGGGGGAGGCAGCATTCCATATCAACCATTTGTCATTTGGCCACATTCAGCGCTTTGTGGTGGGCGTCGCCGAGCTTATCGACTGAGGGGGCGGGAATGAACTGTAACTGTTGAAGCAGCGGCAGCTTCATCATCGTCACAATGATCATCATCATCAAGTTGTCTTGGCTCTAATTATATGTTTTCTGTGGCCGATCTTCGTTGTGTTGCGTGTCGTTTTGTTGTTTTTCGTTTCTTTTCATCTCGCATTTTCGTTCAGCACTCGAGGCTAACAAATTTCAACATCTCAACTAAGGCAACGACTGGACTTCTTGCAGGAGCAATTCAGCTTTATTTTCCCAACTCACTTTGGAGCTGTTTTTTTTTTTTTTTTTGGCTTGTTAATCGATTTTAAATTATAGATTGATTGATTAAGATATGAGCTGACATCGCCCTCTCCCTCTCTCACTCTCTCTACTTGAGCTGCACTCCCACAATTTGTTCAAGTGGCTGAGCCACAGTCTTCTGTTTTCTCACAAACAGAGATTTCAGAGAGAGAATGAGGTAGAGAAAGAGAGAGAGAGAATAATTCTCGATTGCATGCATCATTTGCTCATTAGCGCGGCATTTCAAGTGCATTTCGTTGTAGCTTTTTTAGCTGTTAGCTTAGCTCCGATAATCAACAGCTCGGCGCTCTTCGCCGCTAGATGGCGCTGTAATATCAGGCATTCCTTCGAGTGCTACTTTCCCCGGCTAGTTGCACCTGCAGCTTGTATAATATCCATAGAAGAATCTAAAATCCATAAAATTCGTCGGAAAAAGCTGACAGAGAGAGAGAGAGAGAGACAGAGGAAGAGAGGGAGCGAAAGAGACAGAGACAAAGACTTGGAGTTAGCTGAAAATCAGAATTGTCTGCATCATTTGCTCCTTAACTTTTCTATGAAGTTTTTAGACTGCAACTAAACTCTACTCGACGTCAGATGGCGCTAGATTAGCTAGTTTTATACAGTCAACTGTGGCTCCGTTTACACACCAAATCTGAGATGCTGTTTGCCTATATTGCTTAATTTCCTCAAGCCCCATACTCGCCTACCTGGCTGCACCTGCAGCTCGAATAATAACCGTTAAATGCCTTTGCCAGATCTGTTTGGTCCATTGTTTCGCTGCATTTTCCACGCAACACAGATTTTAGAGAGATTGAGACTCGGCTCAGGCCACCAAATTACATTAATGATTAACGAATTGCTGACTTCTTGATGGATATATGTATGTATATACTTATAAGTATACTTTATATCTACCTTTATATTCTCTGGTGGTGTATGGGCGACTAGCAGATACTCTGCAGTGTCTGTTGAACATGAGTTACTGAAGCACCTGAAAATTTGGGAGGAAATAGAGGGAGAGAAAGGGTACTTTATATACCAAATTAAATAATCAATCGATACTTATCGTTGTTCATTCTAAATGTTAGAGGAAGTTGATTGAAGCTTCTTCTTAGCGCAACTAATAAAATTTGAAGTCTATAACTTCTATAGACAGAGACACTGGCAGATACAGCTCAATTGATTTCATTAATAATGTAGATCAAGAATATATATATATACTTAGCAAACAATATACCCTGCTTATAGCAGTGCTTCGGCTAGAGGGTATACAACTAAAAGAAACCCATTAAAAAATGTTAATTTCCATAAAAAACAAAAAAAAATAGTTTGAGACGCTGGAGTGATGCAGCACGTGGCTAAAAGCCACAAAAACGAGCTAGCAAAAGACAAAAGCAAGAATTTGTAGCTCAATATAAGATACATACATAAACATGTGTGTGTGTGTGCCAGTGTGTAGTTGGTATTGTAGTCTGGTTTCGTGTGTGGAATGTATCACAGCAGCGCTTTGCCTTAGTTTTTGTGGGTTTTGATTTGAGCGAACGACTAGCATATGTACCCTGTAATTAATGAATTTAGGTGCAGCTTGTATGAACTGAGCTAGAAGAGCTGTAAGGTCCACTTCATGCTGTTAAGAGCAGGCTTAGCAAACCGATATTTATCGATTGCTTAAGAAAATGTTTTACTCGTAAAGGGAATTCGAGTTTGAGTTTTGATGCGACTATGTCTCTGGGCTGATAGACATTGTGAAATGTAACAAGAACTATCGATATTTATCGATGTATGATCAATTAGAGTCAAATATATAAACAGAAACATAGAAATGTGTTTCATAAAATGCGATTCTCATTAAATTGTATCC